TWMWKCTCYGGCGACCRCSSMGMTCTACACCCCAACTTGCGAGGCAGCGTGTATGCCGTCGCACTCCAATTCGGTGGCAAAAAGGAGTATGATGCGCTGGTCAAGGAATACGAGACTGGCAAATCTAGCGACGAGCGCAATGCTGCTTTGAGATCTCTCGGTCGCGCCAAGGATCCCGAACTCATCCAGCGCTCACTTGCATACTCCCTCTCCAAGCACGTCAAGGAACAGGACATCTACCTTCCACTCGCGGGTCTCCGAGCACACAAGGAGGGTATCGAGGCTTTCTGGGCTTGGATGAAGGAGAATTGGGATCTGCTTCGTGAGAAGATGCCGCCTTCGTTCACTCTGCTCGGTAGCGTCGTGAGCATGGCTACTAGCGGATTCACCAAGGAGGAGCAGTTGAAGGATGTGGAGAAGTTCTTTACGGATAAGAGTACCAAGGGTTTCGACAGGAATTTGGCGCAGAGCATCGATGCTGTGAGAGCGAAGATCAGCTGGATCGAGCGCGATAGCAAGGATGTGGAGAAGTGGTTGAAGCAGGAAAAGTATCTGTAAAAGGCATGCAAGGCAGATGGTGTAGATGGGATTGTGTATCGGATGGGGTTAGAAAAAAGGACTTTGCCTGGCGCGTACACAATGTAGACACATATCGCTGTTGCAGATTGCAAAGCAAACATGAATGAAAACAGTATTTCACTCCATCGATCTGACACTATGATTTCTTTAAACAAAGCGACACTCCATCGAGAGGCACCAACGAGAAGACTGTCTTCGCTTGCCGCAGGACTTTCTTGGACATACGAATCGCTCGATGTCATTCTCAGCATCGATGCTACACCGACGATTTACCTCCTCTTCGCGGTGGATAGCATGACGTCTCGTGTCGGCCCAACTTCGTAGTCGCTCAACTGCTCGTGCGGGTTACCCCATATGGTGGTTCCGGGGAGCGTGGGTCTTCCCCATGACTGATCATCATTCGGTGGGGTGGAATTCACGAGGACATGGTCAATGGTAGCAGCAGTTTGAAATGTGTTATACAGCGATGAAAGCGTGGTATGAAAGTGAGGTGACATCTGATGTTCGAAGAGGAAGGTTTACCTTAGTACCGATGCCGATCAGCCTCGGCCTGATCGAGTGAACAACCTCACTTTTGCTTGGTCAGGATTATCAACACAACATCAACGCAGGAATTCTGTTTATAATCTTTAGTCCGGGGATTACTGTATCTCACCCCAGCAATCATGGCTTTCGCTGCAGCGACTGCGGTCCAGCAGGCTTCGACCCACACCTACACAGCGAACTTTCTCACTGATTGGTGCATTGGGAGGTATGTATCAACACCATCGGTCCTTTCTCGTCCTCCCAAGCTGATGATCCCGGCCAACAGCGTTCCACACGGAGGAGGTCAGTTGGTTTGCGGAGTGTCCAAGGGCTWTTTTGCAAAGCCTTCGTCTAGCTCGCCGGTGCTCTCGGGATACATGCTAACTGGTCATATCTTCGCCGTTCAGTGGTTTGCTCCACCTTCATGGTAATACATCATCGTTTGCTTAGTGATGTGAGATCAAACACTTATATACCCGTCTCGCTTCCCAGAATGTCGTCAAACTACACTTCAACACCACCCTCAAGAAGCAGAATCAACCTCATACCTTGGCACTGCATCTCGACTTTCTAAGACGCACCGACGCCGGCAAAGCAACCTTTACGGTCAAAGATGTCAAGCTCGGACGTCAAACCTCAGTTGTCCAGGTCACGCTCTCTCAAGGAGAGCGTGAAGAAGTTGTTGGGTAAGTCCGAGGGAGAATGCCGTCCTTGGATGCACCTAGGTATCCCAATTTCCCTCGCCATCAACGCAAGATATCACTAACACTGCATTTMTTCCTTCAGGTACATCACCCAAAGCAACCTCGCCGCCGAAAAAGGCATTTCTTTCAACACGAACTGGTCTCCCCATCCCAAGCGAGTACCGCTAACCTCCACCAAATCTCTCGAATCCGGCCAAGACTCCGCATGGGCAGAACTCCCCGAATGGCCCAATACGAAATTCCGCAAAGCCACTGGTCAAGTCCGCTCCTGGTTCCCTACAGCCGGCCAACCCGCTCAGAACATCTACGATCAATGGATGTGTCTCCGAGACCCTACCGAACGCTGGACGAATGAGAAACTTGGATTCCTAGTCGATCTCTTCCCGCAAATCTGCGAGGTCTTTGTTTTGAACGGTGTTGATCAATACAGCCCAACACGCGCATCAAAGGAGGTTAAACATCTCCCCTATTGGTACCCGACTCTGMTCTTGAATCTAGACGTCAAGAAGGCGTTACCGGAAGAAGGCGTCAAATTTCTGTTTACGAGACTGCAGACTAAGGTTATCAAGAATGGGAGATATGATTTGGAGATTGTGGTAATGGATGAGGAGGGCGATATTGTGGCTTTGAGCCATCACGTTTGTTTCGTGGTTGGTGCGGAGAGGAATACTTCTGCGAGAAGAAAGCCGGATGCTACGAAGCTTTGAAATTGGTGCAGAGTGACAGATGTATGAAACTTGTTGTGTTCCTGGCGTAGACCTCTTTGACACCCTACTAGTGTTTCATGTTGATCTCGTTTGAAACGACACACACCCGAGACCACCAATCTTTTCCACTTGCGTCTCAAGCTAATCCTCTGCCATCCACGTCAGCCACAAAGCGCCAAGAAAACGATCGCGGGACTTGTCAAACAGCACATTTCAGGATGATTATAGGGATGACAATGAGTCCATGTGGGTGAGGTCAATGATGATGTTCGTCTCGTCCACATTGCAGCTAACAACCTTGCTACACTCCAGATGATAAAACGCCAAAAGCGCCTTGAATAGTATGATGAACTTCCATCCTGTTCTCCATTTCCAATCCAATCCAATCCAATCCAATCCAATCCAACCCAATCAATATGTGTTACGCCTTTCTAGCGCCGGGCTTTCAAAGGCTCTCTCCCCCATTGAGTGACACTGAGCGTCGTAATTCGTAAGGAAAGTACAGCAGTTCGTAAATAGCGATGAATAGCAATGCAAGTATCGTCATAGAAAACGCTTTGTAGAATCGAACAAAGATGTTGTGTGTGTTGTGTTGTGTGGTGTGGTGTGGTGTGGTATGATATGATATGGACATGTCTGGTCATATCGACAAGGCAGGCGATGCCTCTTCGATCTTCTCGATACGTTCTTGTTTCAATGGTGGTTCCTCTGACAGCGTCGATGATACGTCTTCGACTTCGAGCTTTCTTCTCTTACCCTTGGGTGCCGGGTCCAATGGTGTTCGGCAGTAGGTGACGGTCCGGGTCACTACTTGTCGGACGTGTACTTTGCCAGGTTGCCCGATGGCATCGATGTTGGATTCTTGGGGCGAATATGTTGCGCTCCATGGTGCTGCACTGAGCGGTGTGGAGGAGTATGGTGATGGCATTGACTGTGCGGATGTGAGAGCTGGAGAGAATGGCGATTGGGGAATGCGTAATCGTCTTGGMGTCCGGGCCGATCTGGGTGCAGGTTTTGCAAAAGGAGATGGTGGGATTATGATTCGTGGTGACTGTGGTCGTGAAGCACCATTCGATGCGGCACTGCTTACAGAAGCAACAGTCCGCTCGGTTGATGTTGATTCGTAAGATGTGTTGCGAGAGAGGGCGGATTCTGTTGACCCGTACGACGTATTCCTGGAAACAGCAGGCTGGGATGCTGGTGGACTGGTTGATGGCTTTGCTCCAGATACATCAACGATCTTGTCAAGAGGCATTTCGAAGCTTCTGTCGAAGGTCTTGTCGTTGAAACTGAACCGCATACTAGTAGCGGAAGCTGGACTCATCACAGCGGGAGACATGTTCTTAAGAAAGTCCAGGTATGCAGATGGAGGGGTAATGGGAGTCTTGAGGGCATCTTCGCGCTTCATAAAGCCAGGAGAGGGTGCCATGGGACTCAGCATTTCCGAAGGAAAAGTTCCAGATCCGGGAGTCTGCAGRGAAGATACAGTGCTTGCTCTCTTATCGAACCCCGCGGCCATCATCGTGGCAGTGGCAGTTGCAGAGGCCATTGTTGCTTGTCGTTGTTGTTTGCAAGAATGGGGGTGACCGAAGAATCAAATGAATGAGTCGGCAATGACAACCACCCTTCTCTTAGGCCTGCGAGCTATGGTAAGCTATGGCCGGTGAAGGGATGCAGAGTGGAGGGGTGTGAGGTGCAAGGAAATGCACGGATTAAAGCGAGGTGGGTTGCCTACCAGGATGTCGCCGGTGCTTCAAAAGTCAGCACACAGCACTACTGTGCCCCAGGTGGTGCGTCCGCGAAGGCTGAGCGCAGAGCTCGCTGCAGAGTCGAAGCGCCTGCCTTAGGTTATTCTTGGTGCGGGCGCGTAGAGACGCAACGACGAAAGTGTTTTTGCTTCCGTTGTGAGGTGATGCAACCGGCGCGGATTGGAGCCAATGGGATCCTGCTCCAGGGCTCCGGTTCGATGATCAAACGGCGTTAGAAGCAAAGTAGAAGCAGTGCCGCAGCCTTCAAGACGGAATGTGATTCGCGGCAAAGCTGTGGGCGCTTAGCTGGGCAGGGTGTTGACGGGAGCTGATTGGACAATATCCTGGTGGCGATGTTGGTTGCGAGCGTCGAACAACAACCAGGTGGAAGCTGCAATATTTGCCGTCGGAGCGTCCTTCCACGCCAGAGAAGACTGTTATGATGATTGGGATGTGATGTGATGTCGTGTTCTTCCGTGCTGTTCAGACTTTCGGCGCACATGTAATCCCAGACCAGAGGAATGGGTCAAGATTAATCGCGGATGAGCGAATCGGAATACAGACGTCGGGACTTTAGCTCGCGCTTTTTCCAACGAGTGGCCGGCTTGGTAAAGTTTAAAAAGAGTTCGAGCGAAGTGTGCTGAGTGGTGAAGAACGCATGAGGCACGGCAAACGTGACTTTATCATCTCCAGGTTAAGCGCTGCGGGATGAAGAACAAAGAACAACATCCTACAAGGAGCGACACCAGCGTCAAGAACAATCCATCGTAATGCTTTGAGAACCCGTGGATGGGAGAGAGAGGGTGCTCATCKTTCGTAGGCGCGCGTCTTTGCATTGGAGAATATGAGCGGCGAGACGCACTACTCTATCTGCCGCCCTTGTCAAAAGAGGCCGCAGCCACTAAGCTGCTTCGTACAGGTTGCACACGCTGGCGTTGTTAGGGTTATATTCCTTCGCGAGGAAAGTTCCAACAGACGCCGCAGAGGGCGGCGAATCGCCAACCTGGAGATGAATCCTACRGGAGCCGATGGTTGGATCTGAACTGCATGAGGAAGGATTTTTTGCCGATTGCGAACGCACGCGAAAGGCAGCGCATATGCCACATGGAGCCACGTTGTTGTATCTGGGGCGAGACATATGCGAATTGTTCACCGACTGGCCTGATACCGCTGCCTTGCCGCTGGAGCTCGAGCAAACGTCTTGCATGTGGCATCTCAATGCATCATGCCAACAAAGGCTACCACATCATCCGGTGAGAGCTATGGCTAGCTTCTGGCTCACCGGTCGACTGGCTTTCCTTCTGATGGAGGTATTGGCCTGGCAGTCATACCGAACCGGCGGCAATCGTCCTTGCAACCGATGCCGGTATTCTCATCTTGTGAGTCCCAATCAATGAGACATGTCATGTTACACTGAGCTCTGATGGTTTGGTCGTTTGTCGTGATGGTTCTCGTAGGGTCAGGGTTGGGGTAGTGAAAGAGATCGCTGCACAAGAGTGTCCTCGATGCTGTCCAACTTGTTGGAGATTTTCGATGATGGTAGAGGCCTGCATATCGTTCTCCTTGTGCGCGATTCGTCAATTCGTCAGAGGCTTTCGTAAAGGCCTCTTGTTTGTAAGATGAGCTACGTCGCTTGGATTCGAGATTATAATCTTCATCATTGGGCATCGATTCACGGCGAGCAAATTCGACAACACGCAAAGGCAAACATCACAATGGCAATGGATGCTTCAACATTCGAGTTCATACGTGTTACATTCTTTTTCTACATGCCCCATCACTCTTTCCCCAACCCAAAGTACCCCTTGAACCTATCATTCCCTACTAGCTTCTCATTATGAACGACCTCATAACAAGCCATCAATAACCTCGGGAAACGATGGCACCAGTAGCTCAGATAACCACCCGCCAGTGGCCCGACCAGCTTCTTAACATTAGGTGGCATATCCTCATAATGGTTCTTCTTATTCCGCAGCGCTCTCAACAGATCCAGCAGACGATTACCGCTGTACTTTCTCTGTTTACCAAGCGTATCCACAAAGTGACGATCGAGCTTCGAAAGGAAATCAGCACGGTCAAATGGAGCGCCAATAACCTCCTCGGCGCGATTCTCGAGTGCACAGAGCGTGGGTGAGTCGCCAGCATAACCATCATCATAGGTCCCGCGTGGCTCGCGCTCAAAGTGATCGGAAACGTCGCAGAGGAATGCTAGACGTTTTTCAGCAGGCCAGAAGTAGGGATGGTTGAGGACGGCCTGTGCGGTTGGACGATGCTCGGGCAGATACTCGAGCATGGAACTGATCAGCTGCATTGGCTCGTACGCATCGCTCCACCTCGACAGAGCATCCATGTTCTTCTTATCGCGCTTGATGTTGAGTTCACGTAGCTGCTGCCAGCCATTCTCATCTTCAAACGGATGCACCCCATCAGTGAGGACCCAGAAGAAGAGACATCCAAGCGAGAAGATGTCGGCGGCGCGCTTGACCCCACTGACTCCGCCAACCGYAACCCCACTGTCGCTGTTGGTTGGGGTGGTCTGGCTGTGTCGACCTTCATTCTCTCTCGGTTGAGATATGAGCTCAGGAGCCTTCCATCCCGAAGTACCCGCATTGCCAGTAGGATCGACAAGTGTGCTGACGTTTTCTGGCAAGTTCTTTCCAAGTCCAAAGTCAGAGATGACCAACCGTGTCCCGTTTGGCTGAGTTCGTTTGGGAAAGGCAACAAGGATGTTCTGTGGTTTGATGTCGCGATGGATGATGCGAAGATTGTGGAGATGGCATAGACCAGCAGCCAACTGCTGTAGAGTCCGCGTCATATCTTGCTGGATGGCGAGCTTGAGCGTTTGCATTTGCTGATGTCTCTCTTCCGTCTTGGCCTTATCTGCCTCCCAGACTTCGAACAGACTGGCCTGGCATAGCTCTACGGCAATGTAGAGGAAGTGATCATCCTTCTGCTGGCAAAAGTAACGAACCACGTTCGCGTGATCGTCGCTCTGTTGCAAGAATGAAACCTCTTGTGATGCCAGTTCGTAGTACTGTGATAACATGCGCTTGACAGCGACGTTACGTCCTTCGAAAGAGCCCTCAAACACAATCGTACCGCAGCTACCTTGACCAATGACCTTGTCGGTGTGGATGACTAGACTGTTGATCTGAAGGGGACCAGAGACTTGAGGGCTCTCAGAAGCGGCGACGCTGATGATCTCCGCCGGCCGCGCGACCGGACCGGGCGGAGTCGTCTGCGTGGGTTGCGTGGACGGCGGCACCGGGGTTCCCATTTTCTTCGCTCGGGCTTCAATATTCGCCAGCTCTTTCTCCTTTTGCTTTCGGCCAGCTCGTTTCCCTCGTGTGGCTCGCTTCTTTGGAGTCTTCTCGCCCATCTCCTTTGCGAGAGATTCCTCACTCGCAGCATCGGGCTCGGGAGACTCGTCCGGATCCGAATCCTTGCTAGGCTCTTCGAACCGGACCTGCGTAACCTTGTCTTCTTGAGGGAATATGGTTTCCTTTGCAGGTTCTCCCTCGCGAATCATTGTGGTTTCTGGAGGATGAGTTTCAACACCAATGACAGAGTCGAGGGTTTCGGCAACAGGAACGACCACGTCGGATCTTGCTGGCTGCCTGATTCTAAACCCCTCCAGTCCATGCTGTTTGTACACGAAACCGCAGCCAAGGGAGCCGAGAAGAAGCATGACCAAGATAGACCACATTGTAATGTTATTCTCTGCACGAACCTCTGGCGGGAAGAAGGGCTCGACGTTGACATCTCCTGTAAGTTGATCGGTCGGAGGAGAATCGATCGTCAAAACATTTCGACCATCAACAAGGCGAGTCCCGGACTCGTCAGGCTCGAGGGGCGACAAATGATGCACACCCATGAATTTGTTGTTTGCAAAACAATCAATGTTGCACACGCTACTGGCATCAGGTGCTCGATCCGTGATGGAAGGATACATTGCTTCTGAAAGCGCGTACCAGCTGCCCGCTTCAGTCCGGTTGACAAAGACGCTGTCCTCATCCTCCAGCGGAGTGAGCTCGTTTGGTGGTGGTCCGGCGGGTTGAGGTAATATCACCAGGGACGTGTCGCTGGAGAGGTCACCATTCGGACGGACAATGTCAAAGACTCTCACAACTGGGGAGGAGAAGGTCTGGACGTAGCTCKGTTTGTCAGGCACCGGCTTGTATTTGGTGCCTTTGTTCAAGTCGACACCCAATATCTTTCCGTCATGTTTGGAATAAACATATCTCTTGTCCATGGTCTGGGTGTACTTGCTGCGGAGATCAAGATCCCGGTTGTTTGGGCCCCATTCAAAGTACCTGACGGTGTTGATCGGTTCTCCCGTGTTCCGGTCTTGAATGCCGATTGTGTACTCAGTACGCCCCAAGGTGAGGGTCCCACGCGCTTCGCAGGCATCGTCGTCCAAGGCGCCCAGCGGATCAACCCTGCGGCAGCTCCTGTCATCTGGATTGACGATTGACCCAGCGGAGCTAAAGGTCTGGAGGATATGGCCCGTCGCGACATCCACCGTGTACATTGTGTTCTTCTTCTCCGCAGTGTAGGCGACTGATGGATAGCCCTCGCCAGCATAAGGCGACATGTCCGCCAATTGCTTGACAGTATACCCCAGCCTCTGCAGGCGGAATCCCGGGGCCTGAATGTAGACGATGCCGTCTTGACTGGGTTCCACGATGAAGATGGGATCTTCCTGTTCGACGCCATCATTGTTCCGCGTCTTGTTACTGCGATGCCGCACCGTCTCCACCATCTCTTGATCGGTCTCCAGGACCCATTTCGGAGCGCCGGTTTTGCGGTCGCGGGCGTGGAGTTTCCCGTCTACAGTCGCCAGGAGCATAATGTCCTCGACTTGCCAGTCCTGCAAAGACCGCGCCGGTTGTCGCGAAGTGAGGCCGGCGCTGGTGGCCGACGTCCACGGTGCAGGAGGTGCYCGAACAGCCGGGTTGTTGTTCTCGGCTGGAGACACAGTCGCAAGGGCGCGCTGGTTGGAACGGGAATTCCGCGCATTGTTGTCATTGTTGTTTGTGTTGGTGTTCTTATTTTGGTTGATGTGTTGGTTGTGATAATTGCTGCTGTCGCTTACAGCCGTGTGGATGGTGTCCCATTGCTGCGACGCCGTATTGACGAGGTCGCCATTGTTGGGGTGATTGTAGTACTGCGGCTGCTTCTGCAGAGCGGCCGCGGCAATGGGCGCGAGGAGGGAGAGGAACAGAATGTCGCGCACTCGGAGGCCGCCGTTCACGCCATGGGAGCCTGGGGGTCGTCCGGGCGGCATATTGCCATCGACGACGTGCTCATGGATATCCTCGCCGAGGATGCGGTGAGGGGGTTGAAGCCGGAGGGGCCCGGTGATGGAATGATGGAAGAGGCCTCTCGAGATGTGAATGTTGACGGTGCCTTGCTGGCGTGGATGGGTGTGGAGGTGGCAGCGTCAGCGCGGGGGGCTACTGTTCTTTATTGGAATTTGGTCGGCACACAGAATGAGACCCTGGCTTTGGCCTATTGCTCCAAACCTTCCTTCGTCAGCGGCTGGTTTCACCTTGATCTGGTTTGCGCGTCTTGCACACATCAACTCCTCGTGCATTTCATGGCACTTCACTTCGTCCCCCGGCCGACCTGCTCGTAGCAACGGGACCTTCTCACCTCTCTCACGCGAGCGGTCTGCTCTGGCGGTTTATATTCACCTGTCAAGAAAACGTTCGGCCACCGATTCGAACTGACGWGATGCCAATGGCTGGCGCGGGTGCATGCATACTGCAACCTTATTCAATCGCAGACAAGGGATTGCTCACGCACAACCGCTGCGAATCACCCCGGTTGTGGCCGCGCAAGGCGCTTCCGTGCCACCGCTCCTTTGTTGCTGGAACGCGAAGCCGCTCCGCTCTGCCCTGCGTTGCGGCACAGTACTCCGCCATCTCCGTCCTGTCTTCGTAGCAGCTCAAGGGTCGCTGCACAAGCACGGCAAACGCTGATTGATGGTGGTGGTCTCCCGTTACTGCCTGGGTCCCAGAGCCGGGTTTCCAACGGACGCCGTCTGTACGGAGGTTGTCTAGCCAGACCTCCAGGACCGTTCCGGCGCGTCGCCGACAAGGGCATCCCGGTAGGTCTTCGGATGAGCTAGGTTCACCACGCTGACACCATGACTATACGATCATGATGTCGTGCTACTCTCATACGACAAGCCAAACACAACCGAGTCATCACGCCAGTCAAGCGTCGGAGGACTCGAAGAACAAAAGGCTACCTAGGGACGCCAACGGGCTCCAGAGTTCAAAACTCCATAGTACAAAACTTCGTCTTGATGTGACTACTCATTACAGGATCGCGTGAAGTCGTCGCTACAAAGCACATGCCGCAACGCAGTCAGCCCCGTTGCAGCGGTGGCATCGACCGTTGTATAGCCATCACGTTGCCTTGCAACGAGACCATTGCAAGCGATTGGGACCGAGTATAAGCCGTCTCGATGACGATTTGACAAACAGCTCTAATAGTTTTGGAAAGCATAGACGAATCTCAAGTCGTGAGCATAGGCTATGGTCTACAGTATAGATAACATCACCTGATGAATCACCCAGGCAACTCCTGGCCGACCAAGATCTTATCATAAAGACAATCAACCAGCCCATCGGCTACCAAAGCATCCCGACTATTTGAGGTCGACCCTTCAGAATGCTAGGCCGCGGCATGAAGATGAGTCTTCATCCTGAAATATTGTATACCAATGCCAAGAAAAATCCATCAAGGTCCCTTGTTCAGCGTTGGCATTTCTTAGCGTTCTGTATCTTCCTTGGAAAAAGAACTCACGCAGAGAAAATCCCGAAAATGGAGCATTGTAAGCATGAACGCGATGTCAATCGGTATTCGAGCGATCCTGGCATCCTCAGGGACATTCTTGGCACTGCTATGCTTCTTCGCAGCTGCAGTGGTAGCCAAGAATGAGAATGGGAGTAGACAAGCTTTATGCTCGAATGCAGTACCTCTCTCGGTATCCGCTCAATGTCCGACCACTGGCACTCCACGGGAAATCGAGAAGTCTCGACTCCTCAAAAGGATCGATCGCAAAAGGGGAAGGTGGGATAAGCATCATCCCCGATGGGAACTACTCGACGCTCTTAATGCCTACGACGCATACGAGCAGCACGCAGGAGAGGAGATAAAACGGTTCGAGGGGCTGTATAAACACGTTCCCACAAAGCACAAGAAGGTATGCTACATCTCCCTCTTTCTATAATCTCCCRCTCACAGTGCGGTCAAGATTCTTGACTCAACCATCAAATATAATGAGAACTTTGGTCTTACCCGATCTACGATCACGGTCAACGCGCATCTCTGTCKAGAAATTGTCGACCATGGGCTATCGTTCTACAATATTTCACGAGCCGAGCTCAGCGCCTTCGCAAAGGAAACCTCCAAGACCACCAAATCCGCAGTCCACCGTTCTCACGTAAGCCAAGCTCTCAAACACATGGTCCGAGACTGGTCACACGAAGGCCACGCAGAGCGAGTCGGCACATTCCCTTACTTCATGGACGCTCTGACCACTCGCCTCCCCTCCTCCGGACAAGAAACCTACTCAGTCCTCGTCCCCGGCGCCGGCCTCGGAAGTCTTGCCCACGAGATAGCCCATCTAGGCTCTTACATCCACGTCACGTCAAACGAGTTCTCCGCATACATGAACCTCGCATACAGATACCTAGCGTCCTTTACCACAACATCCTACCAACCACTAAAGATCCACCCTTTCATCGAACCCTGGTCCCATGCTCGAACGCGAGGAGACCTCTTCCGCTCCGTCACAATAGACTCCTCTCCATCTCTCATTGGAGGGACCAATACCCTCTTAGTTGAAGGAGACTTCACCTCTCTCTTCCCCTCACACGAGAAATACGACGCAGTCGCAACGCTCTTCTTCATAGATACAGCGCGGAACATTGTCGACTATCTCGAGAAAATCTATCACAGTTTGAAACCTGGAGGGATGTGGGTGAATGTGGGTCCGCTATTGTACGGGACAGCTCCATTTGTGCAATTGTCGCTCGATGAGGTTATCAGTGTGGCGGAAGCGATCGGTTTTATCTTTGAACACAGAGGTGAAAGGGATGTGCTGTATAATTTCAATCAGAGTACACTCTACAAGCATGGATACGTGGCCCAGTTTTGGGAAGCGAGGAAGCCGGTGGAGATAGAGGCTGAGGGCCAAGCATGGTGGTAGATGCCTGATGGAAGCCAGAGTGTTGGATTTTCTAGGCGATGCGACGATAATGGGCCTCTCTAGATGGAATGTCTTCTCTGGTGGACTCGTTCGGATCGTCGAGATGAAGTTCAATATCAAACACCCGAAGCACGAGCCAATTCGCGTGGAGGATATGGATCCACCATGCTATCAATGCCGGTCCACTGTACGTGCGTTAGCGATAATATATTGCAATGCAATATGTTACGCATGAGTCAATGCAGCTGCAGATGCATCGGGAGACTGCACCGCGGGCGGTTTTCGTCAGCCACCTCCCTCCTATCGGTCGGTCGGTCACTTCGAAGAATGGTTTGTCTGCCAGCAAGCGGCGCCGCGTGCGAACAGCGATTGCTTTTCTACCAATCGTCGCAGTCGGGATAGTCGGAATGAACAAGATTCTGTGACTTTGCAGTGTGGAGACGAAGTGGAGTCTTTTCCTGCATGGTGTATCCTGGGGTTGTGGATCTTCGTCAAGGACCAGGCGACGTTTCCGATCTGTGACTGTGCACGCATCTCGTAAGCGAGTGTTGAAGCTTGTGCACCTGTCTATGGATGTCTACGGATATGACTGCCGACCGCAGTAGCATGTGGCTGTGCACAAGACCGTCAGATTCAGGTTGCCCGGTGTGGACGAAATACTCGATTAGGCCGAGCAACTCTAGACTTGACCGCTTCAAGATTCCGACCTAGCAATCGGGGAAGTGAAGAGGTTCCGACCACTCTACTGTAGATGCATGAAACCTCCCTGGAGTCTCGACTCCATCAAGATACAGGGGTATGAATTAAGCGTGCTGTGGAGAGCCGCTCAGTGTGAGGGTCACAAAGTTTTTCCCCTGTGTGATGCAGATGCAGAAGCTTGGCAATGAATGATGAAGCCACTTCCACGGACAACTTGCACATGTCGACCATATCTAGACATTTCAGGTACTTGCAGATGATCTTTCGAGAGCAGGCTGATTCTGTAGTCATCGTGAGCGCAAAAGCCGCCAAGTCGACGACCAAGAAGAGCACTATCGACGAATGTCTGGGCCTTTGCTCCATGTGACGGCAAGCCTCGTGCTATCGGCTACCAGGGATTCCATTCGCCGCACGTGGGTCAGATGTGATAAACTTTGACTTCAGGCACATCACAGCCAAGCTCTTGTGGTTGGCGTCAAACTTCACTAGTGCTCATTTGGTTGTGGATGGATCCAATAGTTCGCATGCTGGTCAAGTGATTTCAATAGTTAGAAGCCGTCACCACACAGGAACGGCATATTCCATATAGTTGTTGAAGAGTCAGGAACAATCGGACATTTGAGATCGTGCTCCTGACTCGCGGCTGTGGTGACGAGTGTGGAGAGGGAGAGGGGTGATATCTTAATCAATGTAGACCCTGATTGCCGTCGTGGTCGTATTTCTCCACCGCGTGTGCTGGCCRCAATCATTATTTCATCAGCAGCATGATGATGGTGATGTGCGGGGGCGCGAACCGAGAACGCTCAGCACCTTTGCCGGTCTCAGCGTGTCCATGGGTCGTCTAGTCGCGTGTGCCTGGTCCCTGCCGAGCGCGGCAAGAAGAGGGTGTTGTCTCCGAGTGGACGGGCGTGCTGGGGCGATGAAACATGCGGACGTCCCTTGCTGGTTGTTTGTGCATCTTTCCATCCGCACGGCGTTGCCGATGAGTGGATCGAACGCAAATGCCGTGGTATACAACAGACCAGTCGTTGCAGAGGACAAAGATGCGAAACACTGGCCTTGCATTCTTCTGTTCTCTCTTGTTTCCTACTGTGTAAAGGTAAGCGCGATAGGGACTCGCGATGGATCTGCATGGCCACTTGCGAAGAAAGAGCACTTGCGGTAGATCGCTGCTGCTAGCTCCACATGATACTTTGAGATCTTACAATCATCCACTCTGCGCATCGCTTCGAGCGGGCCAGCTCTATTAAGCTTGCAATCAAGCTCTCCGCGTCGTCGTGGCTCATCATACATTCCCTGTGCCTGCACCAGTGCTGCTCTGTACCTTGCGTGGAAAGTCGACTGCTGTACACCCATACCGCACCGCTCATGAGCTGAGATATCTCGGTACACCACAAGCGTAAGCGCCCATTCAACGGTCGACCAATTAATATGCCCTGAGATGGCACCGATGCCGAGCGTCTCTGCGCGCGGACCAATCTCATCCAGCGCCCGACCAGACGACGACGGCCCTCTGCACGCCAGTCCCAGCAGCCCGCCACTGACTATACGGAGTGGTGTGCTCACTCATCATCATCAGCCGACAGCCCAAATTCACGACCGCGATAGAGACCGCCGCCCGCGTGCGCCTGATCCGAGCAAGAAGGTCGTCAAGACAGGGAAAGATGATCTCCACTCGGCCATTAATGCCGCTGTAAATCATCAATCACCCTCGACAGCACCTCGTAGCGATAACCTAGATTCAAGTCCGGGACCAGAAAAGTCATCGCCGCCAGAGAACAACTCTCCGACGGCCATGTCTGCTCCTAGAGTGGTGGCCCGCGTGGAGCGAGGACCGATTCTGGCGCATCGGACGGCATCGATCGACTCTACAGTATCCTCAATATCGTCTGTATCGGCCTCGACTACACCCCGGCCAAACGGCACGAACGCGTATCGTGTATCGCAAGACACTGCAGAGGACGCAGCCAGCTTAATCGCGGCTGCAGGTTCCGCCGAGGCTGCGCTGCATAAGGTTCTCACGGAGAAGCAGCAAGCGGCCTCTCACAATGCGCAGCTATGGCGACTGGTGGAGAAGCAACGAACAATGATCTTGGGCTTGAACAGAGATTTGGAGAAGTCGTTAAAGGACAAGGAGCGATACAGGCGCAAGCTCAAAGACAGCGTGACGCAATCAGATTCGGCACCTGCGCTCATGAGTGCAGCGTCACCGGAGAACGACCCGGAATCCAGGGAGACGAGCCTATCGCCGGCGAAAGATGCGCTGTTGCGGGAGAGCATGGAGGCGCGCAAGACGAGCGATGTGACGGATTCATTCCCTGCGGTCGTTCATCGCTCAGATACGCCGCAAGACGCAATTGAGTCGTCCTCCAAACTTTCGACAACCCCGCCGACAGCCAACAGCTCAAACATGGAACAGAGGGAGGCGTATCATGATACCACAGCGATTGATGCGTTTGTTGCTTCTACCCCTCGCGTGGCTTTACAGCGAGCTCCTACTGGAGCTGGACCGGTCAAGCAGCCGCTGCACATTCCAACAAGCCCGCAACTCGATTTTCAGAAGAGCTCGCCCACAACGCCATACCAGTCAACAACTTCACCATATGCACAGTCGTTCTCCAGTCCCAAGACGAGAAAGGCGMCTCCCACTCCCCTGAAACTCAACCCACCGAAGCCCGAGGTCAATGTGAATAATACCATAATCGATGCTTCTGATTCCGAGTACGAGGACGATCCAGAGAGTGCTCGCTCAGAGTATCTCGATCGTGGACGACGAAAGACGAGAGAGGAAGACGATCGACAGCGCGAGATCCAGGCACAGCAWGAAGAAGAGCATCGGAGCCAGTCGAAAAAGGACAAGCATAGCAAGAGCAAAACGCCAGTGGGAACGATGGACTTTCCAGCAGTCTCACCACCAACCGTTTCCACCTACGAGCCTCGTACGCAAGCCGCGATATTCGATCCAACCGCGAATCCGGCAGACATGATACGCAATCGTGCGGTATCAGACGCTACTCAGATGCTGAGGAACAACATTGCGCCATCATTAATGTCTCCCGGGCTCCCCATGAGCCCTCGCCCGGGAGATCGGCCGCCGAATTCACCCATGCCACGTGCGCTCAACACCATCTCCAATTCAATTCCAATGTCGCCCAAGGCTGGAATGCCAGCGGGTCTACCCTTGTCTCCTCGCGCGCCGAGACATGCTATTCCACTTCCTCCGCAGACTCCCGTTTCGATGTTGTCGCCGCATCTCGACCGCGCCAAAGCATATCACCAACAAATGCAGCCTCATCCCCATTCATTGCAAGCCGTCACGGAAGGTCTCAGGCCTCCAAGCGATGAGAGATCTCCAGAACGCGAGCGCATGTCATCATCGAGTGATCCATCGGTGTTCACACCTGGCGAAGTTTACCGAGGGTTCGTCACGGATCAGTACCCAGGCCTACTTCTACCACCGAATGCTCTTCCTTCCATCTTCGTGAAAACGGCATCATCCCGGATGCGACCTTCTCGCGCGAGCTTCATCGCACCGAAAGTGGCCGACGAGAATCCAGTCTTTACCCTCTCGGTCCACGAGCGCTCCGATGGAAAGCAGTTGTGGCAAGTGGAGAAGACATTTGTGGCTCTTGCGAGTCTGGATCAGCATGTGAAATCAATGTGTAACGTCCGAGAAAGACTGCCGGAGAAGGCACTTTTTGCCGGACACGCGCCCGCCAAGATTGATGCGAGGAGGATGGCATTGAATCACTACCTGGACCGCATGCTTGACGCCATCACAGAAGAAAGAGCAGCAATGGTCGTGTGCAAATTCCTYTCCACCGACGCTATTGGTGGCGACAGCGGTGACTACTTTGGTTCGCTCAACGGGAGCAGGCCCGGCTCTCCGGTCGCCCAGCTTCGCCCAAACAGAGCGGGATACCTCACCAAGCGCGGCAAGAACTTTGGCGGATGGAAGGCGAGATACTTTGTGCTGGATGGACCAAATTTGAAGTACTTTGAGGGACCTGGCGGTGCTCACATGGGGTCCATCAAATTGCAAAATGCCCAGATCGGCAAGCAATCGAACAGCACAGCTCCGAACCCAAGCGAGGACGAGGACAACCAGTTCCGGCACGCTTTCCTGATTCTGGAGCCGAAGAAGAAAGACTCGTCCAGTCTTGTTCGACACGTGCTGTGTGCCGAGAGCGACGAGGAAAGAGACGCGTGGGTCGACGCATTGCTTCAATATGTGGACTTTAAAGACGATGAAGAGCCTCATCTCGCGCGTCAAGCTCAAGTGCTCAAGACAGAGGCTGTTCCACGTAGTCCGCGGCTGCAAAAGTCATCGGGTGATTTGAGGCAAGCTGCAGGTAGCACCCACATGCGGTCCGCCGATCAAGTGCGCGCTGTGAACTACAGCGAAACTGTGGCTGGAAATGCACCAGTGATGGGACAGGCTCCCTTGAGCCCGCGTCTAGGCACACAGACGCCCTCTCCTCCGTACGAACACCTCATCAACGGCTCTGATCAGCAATATCCAACAATCTCAGCCCCAACGAACCTGCAGGTCATCCAGAATGCTGGCGACTGGGGTATGAGACCACCGCCTACACCTGGTTCCCGCGAAAAGAAGAGAAGCGTTTTCCAGCTTCCCTTCACCCGGGGTCGTTCGTCTTCTGATCTTCAGGCTGGCGACAAGATCATGTCATCCGGCCCCACAGCTGGAGAACGCACGTACGGCAGCAGAGTTGTCTTCGGCGTGCCACTCGCAGAAGCTGTTCAGGCCGCACAACCTGCCGATGCCTCTACTGACTTACCTGCAGTTGTCTACCGCTGCATTGAGTATCTCACATACAAGAATGCCATCGCAGAGGAGGGAATCTTCCGACTTTCGGGCTCGAATACAGTCATCCGGGCGCTCAAAGACCGTTTCAATACAGAAGGCGATGTCAACCTCATCACAGACGACACATATTACGACATGCATGCTGTGGCTAGCTTGCTTAAGCTGTATCTACGAGAGCTTCCAGCCAGCATTCTGACAAGGGATTTGCATCTCGACTTTCTACATACCCTGGATATTGCTGGCGACGATAAAATCGCTGCCCTCAATTCTTTGGTGAACAGGCTTCCTAGACCAAATCGCGCTCTCTTGGAGGCACTCTCTGCCTTTATGCTGACGATCGTGAACAATGTGGATGTCAACAAGATGACCGTTCGAAATCGTGAGTTGATTCTCGTGGATATCAACCTACGCAAAGCTAACATGTCATAGTCGGCGTCGTCTTCTCACCCACATTGAATGTTCCTGGACCGTTGATCTCCCTCTTCGTGGAAGAGCAGCACCGCATCTTCGGCGATCTTCCAGACGAGTCGGACCGCTCCAACAGCTCAAACAGCGAAACGCGGCAGACACATCAGTCACATCAGCAGTCTTCCTCCAATGACCTCCGCTCTCCACGAAAGCAAATGTTCTCTGACTTGCCGACTCCCTCTTACAATCAGACATCTTTCCACGTTGACGACAGTGGCACCGGGATGGTGCCAGTGAACGTCAATCCAGGTTATGGAAATTATCAAATGGCACAACAGGGTGACGGTGGCTTTGCGAGTCTCAATGACGCACTACGCTCACCCACTATTTACACGACAACCGGAACTGGAGCGCCCACCCCAAGAGAAATGAAGACCAAGCGACGAGAGAGTGGCATGCTCGGTGGACATCCTATGGCTCCTCATAAAAAGGCAAGCATGTCACAATTGCGCGAAGAGGAAGGTACCAGCTTTTGATGAGGCGGTGCTTGTCCTGCCTGGGTGATCTGTCTCGTCCGTGCCCGAAAGCATTGCTGGTGCCTCATATCCGAGGCGAGAATAATTCTGATGGCGTGCTCACAATCACCATGAGTACAGAAACATCATGTCCCCTCAAGAGATTCAGGGAAGAGGAGGGGAGCGGTTGTGCTGCGTTTGTTGAGGTATCACTCCTCATTTTGGTTGTTCTTGTATATTGTTTTGCATCATACCCCATTCGTTGTATCGATTCTTCAGAGCAGCGTCTCTTTGTACTTTGCGAATTAGCGTTTGAGCGGGCAGAGATGAGGAGATCATCACGAAGATATCAGAGAGGTTGGGAATTTCTAGGGAAACGGAAGATTCTCATTGCCCGTGCGGCCGGACTATATGATTTTGTAGTGTATGAATGTATACGGATCAATTGCTCAGCACTGATGGCATCCACGCTTGCTCTCTTTTCTTCTCACAGAAAGCTGGGTTTATCATTCGGCTTACGATTGCTGAACGGCGTCTCTGGCGAGTCGAGGATTTGGCCGTTCAATTCAATTTCCACTTTCTCGTTGTAGAAACAGCAAAGACCTGTGGTGAGTTAGCAGGACAACCTGGTTCACAGATATTTTGGCGTTGACTGCCGACCTTCAATCTTTATACTCTCGAGCAAAGGCCGCGTATAATACCACACAACATCCTCATAAACCTTTCCATCCACATTGACATGATAATACTCCGCCTCGCCTTTGTACGGACATCCCGTCTTTGTTTGACTAGGTCTCAAGACACTCGCATCTATCGATGTCAAGGGTAAGTAATATCGACACGGTAGACCCGTCTCGTAGAGATGCATGCAAGACTGGGAGTCAGCTACGATTTTCCCGCCAACCCTCACGCGGATATGGCGAGAAGATTGGAGGATGTCAACACGTTTAAAGGGATCTTTGGGGTGGATGTAGATTTGCGTGTCTTCTTCGAACCATTTGTCGATGGAGTCAAAGTCGATTTTGACGAGATTGGAGAGTTGGGCGGCGTTGCCGGATAAGTCGGCGGCGAAGGCTAGGACGTTGTTGATGGTTTTGGGCCCGATTTGGAGCTTGAGCTGGGTGGCGAGAAGTTCGCCTGTGGGTGAGGTGTATTTTTGCCCTTGGGAGACTTTGAGTGATGGATGTGCGGCTTTGGATGTGAATTCTGAGAGGGGTATGTAGAGTTGTGGATAGTATTCATGCTCATGCACGAAGATGGCTTTGGTCGTTCGGATTATGTAGATGCCGTTGAGGAGGAGCTGGATCATGCGGATGGCTGGAGTACTTTTTACTGGGCCATCTTGACCTAGTTTGAGTGCTAGCTTTTGAAGACTGGTGGAATGTCAGTAAGCGCTGCTTGAAGGTGTGGTCAATGGCCAACTCACTCGTCAGACATCTCGTCGGGCATGCAGGCTTGGGTATGAACAGTGCAAATCAGATCTCCTTCGTCCACACCTTCGTTATCATGTGGGAGTCAGTATTGATTAGTGTTGATGGATTGAAGCAGGTGGGATATGTGATGTCAATCAAGTAGGTACCTAAGCTCAGCTCAGCTCACGTAAGACGTTTACGAGAGTCCTATTAGCTCTCATCCTGCACGGAGTAACATTCCGACAGCATCGCAAGTGTCGTCTTCGAAGCATGGTGTTGGACTTGGTAATAACTAGGACGTTGATGTGAATCTAGAACTGACCCAATTCGGTCAATGCATGGCTGATGGTATGCATGAATCTAGACTTGGGGTGGCGTCGAACGTCGCGCCCCTCGGAGGGATTGTGTCGTCCACGTTGATAACGGCCATTAATTATTGACAGTCGGTTGCCAACATTATCGACGTTAGAGCTATAGGGGTAAGCTCTGGGTCTCATCGAGCGCTCTTGTTGGTGTCCTTCAATTGGGTCGGATTTGACATTGTTCAACTCCTTCGAAATTGTCTTAGGGTTAGGGCTAGGGTAGTACGCCGCGACGATAACATAACAACCACACCACCTGCATATACGTTTTCTGGATCATAGAAAAGCTGTAGATGAGTTCTTCAATCTGATTGTAAAGAATAACAGGAATCCGATGGAAAAGCAACTAAAATTGCAAAACCCAGCAATTCATGAGTCCTGAGAGCTCCTTCCGATTGCCTGGGTGCGTCTTCTTTCCCGTCATACGATTGGTCTTCTGCGCCACTGTTCCAGCGATCCTCGGTTGTTACCAGCGTCGATATCCTCCGGTTACCTACGTTGTCAACGCGTTGAAAACGTTGTAAATGATGAATTGATAATCTACCGACCCATCCTAAGCCCTCCTACTACCACCTTACATCATCCCCCGGAGAAGCTTCCACCATGATACTTCAAATACCGCGTTCGTCCCAGATCAGACTGCCTCCAAGTGCTGCAGAATACTGCGCAATTTGTTCCGCTGCATCTGGGAAAGCGTCAGAATGGATGAAAAGCGAGAGAGTGTTCCATTTCTACCCAATAGCGAAAGAGAACCCAACAACGATTCAATGTCAAGAAAATGGGGCAGAACATCCTACTGGATCCTCTCGGTCGGAACGCTGCTGAACGTCGCCCTTTTCTGCGGCACAGTGTTGATATACATGCAAAGTCAAAGTCCAAGCACTCCCGGACCGCTCAAATCGGACATCAAAGACGCCTGGGACGCTGTCCAGTACGAGACGAGAACCTTCACCGGAGCGCTCAAATGGGATCGAGATTCTGGGAATCTACATCGGGAACAGGATTACAGCGTCGAGTACTTTGGACCGCCATCAGACAAGCTCGATGAAATCTGGGAAGAGCTATTGCATGGTGAGTGAAGACGTCTTTGCAATTCAAACCAAATTGCAGTGCTGATCCAGATCCTCCAGATGAGTTCGTGCCAATGACCAAAGAAGAATCATCGCCATTCCTCCCAGACCTTAGGGACTATCCGGGCAAAGACACGCCCCTGTTTGAGCCGGGTCTTTTCCATAGTTTGCATTGCCTGAATGCTTTGCGAAAGCTCGTCTCGAAGCACATGTACAATAGTACATCTACGCTGGAGGAGGATCCAAAGGATTTCATGCCGTCCGAGATCGCACACAATGAACACTGCATGGACCGTATCCGACAGTCTTTGATATGCGCGGGAGATTTGACCCCGAGTCCCATGTATTGGTGGGATGGATTTGGCATGGCGGTTGGAAGGACAGGACCTCAGACCTGTCGGAAGTGGCAGCCCATTAGGGAGTGGATGGATGGGCGAAGGGAGCATAACGATAGCCAGGCTTGAGTGTGTCATTGCGTGGTATCGAATGTTCTACCAACGCAGGCTGACGAATGTTTGTGCTCTCATCATGGGAAAGGATCATCTGTAGTGTCGAATTACGAGAGGAGAATATCTGGATTGCATTGTGTCAGGGGTCTGATGTCCCTCGCATGCTCCTTTGTTTGTTTGCTAGACGACGGCCTGTCATGACTTCGCATTCCACCCGATGTATAGAAATGCCGTGTAAATATCATGTCGCTCCTCTTTCCAAGACCCCACGATACCGACCATGCACGCTTATCGGTAAAACTGCCAACACACCATTAACCCGTTCTACATCAAAAGGCAACTCCGCTTCTTTGAGCGCCTGCATGATATAGCTAGCAACTGTCGTGATCGCCAATGGAGGATCACGACAAAAGCCGGCGACTTCTTTAAGCTCGAATCTTTGAAAGTGCCAAAGATGGTACGCTCGAAGAGCGGCAGTACCAACGGATATGCCGCTGTGTTTGGCACGGTATGTGATCATCCACGTCTCAGCGGCTTGATTTTCAGGACATGGGAGGGGCCCAGGTCGGAATGCTGTTGCTGAGCGGTTTGCTTGGATATCTTCATCGGCTGGATAAGTAGTAAGTTCGGGTTCTGGAATCGCTTGAGTCTTCGGCGTAAGCTTGGAGCGGAGGGGAAGTGTGGTGGTGCACGATTGCGTCGGCGTACTCGACATGGGTCTGACGCTTCCGGAGTCCAGGGATGGAAGAGAAGGATACGAGATCTCCTGCTTCACACCAGCAGTCTGTCGCAGTTGCTCTTGATTGGGTGGATTCGAAATCTCAGGCTCCAGACCAAGCTCGTAAGTGTCCAAGCCTTCAGGTGCATCAAAGAATTCCCCTTCTTCCTCTTCGTCCACCTCGTCTTCCACCGCATCATCATCCTTCTTGACAACAGCTTGTCTCTTCCCACTGGAAGCCCGGAAGACCATGGTCCCGTCCCCCAACACGAGCGGCTGAAACGTCTCGTAGAACTGCGGTCTCGGCGGCTTCGGAACCATAGTCTTTCTCTCATTGWCCAACTTGTGGAAGAGTTGAAACCCTGCGTAAGCATCCGAAGCTGCATAGCTCGTCTGTTGATTATTGAGCTCCTTCGACCATGCACTGACTCTGACCTCATCTTTCTTCATCGGCAGAAGGAGAATCTCATCCACTTGAGTCTTCAAGCTAACCAGTTTGAAACTTGCCTTGACCTTCTCTGATTGCTTCACGACGCGGAACAAATGGCTGAGCTCAAACACGCCCGCCATGTCCACGCCGAGGCATTTCTTCATCCTTCTTGCATCGCCGCTGACGTTCACGCCGGCCTTGACAATGCTCGGGCTTTCCAAGATCTTGCGAAGAGAGGGCGGCATATGATCCTCGGCGGTCTTGGCATGTTTGAACCGAGCAAGCTGGAAAAGAGCAATCTTGCCTTCTGCTGCGATCTGTATCAGAGAGACATTACGCTTGATGTCGGGAGAGTCCGCCTTTATCGAGGCACGGGGTTCCCATTCTAGATCGAACCCAATCACACGCTCGTCGAGAAAAAGCTTTGCTCGAGCCTCCGCTGCGTCGTAGTTTTGACAATAGTAGACAACTGGCTTCTGATTCTCGGCGTTTTTGTAAAGGTTGTGCGACCAGTAGGCAGCATTGGAATTGAGAGAGGCCATGGCGGCATCGCGGAAATCCTTTGCTGGAATCTGGTAAGACAATATCGTCTGTGACTCTTCAGGTTCTTCATCCGCGGCAGAGGACTCTTGCTCTGAAGATGCACCTGAGCGTTCGTCATTCATAGAGACATCGTCATCAGATTGTAACACTCTATTGTCCTCGGCTGGTGGTGAGGGCGAGGTTCCGGTGTCGTCACCATCAGAAGAAGATGTTGCCGCCGGTCTCTCCGATGCGTTCTTGCCCGTGAGCGCTGCTTGGAGCGTACTGAATCCCATGTTGTCGCCGCGTGAGGCACGGCTCTTCACCCGGGAAGCATCGACTTCGGTGTCGTATGCGGGCTGTCTGTACGGTGCCTGTCTGGGTTCCGTAGGTTTCATAACCGAGGCTGCATTGCCGCTCACAACATCCCTGGCCCCAGTCTCATCGCCCGTGGCGTATTCCCTATCGAGCTTCGCAGTCGCAGAAGAGGAGTTGAATGAGATCCTTCGTTGTCCAGGAAATCTCTTCTTCCTGCCAGCCCGAGAAACCAGAGCCTTCCGAGGTCCCTTTTTCACAATGGTGGGTTTCTTCTCCGCGTGGGCGACTCGTTGCTTCTTTGTGGCCACTTCAGTCGACAAACCAGCTCGCAACGAATCAAGCGTTACTGGCGGTTTGCTAGAGGCACCAGTTGTCGTAGTCGTCGTTTGATCTGTCTTTTGTATGGTCCTTGATCGCCGGGCGAAAGGTTTCTGAAACCCTAGCCCAGCTAAGCTTCCGTCCACCGCGGTCTTGGCAAGCTCGGTTTGGCGCTTGATCGTCTCCTCCACTTGTTTCTGTTCATCGGTGGTCATTTTGCCCAAATCGTGAGCAAGCAAATGCCGCTGTCGCACTTGCGCAACCAAATGATCATATGCCATCCGTTGGGCTCGCACATCTTCGAGGTAGTGGTGCCGTTTCTTCCAATCCTTGGCGTCGATAGCTGGGTGGTCTTCAACCATGCTGTGGAATCGGTCCACCGCAGCGTCTAGAGCCCGTTTCGCTTTGATAGTGTCTACCCAGACGGATTTTTCCACAATATCATCGTCCTCCAGCGCTTCCAATGCTCGCCAGTCCTGCACGAATTGAAAGAATGTCAAGAATCGACGCACCTTCGTGCACATTTCAGTCAACTCCTGCCTCTCGGCGCTCAACCGCTCAATGAGCGTGGCGTCATCACTTTTTCGAGAAGCCCCCTCAATCAGGGAGTCCAGATGGCGAATGTCGTCCGTATAAGCTTTGCGCAACTTGTGGAAGTGCGCCGCACCCGCAAGGCGATGGGCCAGTTGCGCACTGTTGTACGCACTTTGATGCTCATCCAAATGATGATGCCGCGTCAAGGAGCGAGAGTGATGCGCGTCAGTGTGCATGTTGTCGCGGTCCCGAACGACCAAACGCTCAAGCTGCCCCAGACCATCAATGGTCTTTTCCGCATCCGAAACCTGTCCTTCTAGAAACTGCTCGATGGCGTTCTTGGTACCGGCATACTTTGAGCTGTGGAGTAGGAGGCGGAGACTTTCAGAAGTTCTGAATCTCTGGATGGATTTCTGCCACAACGTTATTTCCGCCTCCACGCGCCGTCGAGTGAAGAAGAGCTCATCGCGGACCTGGAAGGTCTTGTCTCTCAATTCGGCGAAAATGTTGTGGTATCGAGTATAGTCTTCGCGATCTTCCTTTTTTCGACTTTTGAAGCCCCGAATCTCTTCGGCAGCTTTGTTGAGAGCAAAGCCAAGCTCTCGCGCGCGAGCCGCCGCGTCGCGCTGTGCTGTATCGTGCCGTTTCTGCTGATCTTCCATGGTAGTCTTCAACGCTTCCACCTCGTGCTGAGACTTCAACCAGTCGCTGTTGAGGCGACGAATATCCCCAAGCAGGGGAGCCTGCGCTTCTCGGTAAAGATTGTCGCGATACATTGCATTCTCTGCGATTCGAGGACGCAGTGTCTCCAGCTCCATTTGTTGCTTGGCCTGCAGGTCAGCCAGGTCACGTTGGGCCTTGCTCCGTGCACTGCTCAACTTGTTCTCCAAATCTGATCCCCGGCTCCTGAGCGATGCCAGCTGGTTCTCCTGCAACTCAATCTTCATCTTGTGTTCCTTGATCTTCGCATTGAGTCCTAAGATTTCCTTGTTCAGATCGTGAATCTTCTTCTCCAGGTCCTTACCCTGTTTGACGGAGTACGTCGTCGGAATAAGCCCCCCCTTCCATCCCGAATCCACCGCGCTGGCGGCGCTAGAAGGACTAGAGCTCTTGGTAGGAATCGCGGCTGGCGTGCTGGTGGGCGCGGAACGTTGAATCGGTTTGGAGGCGTATGTTCTCCTCTGACCGTAGCTGGAGAACACGATCCCTCTCGATCGGTCCCAGCGGTGGTCGAGCGGGCGCATCGACGGTCGTCTCAGCTGGGATGGAGATGAAGATGCGCCTCCATTTCCAGATCCATCGCCGACCCCATTACTACAGCTCTCCGTGAAGGCAGCAGCAGTCTTCGTGTCATGAGCAGTCCATGGGTGACATCGGCGAAGATGTGTCGCTGCCTCGGTGAAGCCGTGATTGGGACGTCTCTGAAGCGGCATGCCCAACAGAATACTGCGGCATTTCTATGGCGTGGAGAAGGCCTAGGAGACTTTTTGGGACTTGGAAAATTAGGTTTCGGCGGCGATCGCGCTACGGGTGCCAGATCCTGTGATCGTGGAAACGACTTCACACAAGACCTCCATCACTAAATACCAACAACACCACCACAATGTCTTCACAGCTGCTTCCTCTTGAGCTGATTGACAAGTGCGTTGGCTCGCCAATATGGGTCATTATGAAGGGCGACAAAGGTCAGCAGCTCATCAAACAAGCGAAGAGACCGAAAACATTGGCTGATCACGGGGACAGAATTCAGCGGTACTCTACTCGGGTTTGACGACTTCGTCAGTATGTGGAGCTTCTTCAAGATGTGCTCGATTGCAAATGCTGACACGGATGGCGGTTAGATATGGTTCTCGAAGACGTGACAGAATAGTATGGATTGCACAATTCCATCTCATTCAAAGAACGAGAGCTAATGGCTGCGCAGCGACTACTCCGGCGCACAAACAAAGCTTCCCAAGATTCTACTCAACGGCAACAATGTCGCCATGGTACTGAATCCAAGCATCTTTTCCTGCTGATTACAATTGACTAACCTTATCTCAGCTGATACCCGGAGGAATGCCAGACCAGGAGTAAAGCCCACGGAGGCCGTTCGCACAATGTGCAATATGCCGCAAATGAAGCAGCGTCGCGCCTGACGCGCGAATGACCGCAAACGGGTGCAATGATGAGGGCGTTCGAGATCACTGCCGGCGCGAGGATGACCGGCTTAAAGGCTGATGTTCGAAGATTCTGAAAGCAGAGCCAGAGGCAGCCTCCTGAACTCATGATATATTATGCATGACACGACGAGWTTGGCCTTGCGATCGCACCGGCCTACCAAAAGCCAGGTAAGCCGTTCAAAAAAGGTCCATCTAACTCTCATGTTTCTCGTGATAATACTACGGTGCCGACATGTTCTCGCTGAATCGATTTTTCCAACATCAGGTGGCTTTTGTACATAGCAACTTTGCAAGGCAACGAGCATTGACATCTAAAGGCGTTACTATCATGAGTACGACTCCGAGGCGATCGTCTCTGCCTCCAGGTGGTTGGCTCTGACACTTACCACGTCAAATAGATGAATCCAGCGTACCGGGCGGGTATTTTCGATTGATGTCTGGAGTGTGTGCGAACATTTGCTCCCAATGGCAACATTCAGGGCGAATCTCTTATCGGCCCAAATTGGCTAGTCCTCCGTAGCGGGGCGATTTTAGTCAAGGGAGTGACTCTCTCCGTCGCAATGGAGACAGTGATGCTATCGGCCTCTCTCACTCTAGGAGAAAACAATCTCCGTTTCCCCAACTGAAGTGAAATTGGCGTAGCTTTGAGCCACGTGTGAGCGAGCTCGAGCTTCGGTTCTTCCGTCCAGACCCTGCATCCAAACAACATCTTCCAATCACTCCACATCCGCGACAACCAGCACTGTCGCAACAAGTGCAAATACCGCAATCATGCCCGCCAAAGGCACTGCGCCTTTTGCCACCTTCTTGATCGTCGGTCGTAAGTAAATTCAGCATTGATTGCGCAAAAGATGTGCCCAAACTGAACCAAACGCCCTCAGCCGTGTGCTTCTTCCTCGGAATCCTCTTCGCCTGCTTCCCCTACGACTACAACGTCCTGTGGACCACGCCACCCACCGATCCCGCCTTCCCCGACTCCGATCCGCGAGCCCGCTTCTTCGACCTCCAGGAAAATCACCTGCGATTCCTCCACGCCTCTCCACCCCTCATCTCCCGTATTCTGCACATTGTAATCGGCACCGGTCTGCTCGGCTTCCTCCTCAAACTCTTCAAACCCACCGAAGCGAACCTTCTCTTCGATGGCGCATCGCTCGTGCTCTACATGTGCGGTGTCACAGTCTACATTGCCAATATAGTCAAGGGTTTGCGCACTGTTACTGCCGGCGCGTATGGAGCTCCTCCGGGATTGAAGGATGGGGAGGGTGTGGTACCGGGGACCGAGGCGGATTATATCGGCCGAGAGGATAGTTTGAGGGTCATGTCGGCTAGCAACACGATTTGCGCGTTGGTTTTGGTGGGCGTTTTGGTGTTGCAGGCGGGACAATGGTACGCGCAGAGGAAAGAGGCGCAGGAGATGGAGGAGATGGACAAGGCGAGGGATGAGAAGAAGGCCGCTAAAGCTGCTGCTGGAAAGGAGGGTAAGAAGTCGAAGTAGATGTGAAAGATGGGGTATCACAGTAGAGGTGGAGGAAGAATAATACCATATCCTGAGAATGCTGTCTGGACGTAATGCGATCTATCACTGCCCTCAAACACCCAATGCTTCATAATCAATGCAAAGTTCGTCCAAAATGCCCCGAACCGCGTCACATCTAAAACATCTTCGGATTGAAGCTGAGTTCCACGAATTCTTGATGTACTTTTTCACCAAGCGGAAAGAACCGATTGTCACCGATCTGGACGATGWCATCGCAACGTTGTTGCCAACCAGAATATCGAGAGCTTGACTCGCTCCAACTTCTGCATAGTCCGAGTCGAGGCCCCGCACAAAGCTGCCGACGGGAGGCTCTCAAAGTTGAGGATGCGTTTGAAGCTGACCGATAGTATGAAGGGCTGGGCCAGAGGAACACCATTGCTGCTTCGATCGTTGACTTGCTTGGCTTGCTTCTCCTGGTCTCGAGCCTGCTTCCCCATGCAGGCAGTGGCGTCGACAGGAGGCGCTGCTCGTTTGTTTCTGGGGACGATAAAATGAGCGTGCAGAGGGAAGATTGAGATTGTGATGGCCTGGACAATCCGTCCAGATGTTCGATACATATGACCCTGCTCGTGCAAAGCCAGTTTTTAAACCAAAGAAGCAGGCAAGCATGAACGCGATAATGTCCTTCGTAGCACAAACACTGCCTCGTCAGCAACCCTTGTCGGAGCAACCAAGTCGTGCATGATGATTCTCAGATCTTCCATGGTCGCAGCGCGAATGTCTGCCATACCAACGAGTGTGAAGGCCGGGAACGAACCTTGGGGCAAAACGCGAGCAAAGCCAGCGTCCCATGATAGTTGTCCGGTAGCTACGGTCGGCTTCGCATCCGTTAGTGGCTGGGCGGTTGACATTGTCATGTCTGAGGTTAAAGTGGCATAGTAGAATTACTGAAGTTTGCGTAGTGCGGTCCGCATAAAGGAATCACCAAGTCTTCATCTCTTCTCCAACCCTAATCTTCCCACCTTCATCATCACGCGCCAAAGCGGTATGGACTCCAAACAGAATCCTTCCACCTGGAAACCTCCTTGTCTTCGCCAAACTGACAAAAGGCTCCTGTTTCTTCTCCCCACTCTCCTGATCCACACATACCATCTGGCAGCGCCGGCAGCCTCCCAGAAATGCAAACTCCGTACCTGAAGAAGACCGCATCCCTTCCCAGCTGTCTTCCTTCCAAGGTTGTTCCTGTCCTGGCGAGAGGAAAGGACTCTCCGCCAGCACGATGTTCGCGCGAAATGCTGCGAGAGGAACAGCTTTACCGCCCGCCGCTTTGATCGTCTCGTTAAGGCGATTGAGGGAGGAGTGCGAAATTGTCAGAATGGGCGATTCATTGCTGAGAAGTATCGGTCGACGCGCCTGCTCTGTACCAGATCGCCGGAGATGGCCTTTACTATGCCTAACATCTGTGGCCGTCGAAGTGGAAGCGGGGAACCGTGCAAGCGTACAAGATACACCGATCGCTCGCGTGAAGAAACCAGCGATCGCGGGAGACGTGTAGACTTTTGCTACAATATTCTCTCCACAGACAGTGGCATCACAGGATTTGTAGTCCTTTGTGGCAAAGTGGCGTGGGTCTTTCGACAGGGGGACTGTAACTTCATCCTCGCTTCCCACTAGTCTGACTCTCAAGAGTCCAGCTCGAAAGTCCAATACAGGTCTGATCAGGGCCATCTTAGGATGCGCTTTTTGACTGAGCGCTGCACCCGTCCCAGTCTTGACAACGCACCACTCTCGATCCCAKATCAGTCCCTCCCGCCGGATGTCCCAATTCGTGTCACTCGGAACATTCCAGCCCGCGCAGCTTTTAATGGGGTAGATCGTCAGGCTTTCCACATAGAATCTTGGCGAGCCGTCCTCCACCAACATTGGAGAGGGTAAAGCGGATGAACACACAGGMGAGCTCCTGTCCGCAAAGAACTCGTTCAAAAAGTCCGCAAACCGAGCCGCATCAGAAGACGTACTCATTGCACCAAAACTTACTCGAATGACGCCTGTGGGTCTCCCATTTATAATGTCATCCCCACCTCCGCATCGCCAACCCGAGGAAAAGTTTTCTCGCATCTCCCAAGGTGCAAGGCCAAGGTGCTTTGCCACACCGCCGGGGTTGCAGAGCCCGCCAGTGCGGAGGTGGATGTTTTTAACAGTAGCCAGCTTTTCAACATCATTGTTACTGATCCATTCACCATCAGAGTCCAGCAAATTGAAAGCCAATGTTGGACCTTGTGTACTCCCACTCCCGTATGTAGACCGCGAATCCTTGTAGATCCTACAGACAGGGTTGCCATTCCTATGCCGCAACATGAGCATTCGCTGATAAAGTTCCTGAGCGATGGCAGAGGTATGTGCGGCCACACAGCTCAATGAACCAAACAACTGTTCATGTGAAGAAAATGCAGACTCGAGGGCCAGGATGCTGTGAAATGGTAGCGTGCCATCTTCAAGCTGCTCATGCAACGAGCCGGATTTGACTGCGTGCCATTGCTCTTTTACACAGACCACCATGTCAACCGTTCCGCCACCAAAGTATCGTCGTCCACGGAAAATATGGCCCGCATCCTTTCGCACGATCAAAGCTCCAAGATCTGGGAATCCAAAAATCTTCGTAAAGCTCAACACAGTGAAGTCCGGCGCAGCTTCCATTTCACCAAGTCGAAGCGGTGAGGTGGCGGCAAAGGCGGCAGCGTCCAAAAGAGTGTACAATTTTCTCTCCTCATCCGAGCCTCGAATCCTGGCAGGCCACGTTAACGGCAGCCGACGTCCATTCAGATTGGACTGAGCAGGATAGGAAAATAGCCCAATGCCGCCAAGCGATCCTCTCGACCATTCATCAACCTCAGAATCTGATTCAAAGCAGCGATGCTCTCGTGCGGCTTCTCTGACACCAACGACACTAGTGTGTGAATCAACATGATACCCGAACCAAAATCCGCCCTTCTGCTCTCGCATAGCTTCCATCACAAGCTTGATCGCCGCTGTGGTGTTGCTCGTGAACACTAGATCGAACATTTCTGGATCTGCGCCTACAAAGTTCAGAGCTTGCACGCGGACACTCTCAATGACCTGGGTAGATCGCATGCTCGATGGAGAGGTGGAGTGAGGATTTCCATACAAGTTTGCGAGCATGTCCGTGTGGAAAGAAGATAGGAGCGTAGCACTGGGAGGCGTGGTCCCCGCATGGTCGAGGTAGAGAGCTTCACCTGCATGCTGGAACATCGAGGGATACTCTTTTCGCCGCATGAGAGAAATGTGGGAATCGTATTCTGTTCCTCTCATGGTGGAAGTGAGCTTTTCGCCCGCCATGCTGTTTAAAGGTGCGTGCTGGCCGCAGCAGTGGCGTCGGATATCCTCACCCGGTGTCGGTCGGTCTGTAGATGAGCGAGCCGCTGCAGAGTTCCATCGAGATTGTAGGAGCTGGAACGGATGAAGGAGGGCGCGTGTAAGTGCACGATGAAGTTATCGGAGAACTCCCTTTCGCCTCGAGGATGATTGCTTGATATGACGGCGGACCTCGCCGATGACGTGCCGGAGAATACACGGCATGCCAGGCAGTGGTGGCCTCCAGTCAGTTGCACGACGACCTCACATCAGCCCGACACATTGACTACCTACATGTACATGTATATGTGCAGCCGAGATTGATACTCGAGTCGTCGTGACGCGTGGTGATTATTAGCTCACCGAGTATCGCGATACCTACCTTACGTTACCGACCTACCTACCTTTAGCCTGTTTTGCCGTATGAGCAATATCCCACGCGAGAGAGATAGGTAATAGAAGCCTACCTTACCTTATTGCGACTTCAGGGCAGCTACCTTGAAGTTGCCATTGTCACGCTTGGGCTATCCCATCGTTGCCCATCCGTCAATCATTCCATGTTATGCAACTCACTTATTATGCGGCAATCAATTTGGCGAGAGAGCGGAGGACCGTGCTCTCCACGCGCTAGCGAAGCGGACATTGAACCTCATCATTCATCATCAATCACCATCTACCAATGCTATCCCCGCGTGAGAGGAATTCTCCAGCATAGTTGGCGTGCTGAACCTTGGGGCCACAGATGTATCCACTACCCTAATAGAAGTTGAGCGGACTCGGTGACATTGAGCTCTTCTCGGCATGTTTTCAACCAAGCAGCTAGCCCGGTACCGCGTCGCGAGCCGCACCCCAGATCGCGTATCATTGCAAAGGACTGGATTAGTCCTTCGGCGATGCGGATTCCATACATCGTGCAGGCTTCTCCGTGACGAATGGACCCGGGAGGAACACCAGAAACTGGTTGAATTGAAAAAGAGCGGCGAGTCCTGGAGTGATATCCACTCGCATTTTCCCAATCGTACCTTGAGCGGAATACGTTCTCGCTGGGGTAGAAGCCTCAAAGTTACAAATCCTCCAAACCTCTGGACCCCAGGAGAAGACGAGCGCCTGCTCGCCATGAAATATGGTGGCAATGAGTGGCATAAAATCGAAGATCAATTCCCGGGACGAACCATGTCAGCATTGTACGCGCGTTGGGCGAAGTTACAACAAGCAGACCGCAAAAATCCTATCGTCAAATGGACCCAGGAAGAAGACGACACCCTGAAGGCGATGAAGAAGGAAGGCGCAAGCATGGCAKAAATTCTTGCAGCTTTACCCGGGAGGTCGTTGGGCGCCACCTACAGGCGCTATTCGGTTATAGGCCCTAGAGGCAAGTATGGTCGATTGATCCACAGCGGCTTGGGAGGTATGGGCATCGATGATCGCGACAAAATCCTGAGACTTCACCATGAGGAAGGGATGACGAGCGCCCAGATTCACGCCCAATTTTATCCTAAGAAACCCTTCAACATGGTCAAAAATGTGATCAAGGCAGGCCATCGTGGTGACGAGCTAGCCGATCGAGATAAATTCCGAGCGCGCTGGAGTCGCGCAGAGGACAAAGCTATACTTCGTCTGCGGCAGAAGGAGCAGAAGTGAGACACCCAGAACCGCTGGCCGGTGGCCCCTGATCTCCCAAAGCTGACGGGAACTAGGACGTTCAAAGAAATCTGCGCTGCGGTTAATCGCTCGTATCTAAGTACGACGAGCAGGTACTACACGCTCACCTCGGGAACGATCAGACCGCGAGTTCCCCATCCCAAGCAATACACCGTCGAAGAGAGCGCAAAGATAGCTCAAATGGTCAAGGCAAAGACCCCAATCAAGGTAATCGCTGCTGCGCTCGGCCGTACCACAACGGCCATCAATCATCATCTATTCAGGAATCGTGCCGTATTGGGCTACGTACAGACCCCCGGCAGGAGTTGGCAGGAGCGTAAGTTCGCTGCTACTAAGGCCGAGAAGCTCAGAGAACAGGGTTCGTACGATGCAATGGATACATCTTGATTGGACCTCACTGACTCTTACCAACAGGAATGCAATGGAAAGAGATCCACGCATGTTTTCCGCATTACACACTCCCCCAGCTCAAACAATACTACAGCGAATTGAAGAAGGACAGATTCGAGTCGGACGGGATCAGCACAACCATGTCAGAACCTGAGCTGCAGGCTCTGATATCCAAAGTCAAAAAACTCAGGGATCGAGGCTTTGAGTGGCCTGAGATTGGCAAGCGCTTCCCATTCTACTCACTGAACCGAGTCAAGGCCCTATACGCCGAGGCGAACGGAGGTATTACCAAGGAGAGACCTCTCACGACGGGACGAGCCACCAGTGAAATCAACGTAGGGAAGATTGCAGAGTACAGGGCAAAAGGCTGGACATGGGACGAAATYCAGGCGCACATGCCGGATTGGTCAAGAGCCACGTTGTCGAGGGTATATGGTAAAGGGGATCCGATACTGAAACCACTTGGTCAGCGCGAGGTTCTGAAGATCGATAAGCTTAGGAAGAGTAAAGTGAGTTGGGAGAAGGTGCAGGTGCACATGCCCAAGTATCCTGAATATCAGTTGCGCAAGGCCTATGCTCAAGCGCGGAAAGAAGGAAAGGTGTGAGGCTTTTGAACAGTGTAGCGTTTTGAAGCGGTAGTATTGCAAGAGTCGTGTTGGTATTGGCATTGGCTATGTCAATAGTGTGTTCGGTTTCATTGCACCTGTATGGAGGATGTAGCACATATCAGATATTGCCCTATAGTAGGGAACAGGTCATCTGTTCCGAGGTCTGACAACCTGGAAACATCATTTCTTACAGTCCATCTACTCCCCATGGCCGATGACTTGCGCAGAAATCCCCGCGAAACTGCGCTGCCCATGAGTTCTTGCTGGATTGCTTTGAAAATCTGCTGACATAGGGACTATGCGATATTGCACCTTGACCCCCACCAGTCGTTTCTTACAATTCGGATTGCGACCCGCGGTCCCAGCTTCTATACTCCTGTTTGAGGCGATCAAGCAACCAAGCTATTTGGCCATTGCTGTAGCCTGCGATCTCCCACAGAAACAATGCTTGCTCCGTCTGGCTTCATTTCATWGGCGCCCCCGACTGCGCTTCTATCGATGATTTGACGTCACACCTCCGCAGAGTATCATCGTTATCTCTTGGTCCCACACGTTTGTCGAATACTGACTTGATATCCGAAGGCATGCGATCAGGCAACGCAGCCAGTATGTAGTTCTTCCTTCGGACGACGATTCAATTTGAGGCGGCGCAAACTGTCTGATTCATGCTTTGACCGGCGAAGAAATGACCGTGATGAGCAGCATGAGAATGTTGGGTGCCGCGGCCATGTGGAAGCGACAATTAAGGACCGCCGGAAAAAGCTCCAAGGAAAAGTGATGATTGCAGTGGTGAGGCATGCGTGCAAGATTCTGTTGTTTGGACGGAATAAGTTTTKACATTCAATGCATTGTGATGAGGCGGGGATGATTTTAAGGTTTGCCCCACGCGGGGCCTAATTTTTTTCGAGCAATGACGGCGAAAGTGTTCAACAGCAACAACACGACTTGATACCAAACATGGCCTCTCAAGCATCGCAGAAGATTGGTATGCCCTGCAATGGCAATGTTACCAGTATGCTAGCCGAGCGCTGACGATACATAGCAATCCTTTCGGTCTATGACAAGACCGGTCTTCTTGATCTGGCCAAAGGTCTGATCAAGCAGAACATCCGTCTATTAGCATCTGGTGGAACTGCCAAATTGATCCGTGAGGGCGGTTTCCCGGTCGAGTCAGTCTCGTTTCTACTTCGACGCAGGTTTACAACGCTAAACTTCAATACAGAGATGTCTCGGCCATTACAAAGGCTCCGGAGATGCTTTCTGGCCGCGTGAAGACTCTCCACCCCGCCGTTCACGCTGGTATCCTGGCGCGTGATCTTGCATCGGACGAGAAAGACCTTGCAGAGCAGAACATCTCCAAGGTGGACTACGTGATTTGCAACCTGTACCCATTCAAGGACACCGTTGCCAAGATCAACGTCACAATTCCAGAGGCCGTCGAGGAGATTGATATTGGTGGGGTCACGCTCATTCGCGCTGCTGCAAAGAACCACAGTCGTGTCACAATCCTCAGCGACCCTGAAGATTACCACGACTTCCTGCAGGAGCTTGCCAAGGGTGAAGTTACTGAGAAGCAGCGCCAACTCTACGCATTGAAGGCCTTCACTCACACTGCAGACTACGATGCCGCCATTGCCGATTTCTTCCGGAAACAGTACGCCGGGGACGGAACACAGCAGATTGCTCTGCGCTACGGCACCAACCCACACCAGAAGCCTGCTGCCGCCTACTCAAACAACAGTGCGCTGCCATTCAAGGCTCTCAGCGGCTCGCCCGGCTACATCAACCTCCTGGATGCACTCAACGCTTGGGCGCTTGTCAAGGAACTTACTGAGGCGCTTTCTTATCCTGCTGCTGCTTCGTTCAAGCACTGCTCCCCGGCTGGAGCAGCCATTGGTGTCCCTCTCAACGATGTCGAGAAGAAAGTCTACATGGTCGAAGACATTGAAGGCATTGATGCATCCGGCCTGGCACAAGCCTACGCTCGTGCTCGTGGTGCCGACCGCATGTCCAGCTTCGGAGACATGATTGCGCTTTCCCRCGAGTGCGATGTCGCAACTGCCAAGATCATTGGCAAGGAGGTCAGCGACGGAGTCATTGCCCCCAGCTACGCCCCTGAAGCTCTGGAGATCCTCGGCAAGAAGAAGGGCGGCAAGTATCTTGTGCTCCAGATGGACCCCAACTACGTTCCACCTCCTCAAGAGCACCGAACCCTATACGGCGTGCACCTTACCCAACACCGCAACGATGCYGTAATCCACCCTCAGAAGACCTTCAACTCTATCATCACACCCAAGGACTCTAAGCCTCTAGTTGAATCCGCTCTGCGGGATTTGACCGTGGCAACGATTGCGCTCAAGTTCACCCAGTCCAACTCCGTCTGCTACGCCTTGAACGGCCAAGTCATCGGCCTTGGTGCTGGTCAGCAGTCTCGCATCCACTGCACGCGTCTCGCAGGTGACAAAGCTGACAACTGGTGGATGCGTTTCCACGAGCGTGCCCTAGGCATCAAGTGGAAGAAGGGAACCAAGCGTGCCGACAAGAGCAACGCAATCGATCTCCTGTGCTCAGGCATCGTACCTGAGAGCGGTTCCGAGCGTCAGGACTGGGAGAGGAACTTTGAAGAAGTCCCGACACCATTCACGGCCGAGGAGCGCAAGGCGTGGTTGGGCAAGCTGTCTGAGGTGGCTTGCTCGAGCGATGCTTTCTTCCCATTCACGGACAATGTGTACCGTGTTGCAAGAAGTGGTGTGAAGTATCTCGCTGCGCCGACTGGTAGTCAGAATGATCAGGCTTGCTTTGACACCGCCGAGGGAATGGGCATCACTTATGTCCAGCAGCACACAAGACTGTTCCATCACTAGGTGATGTTGCGTTTGGGGTACTTTAAGTATGGGCAGGGAAATGCGATGGCAATATGGTAGAAGCGAACGAATGGGAAGATAGAGAGAAATGTTCAACACGATACCCCGTCGGTGCCGGATTCCGCGTGCTATAACGATATTGGTTTCCGTGGGTAAAGCTTATGTTCCAAGTCCAGAGATAGATTGTTTGAGCTTCTTATCGATGCGGCATCAAACCATTGCTCCATCTGTCACCTCCGCAAGCGACACAGTATGGACGAGCTGTGAGAGGAGCGTTGTACGACCCGAGCATATGCGAAACGAGTGGTGAAGTCGTCAATGAAGCGATCGCAGACCGCAAAGAGGTTCATCATTGAAACGGATCGAAGTGGGGCGGAAACAAGCGCAACAGGCGACCGTTGGACTCGGAAGCTTGCTCTTTGTGCCGCCGACAGGTACGTGCGTCGTGCATGCCCGACCTTCTCCCAGTCCCCAGCCCTTCGGCCAAGGAAGAAACGAGACAGAAGGTCGTGTGCACTGAACATGCGTGGGGGATCCTGAGACCGGCGACACCCACCTACCCATCTATGCCTCTGCGAAGATAAGCCCGAGTGACCTACGCCTTGTCCATTTTCTCGCCGGGAGCCAGCAGAAAAAGTGCAGGAAACCGACACGATGCCAGCTCACCGCGATTCCTCCGCCTCTGCCTCTGCTCGCCCACGCCCCATCCCTTCCGGCAGCACACCCAACGATGCCTCCAGTATCAACGCCTTTGGTGCTTCGCCGTCCAGAGCTTCGACGACGGCAAGACTAGCAGCCACGCCCGTGGTGGGCTCCCCGAGCGGCCGTTCTACACCGAGCACTGTGCTGGCTGRCGAGTCGCAGCAGGGCCAGGAGCCGCTCGCCGGTGTTTCTGGGAATTCCGTGCCCGGACCGGGTGCATCTTCCCTCTCACAGGCGCTGCGAGGCGCCCATGGACAGTCTCCTGATCGGTTCAGCTCCATGGCCGCTCGTGAGAGATCCTCTTCCATGATGAGGTACGAGAGCCCAGACGAAGACTCGTTCGCGCCGCAGTCCTACGCTACACAGCTCGGCCGTAGTCCCACGCCCAAAGAGGATATCGAGGTGCTCAAAAGACATCTCGTGGGACCGCAGAATGGCTCAGAGTCAGGCTCGCTCAGGAAAGGCTCAACATTCCCAGTGGAGAATGCACAATCCAGCTCTGCAACTCAGGACAACTTCTCGAGTTTGCAGCTGCAGGGCGGAGATACGACTAGGCACATCTACCGCTATGCCGAGAAGGCGCAGCGAGACCAGGAGACCGCTGCTCGTCTCCGGAGAAGCATGAGCTACACCGCACCAAAGACAGATGATGCTGAAGCAGAAGATATATCATATATTCGAGAACCTGGTGGCTTCAGACGTGACCATCTTCGGAGGACTGCCGGCTCTCCAGCGCCTTCGAGCATCAACCCCAGGACGAGATACGGCACAGTTGATAGGGAAGCCTTGGCCTCGGAGCCAGCTCGTCCACAATTCGTTACCAGAAACTTTATCGAATTCCTCACGTTGTACGGCCACTTCGCTGGAGAAGAGCTTGAAGAAGATGATGAAGTGCTGGACAGAGACGAGTACTTTTCCTCGGATGCCCATGAGGATGCCACCACTGATGGAGACGACAACCGTTCAGATCGAGACTGGGGCGAGGAATCAGCGCTGCTCACACCAGGAAAGAGACGTCGGAAGCGCAAGGTCCGCGAGGCTGGCAAAGGAACCCCATTTGGCGCCGCCATGCTGCTGCTCAAATCATTCGTTGGAACTGGTGTACTCTTTCTCCCGCGGGCTTATTACAACGGGGGTATGCTATTCTCGAACGTGGTTCTGGCAATCATTGCCGCGCTCTCGTATTACTGCTTTATTCTCCTCGTCGGCTGCCGCTTAAAAGTTCCCGCATCTTTTGGTGGCATGGGAGAGAAGATATTTGGTCCCTGGTTCAAACACGCCATCAACTTCTCGCTTGTCATCTCGCAGGTTGGATTCTCCTCCGCATACATTGTTTTTGTGGCCGAGAATCTGCGTGCGTTCGTTTTGGCAGTTACGCGTTGCAAGACTGACCTCAACATTGGCATCATGATTCTCATCCAGATGGTAATCTTTCTTCCGCTGAGCTTGTACCGAAACATCAACCAGATACAGAAGTTGGCACTCATAGCCGATCTCTTCATCCTCCTCGGTCTGATCTACGTTTACTTCTACGACGTCAAGACGATTGTAAAGCAAGGCGGCGTCAGCGATATCGAAAACTTCAACCCCGAATACTGGACGCTGCTGATTGGCACTGCAATCTTTACCTTTGAAGGCGTCGGCCTGGTCATTCCTATTCAGAGCGGCATGGCAGACCCCAAGAAATTCCCTCGGGTTATGGGCACGGTGATGATTATCATTACTGTCATCTTCATCAGTGCCGGAGCACTTTCCTACGCAGCCTACGGAAGCCACACCAAGACCGTCATCCTACTGAACATGCCCCAAGATGATAAGCTTGTCAATGCCGTGCAATTCATTTACAGCTTGGCCATTCTTCTCTCTACGCCGCTCCAGATTTATCCTGCGATTGAGATCACTTCCCAGCAACTATTCAGCAGGACCGGAAAATACAACCCGTGGATCAAATGGAAGAAGAACATTTTCCGCTTCTTCATGGTGGCCATTTGTGCCCTCATAGCATGGGCCGGTGCCAATGATTTGGACAAGTTTGTGAGCTTGGTGGGCAGCTTTGCGTGTATCCCTTTGGTGTACATATATCCCGTAAGTCATTCTTCACATACAGACTCCTACATTGGGACTCCACTAATACCACATCCCAGCCATTGATGCACTACCGCGCTGTGGCAACCAAGAACTGGCAGCGAGCAGCCGACATTTTCCTCGTAGTCTTCGGCTTTGCCATGATGACCTACACGACATCCCTTACGGTCATTGCGTGGGCGAACGGACGAGAGGAAAAATCACCCGGTTACTGTGACAATGGTGGACCGGATGGAGTGTACTTTTTCAACTGAATGAGGGTTGTAAATTTTAGGATGACTTGGCGCATCGGTTGCATGAAACGAATGTGGATAAAAGCTTGCGGCATGTAGATGGGTAGATGGAGGGCGTTTAGAATCCCGCGAGGGGCTTGTGTAGGTCTGTTTGGGGAATGATGCCTGGGGGTAGGGGAACGACCTTTTCAACAGTGTCTGTAATGGAGATGATTGAATGATGAGTTGTTTGCAGGGTGTTCGATTTGAAACGAGTGACGGCCGAACGAGGAGCCAAGATGATGGTTCTATCCATATATGTGGGGCAGAACACCCTTGCTGCATTCAACTTGCCTGCAAGGCAAGTAGAGACGATCAAATCAAGTCAGCAGAAGATGCTGTAAAGGAATGAGCTGCACGCTCTTCTCTTGAGTCTATGTTACTCCGTTTTTGTTAGCAAGTCAAGTGCTCCTTCCGTTCTCAGCAAAAGCGGTATCCGAGTGAATGAATGAACACACGGGATCGCATAGCCCTCTATGGACGTTGTAGCCCATGCGATGAGATGTGAACTGGCTCGCAATCTAGTTGCTACGCCTCTACAAGACTACATGCCCGTTGATCCCGGCAAGGTTATGGACCACCGGTAGCACGTTTAGCCAAGGAAGCTTGGTGGTCGTCTGCAACGACGATCAGCCACTCTTTCGTTCGGCCTACGGCCAGCGCACCGACGCGCGCTCATGCAACAAATGGGATCGCGTTTGGTGCGTAAGCAGCATGTTTCACGGCGTTCTTCCTTGCCTTGTGCATTGATCTAGGAATCGATTGGAACGGATGGGCACGAGAGGGATACGTCTATGATCCAGCGTTGCAGGGCGGAAGAGAATGGAATGCGGTTGAGATGCAGAGCATTTTGAAATCAAGGAAAGCTGCTTTGCAGTGGAGCTGATTCGGGAACGGCTCGTGGGCGAGCTCCAGATATCCGGTTTGATGTGAGGCGAATGACGCTGTTATTGCTCAAAATGCACACCCCTGGCTGCCGAGAGTCGATAACCGAATTGCATAAGCGACTCTAAAGAGAGGGTGGTAAATTTACCGTCATGTTGTTGGAGGCCCGATGTAGATCCTCGTGGCTTGCTGCGCAGAACAGAGCATACATATACCACATGGCGGGCTGTGAGGCATTCTACCATCTACGTTTGATTCATGTGGCTCTGCGAGCGGCTCAGRGCCACAAAGACTACCTACCTAGCCTCGAGCAAGCCCCTCTCCGGGTCAGGGTCAGACAGAAGGCCCCGAGGCTGGAACGGCGGTCATCGACCCCGTACCAAGAAGATATCGATCGCGGCTGACGTAAATTGGTAGGAAGCAAGCTGATGCGAGCCTCATCGGTGGCMACCGGGAATCAATTGCTCTAGTATGTCGCTGCAACGGCTTCTTTGGTCGCACGGTAGAGCAATAGTAAGGGACCTTTCAGAATGCGGTGCTGCAAATGTGAAGATGGCGCCACTCGATGATGATCGATGATGGTTCACGGGCGTGATCAGGACATGCAAGTTAGTGGTAAGCTGTCATGGGTGGATGTTGCCGAAGTAACGGTAGAGATCCGAGAGGCGGACACCGCTGCACACGCGATCTCAGGCCGATTGTGAGTGGCCAGCGTGTTCGATCCATGGCTGCGTGAAAGGAAGCAGCGCTAGTTGTTCTTGTCGATGCGAGAAAAGGTGCCAAGGATCATCGTCATTGTTGTTCGCGTAAGTCGGGTTGGGGTGTGGTGAGGCTGTGGCTCAGCCCGGAAATCCTGGACTCGCAAAACACTCTCTTCTTCTGGTCTGCGTCTGCCAACTATTGTGCTGCCGTCTTTGTTGTCGCAATTGCGACTGCGACTGCACCGCGATCCCCTTCGCCGCAGTGTCCGATCAATCCGGCGCAAACCTACACCGYCTTGCCTTGTGAACAAGCGCTTGCCACCAGTGCGCTAAGGGCAAACCGAGAATACGCCACATTCGTCGTCCAGGTTCTACCGTGCTACCGAACCGGGGTGCGTTCCGACCTCATACCTCTCTGCCTGTCTCCCTCTGCTCGGCGCCGACGGCTCTGCAGCCACAGCCTTACCGTCGTGGGGATCGTGAGCAAGATACGATATACGCGACTTGTCTATACACCCGCTGCCAACGCAAAGACCCACCTCTGAAAATCCGAGTCTGAACGCTCTTAGAATCTAAATTCGGCATCCAGAACCCTGCCTGCGACTCCGCCGAATTGGACTTTACGCGCTGGAAACAGTTCGAGAACAACTGCGCCTCACTTGGAGCCGGACGYGCATGCTAATGTGCTCCTTGCTCTCGAGCAGGCGAGCAATTGATCGAAAGGGCTCGCAGGAAGCCCGATCGTTGTGGTGCGTTCTTCTTCTGCAAGGCCTTCCTTCGCATCAATGGGAGCAATTGTTGCCATACCATGATCACGCATTGGGCGCATCTGCCAGTGGAGCATTCAGCATTCAGACTAATCTGCTTTGCAGTCATACTAGATCTCAGCCAAAATCGCATCCTTATAGAATAAGTCGGATGACGTGCTAGCCTAATGGCGGCGAAGCGAGCGAGCCCAACTACGGAGCCTCTTACACCGCTAGGCTCGGTACCTCCATCGTCGACGACCACAGCCTCTAGTACTGAGGCGCCTCGTCTGCTACACCCCCACACGACGCCAAAGGAATCCTATCCGGGAAAGTTGCAAAAGCACAGGCTGTCGCCTGCTGCTGCCGCTGCGCTGCCCTTGACCGGTGCAGCTGCTATGGCAGAGATGAAGCGAAGGTCACAACAATCGCACCCGCAAACAAATGGAGGGGGCTCTGCGTCGCGACGCACGAGCCCAAATCCGGCGCAAATCGCATTGACATCGTTGATGGGAGGTGGAGGAATGAGCAGGCCTACAGATGCACCGACTCCTAGTAAACTCAGCGAGCCATTGCGTACAGCCGCGGAGAAGATTACAGTGCCAGAGTCCATCGCGGAAATGGACGATTCGGAGACCAGTCCTGTCAGTATGCGCAGTTTTGGAACAATGGAAGGCTCTGGCAATGGCAATGGATTGACGGCTACTACGAAAGACAACGCACAGTTTGTGACTGAGCCTGCTCAAATGACGGACATCACAAGTTACTCGAGGAATCATGGACACAGTGGGAACGGAAACAACCTGGCCGTTGATCAAGATGGCAACAAGGCCTTTTCATACCCGGGACCGCCACCACAAACTCAGGATTCGGAGGATGGTGGGACGTCGCAAGGAGGAATAGCTCGGGGGATGAGCCTCCCCGGCTACGGTCAACAAAACAGCCCCAAATCACCCGCATCGTCGAGCAAGAGGCACAAGTGTCCCTACTGCTCGACGGACTTCACGCGGCACCATAACTTGAAGAGTCACCTTTTGACACATAGTCAGGAGAAGCCATACGTGTGCCAAACCTGCCAAGCGCGCTTTCGAAGATTGCACGATCTGAAGCGGCATACAAAGCTTCACACGGGAGAAAGGCCTCACAAATGCAATCAGTGTGGTCGTCAGTTCGCGCGAGGCGATGCGCTTGCGAGACATAACAAAGGACCGGGAGGCTGTGCAGGAYGGCGGTCAAGCTTCGGTGCGGAAGACGAGTACGGTGACGGGGTCGGCCCCGACGGCATGGACGGTGTCGAATACGATGATGGAAACGAGCGGGAGAGCGAGCAACAGGATCAGGCTCGCCGAATCAGCGAACCCAATCGCAAACGCCAGCAACTGGAGACTCCTCAAGACACGAATCGAGAAGTGTATCGGCAGCACTCGAGCACATATCCACCAGCACCGACCCGATCTATGCAGGGCAGCATGGGTCCACCTCAGGTTTGTGCAGCGATTTCCTCTTGCAAGTGCGAACAAGTATGGCTAACACCTTCGCTCTTACAGGTAATTCACCCAGGCTCCAGCAGCACTTCACCGCACGAAAATCCTAGCCACCACAGCCCGGCGCCGGGGTCTTATTACAGCCAAGGTCAGGTTTTCTCGGAGCCGGGCATGATGACTTCATCTCCGAAGCCGCTTTCGCCTGGTCAGCCTCCAGATCAGCATCGACTTGGTGTCGGGGATGGAGCAGGACCTGGCACGCTTCAGCGGAACCGCTCCACGAGCTTGACCAAGCAATTTCAACAAGCGTACTTTGGTCGTGGTAGTGGCACTGGGACTGGCGGGCGAACTCCACCGCCCCCGACGCACCAATTTGCCTTGCAGCAGCAAGGCGCGCAGCTTAACATTCTGCCTCCTCTGGGAGCAAGCTCTCAGCCACCGGCACGGGGCGGCATGCAGCCGACCGTTCCCGTGCCTAACATGTCGGGCGTGCAAGGCCACCACCAACAACAGCTACCTTCAGCTTCTGGACTAGCCTCTAATTCGGGAAGCCACTMCAGTCATGGGAGGTCCTCTGGCAGCAGCATGCGTGATATAGCTGGACAAGATCCCAGCGATATCTGGACCTATGTGCGCCAGCTAGAATCACGATTCAGTCGGATGCAAGACGAGTATGAACTGCGTATTAGCAGACTGCAAGAGGAAGTCATTTCGCTCAAGGGACAAATGGGCAGCATCTCTAACCCGGCCAGCTATAGCAGCGACATGGGGCAGCGACCTTACCCGGGATGATTCACGACGACCTCTGGGAAGCGCTCTTAGTTTACGACGCGATAAGTGGATCAAGAGGGAAAAATGTTTGTACATTATTGAAAATTTGTTGATACCCGACGCTCAGGCGGTGACGCGGTCTTGCTCAAGCAACATCTACGGAGCGCGCGGAGGCCGGCCTGATGCGGTGCAAGTTTCTGTGATTACAAGGGCATGTTATGAGAACGTATGAGGCATCGAGAGAAAGAGTCTGCCAACGGAAGTATGTACTGTTCTACTATATAGAAGAGGAGCAATCCACGGGGGGATGGAGACATGATTGCGATCTTTCATTCGACAAGTTGATTATTCCAGCGTGAAGTTTGTACGTGTTGAGGTGGAAGTGGTCCATCCCCTCGATTCCTGCTCTCAATGTAGGAAAAAGTGAACGACACCACCTGCACTTGGAGAGACGCCCCCGCGACCTCATCACCCAGGCCGACGACAGGCATGGCAGACATAACCCGTAGTACCGTCTCACGACCTATGGGTTCCTCGCATGGTAATGCTGCCGGCGTAAGGGAGGGCCATGACGAGAACTACCAATCCGATCGTAGTAAGTGGAGGTATTGTTCCTGCTGAACAATGAAATCTACAAAACCTGTACATTGGAACCCTTATGCCAAAGTGAAGCTGCCCAGGTGCTTGCTYAACTTTTATGCACTCGGAGCGTCATCACGGCAGGATTGATCGGCGGCGCGTGCATTTACACCTGCATCTGTACCCCGGATTCCAGAAATTATATCGTACCACTGCCACGACGCCTGCAACGGCGACGGAAGCAAGAGTCCCCGGCCTGCAAACCATTATGCATCGCCGTCGATAGCCACGCCTCCCGACCAAGCGACTCACCCTCCAGCAATCACCATGCCGACCGCGACGCCCCCGACAAATGGAGCACCACGTACCCGAATTAATGGCCATCATGTCCCCTCCTCAAAATCCCCCACACGCGATACCGAATGCCAGACCGAAGATGACTCGAGCCCCGAAAGGACAGCGAAACTACTAGCAGATCGGCCGCGACACAAGCGAAAGGAGTCCAGTCCGCTAGCACCTGCTTTCATCATCTCCGCTCCGGGCAAGACCATTGTCTACGGCGAGCATGCAGTCGTGCATGGAAAAGCGGCGATCGCTGCTGCCATCTCCCTTCGCACATATCTCCTCGTCACCACACTATCCAAGTCGAAGAAGACGATCAGCCTAAAGTTCACGGATATCGGACTGGATCACACATGGAACATTGCAGACTTGCCTTGGAGGGAGTTTGCGCCGCGGAAGAAGAAGTATTATGATTTGGTTACGACGCTGGATAAAGAGCTGGTGGAGGTCATGCAGCCGCATATAGCATCTGTGGGTGCTGATGAGGCTTCGCCAGAGAAGAAGAAGATCCATCAGTCTGCCGCAAGTGCATTTCTCTATCTGTTCCTCTCACTCGGCTCAGAGCACTCACCCGGTGCTGTTTATGCTATGCGTTCGACGATACCAATCGGAGCAGGCCTGGGCAGCAGTGCGAGTGTAAGTGTGTGTATTGCAGCTGCGCTGCTGGTTCAATCTCGAGCTCTCTCTGGGCCACATGCAGATCAGCAGAGCACCGAGGCAGAACAACAGTTGGAAAGGATCAATCGTTGGGCATTCGTCGGTGAGCTGCTCATTCATGGCAATCCCAGCGGAGTGGACAATACAGTCGCCACGAATGGTCATGCTGTAATGTTTCAGCGAACAGACTACAACAAGCCACCCTCAGTTGAGATTCTACGCGACTTCCCCGAGCTTCCGTTATTGCTAGTCGACACCTGCCAGGCAAAGTCCACGGCTGCAGAGGTTGCGAAAGTTGGGCAGTTGAAAACTATGCATCCCACGGTCGTCGAGGGCATCCTAAATGCAATCGATAGCATTACACGATCCGTCTACGACAAGATCACCAGCGACGATTTTGATCCGCGATCTCGCGAGTCCATCACACATCTTGGAGAACTCATGAATGTCAACCATGGCCTTCTCACCAGTCTCGGTGTCTCCCACCCGCGACTGGAGAGATTGCGGTATCTGGTGGATCAGGCGGGTGTAGGCTGGACGAAACTCACTGGAGCTGGAGGTGGAGGCTGTGCCATCACTTTATTGAAGCCAGAGGCATCACCAGAATCCAGTCAGCTGAATGGCGAAGCCGCTCACTCATTGACGGACTCTGCRATCAGCGTGCTTGTGAGGCAACTGGAGGAGGAAGGCTTCACGAAATACCAAACGACACTGGGTGGAGACGGAGTAGGTGTGTTGTATCCGGCAGTCATCAGAGATGAGGACATCGATCAGGATATGTTCCTAGCGGCAGAGGGCAGGGAGGGAGTGGAGGATCTGGTAGGTGATGGCAACGATGATGGAACAGAGGAATGGAAGTATTGGAGACCTTGACAGGTTGAATAAGTGATGAGTATGCGGAGCGTGCGCGGGTTTCTTTCACGTGGTGTCTGCAATGAGCTTGGTCGTGTGCAATATGATTGCTTGCCCAACCAACCCCCATGCGATTCAATCTCACGCCTTTCCCCACGAAGAGAGTGTCTGCAGTAATCATCGCCTACCGCCGGCTCAAGCCCTGGTCAATCTTCCTCCGATGCTTTGGCAGCTATAGGAAATGGCCTCCCCGGATTCTGCCATCTTAGACCGAACGTGGGGACAGCTTTCCACGTCGCGCTTACTCGTGAGATTGTGCCAGATCATGGTTGGGTCAAGAACGGGCGTAGCGGAAGGGAGCATCAAAGTACGCAAGAGTGTGCATCGATGCTGCTCGCGGGATGCGGATGTTGCACACTGAGGGATAGGGTTGATGGAAATACGACGAGTGTGCCTTGGGTTGTTATTAGGATGGTTTTCATACCACAACCATTACCTCGATATAATCATGATCATTTACAAGGCCTTTCCCATTCACATGGTCCCTGCTCGATGGTTCTCGTCTCCCCTCTCCACTCCAGTCTTTAATGTCTTGGTATTGTTCTTCTGAAGCGGACGTTCTTTCACTCACCCCACGCCCAAACCCCGCCATCAAACTCTCTTTCTTCTCCTTGCAACTTCGCGCTCCAACCTCGACATCGGTCTCCACAAGCAACACTGACCGACCATCGTCATGGGCAAATACAGCGATGACCCGGAATGGGCTGATATCGTGCCTCTCCCAACCGACGAAGGCGGTCCCAACCCACTTGCGGCCATCGCATACAGTGACGAGTACGGCGAGTGCATGTCCTACCTGCGTGCCGTTATGGCCGTCAACGAGTTTTCTCCTCGCGTACTTGAGCTTACCGAAGATCTCATCGATATGAATCCGGCTCACTACACCGTCTGGCTCTACCGCGCACAATGCCTGTTTGCACTGGACTACAACCTCCAAGACGAACTCGAGTGGCTCAACGAAATCGCCCTATCACATCAGAAGAACTACCAAATCTGGCATCATCGGAACCTCATCATCGACAAGATTGGCAGCTGTGAAGGCGAAGCGGAGTTTGTGGAGAAGATGTTTGGTCTAGATGGGAAGAACTACCATGTGTGGAGTTATAGGCAGTGGTTGGTCAAGAGGTTCAATCTGTGGGATGAGGGAGAGTTGGCTTTCACGGAGAGGATGCTCGCGAAGGATGTCAGGAACAACAGTGCGTGGAATCATCGGTGGTATATCATCAACGGGCGCGAATCACGCAGTGAGGCGGACGGTGGGCCGGTGGAAGGCGTGAAGAATGCAGAGATCTGCGAGAGAGAGATTGACCTGGTGAAGAGGACTGTGAAGCAGGCACCACAGAATCAGAGTCCTTGGAGCTATTTACGCGGGATCGTGAAAAAGAGTGGGATGCCTTTGGCAGGGCTGAAGAGTTTTGTGGAGGAGTACGCAGACTTGAGCAAGGCAGAGGGTGTGAGGAGTAGCTTTGCCTTGGATCTACTGGCAGACGTGCTGGCTGAGGAAGAGGGTGGGAAAGCCCAAGCTGCAGAGGCGCTGGACCTGCTGGCGAGCATGTACGACCCGATTCGGAAGAATTACTGGGAATACCGCAAGGGCTTACTCCATTTGGAGGGCGCGAACGAGGGTGCTATTACTGCTTGAACTGGGATGCATTACAGGCGTAACGGGACTGGTCGATGATACCCACTTGATTGATTTTATTGAAGAACAAATTGCTCAACGCTCTCTTCATGTGTCCTGTTCTACTTGTGAGAACAGATTGGTTCGGTTAAGCGTACGTCTTCTCGCTCATTTTGACCTTACTGTATCGTCTCTGTCGCTACCTTTTACACCAGAACATTCGGACATTCCAGTTTCCAGTATAATGGAGCCGGTGTGTAAGCTTTGTCCTAACTCGAATCCAATAAACAACGCGGAATCATCGCAGGTTGCTACCTGAAATGTCAATTTGATTGTACCGTTGATTGACATCCGTAGTTGTACATCGTGTATACGAATATCAAGGCCAGGTCTTGGCCTTTGCAGATGTCTCCTCTCCCACATCGCTCGCGGAAGAGTTCGCCACTGGAACATCTACCAACCCGACTTCAAATTGACAGGCTCATCGTGTTGAAGCGGTAGAGCAGCACGATCGGTTTCTATGCAGTCATCTTGCAACCATTGCCCAATTCCACGGTTGCCATGCGACTCACTTACGCAGCATTCAACCTCAAATCAAGTTATACGACAATATGAGAGCACTGTGGTTCGAGAAAAGGCAAATGTTCAATTCTGCTCTCCTGACTGTCTGCAAAACATACGACCGTGCACTCATCTCCAGATGCCAGGACCTATGCATTGTAAACTGAATGTCGTCGCTAGACTAGCATTCTCTCCCGGGGTTTCTACAAGTAATAGAGTCGTTGGCTACGACAGGTAATGTGCAACCAATCTCGAAAAAATATTGCCGCACAAGAGAGCTCACGTTGAGGCACTTTGATCAAGATGCAGTTTCTCGCTCCAGGCCTTCAGGTCGGTCATCCAAAGCTCGAAATTCTCCCGCAAGTTTGCCCGAAACATCCATTTGACCGTATAAGCCAACACTCCCCCCATGACCTCCCACGTCCTGACTTCGCACTCGTTCTCTCCAGTGACAATGACCTCGTGGAAACGTTCGGTCTTGAGCCCACGCGCGACGAACCCGCCGTGCAGGGCCCAGGATACCCTGTACACTCTGCTCAAGTCCGCAGTGAAGCTCCCGTCAGTTTCCAGGATTTCCTTACTGACGTATTCGGATGGGCTATTAGGAGTTGAAATGTCCGTGACTTGCAGTTCTGCGTCGCTCACTTTCTCTGGCTTTTTGGCATCCATAATGGCGGGGAAGTTCATAATCGTTCCTGAACGCATGCGGCTCAGGTCATTGATGTCTACGTTGGGATCATCTGAAGGGCTTTGGCTGATGATTTGGGCTTTGGGCACCCATCTGTTCCACTTGTGGTAATCCTCAACACGGAGGATCGCTTCGAATACGGTGGCGGCGGGTGCTGCAACGTGTTTTGAAGAGAAACACTGAAGCACAGCATCCTTCCGTGAAACTACATTTGTAGTCAGTCCCGCAGACGGTGGCCATGTCGTTGATTGAGACATGTAGAGGCGGAGGAAGTAAGTGGTCGGTAGATGATGTCAACGATGGAGGCAAGGAGGTTGCAACAATGCCAAGACAGTTCGATCGACCTTCCTGGCAGAGTTCAGCACTACCCCAACCCTAATCATATGGCCATATGTGAGGGAGGCATCACTGACGTTGCCATCGATCAATTCTGTGAGAGCTACACAGGCAGAAGGTCTCCCTGGACATACCGACCAGTAATCTCTCACACCGGTGAGATCTCGATATGGACGACAGCAGGCGTTTTGAACGCTGYTCTCACGACAGGCATCTAGGCAAAGTCAGACAAAGGAGTCAACTAATCACCACCCCGACGTGCAATCTGGTCAATCCTCCACCAGTGTGACCCGTCCTTCTCGACCACTGACTCGAATTTGTAGCGACCACTTCTCAGCCAGTTCTCACCCGCTACCCCTGCATTGCCATCAAAGTTCACCAACATTCTGCTGCCAACCAAATAGCTCATCTTTACGCCCAGGGTATCTGGAACGACCGGAATTTTCGGCTCGCATTTTCTGTGAGAAATGACGGCGATCGCAGTCAAGATCATGACACCCAGAATCGCCAACGAAATGTAAGTGACGACTAAGAAATTCATCCAAGTTTGACCTGTAGCAAATGGCACACCGGAGATGGCGATACTGAGCACCTCTGCCAACAGCGTCATGATCGTGACCGCGCCAGCGAACCAATARCCGCGCGACATGGCCCTCCAGGTTGAAAGGATTGGCGTTATCGTAGGGGAGAAGCTTAGCGTGTCGAATGACGCTGGACCGTTGGCCAACTGATTGAAAGGTGCCATAACCATCGAGTTTTGTTCGACGCCACCCCATATGTTTGCAATGACGGTTGCAGTTCCGGTCAGGATGAATCGTGGGCCGAAGGTACTGCTACTGAAGAATTTGTTGAAGCCTTTATCGCCAGTGGCGAAACGATATGCCAAAACGACACCGAACGCTCCAGTCACCAGCAATAGTAGCACGAAGTCTGCATATCGCCATCGTTTTTCGTGTCCCACATATTTGTAGGCAGACGATCGAGGATCGACAGGTCGGTATCTTGCTGCTGTGCTTGACCAGTCCACTGTGGTAGATTGATGAGCCGGATGAGCTGCATCTCCCTCGAAATCACGATCCGCAGTACTTGCAGGTATCATGCCGTAGTGTTGCTCATTAGAGCGGTCGATCCAGGTACCGAGCTTGTACTTCTTGTGACCTATCTCCTGCCTCATTGATGCAAGTGTGGTGCCTGGTTCCGATGGCAACACTTTCAGGTCATCCTCAAACTGGGGATTTCCCATCAATTTCGCGACAGCAGCGATGGAGCTCGGGTCCTCGTCTAATCCGGTCTTTCGACGGAGCGCGAAGATCGATCCAAGTATGACTGCAGCTACAAAGCTCAACAAGCCTTGCAGCAGTCGAATGACTGACAAGGAAGCTGTTATTCTCGGTGGGCAGGCATTCCGAGTTCCAACCTCGGGATCTGGACAGTCCCAATTCGTGTCGACAAACACGGCTTCGGAAGCAAAGGCGGGTAGCAAGCAGCTTGTCCAGCATGCAACACCAATCGCAAAAAGCGTATATCTCCCGCTTCGCAGCGCCACAAGAGGCCCAAGTACAGCTTGCGCATGGTACGAAGTGAATAATGCTGACGAAGCCAGAGCCCCTTTTGAGCTTGCGAGTTGCCTGAATGGGTCAATGAGGCGAAGCTGCGTCTGGACGATAGCAACAATCATGCGATAAAAAACTGCTAACAAAACAGCAAGATAGGTACCGACAAACACCTGCACGGGAGTCCATCGGAAGACCACGACTCCTTTTGTTTCTTCTTCCGGGACATACACGCCAGGTGGAGGCGCACCTACTGGTGGTATCGTTGGCTCCGGTGCCACATAACTGCTGGAAGCAGTACTTATCGAAGTGAGTTCAGTCTCTTGCGCGGATCTTGTTTCGGCGACCAATTCATCGCTCGATGTTGTTGCCGCTGTTGGCGCCGCTGTAGTTTCCTCGCGGACTTCCACATGCCTCATTGCCTCTGTACGCTGCTCATCAAATACAGCTGCTACTTTCTCGGCCAGGTTGAGAGAGCGTTCATTGGGCGAATAATCATCCTCAGACCGGGTTGGCGGCATGGATATGCTCAATGACAATGCTAGCGGAGTGCCCGTACTGTCCTTGGTATCGGGAGACATACTTCCGCGTTTCTCTTGACTTTCCCGGACTAAGCTTCCCGTTTCATGCCATGCCTGTCTCCGATATATTTCACTCTCAATAGACGCCTTCGCATCCTTCAACGTGTCGATACCAAACCTGCCTTGTATGTTCGGAAGCTGTACAAGCGCGTACTGCAGGAGTCCAATCAGGGAAATGGTGAATGCAAACAGCACAAGTAGCGACGACAATCTCAATGCCACGGGCTTGTAGTTACTCTTGTTCACTTTAATCGGGACTGCCAGTAGTTGATGTGTCAATGAATGTATTACATACAGGTTCGATTCGGCACCTTCGGACGTACCGCGAGAGGACTGGAACGCAGCGCCGCTGCGGGATTGCACGCCGTCGAGGCGTTCGATTTCGACCCTGCTGTATATTTCGTTTGTCATCTTAAGCGTGGTAAGTATATTAATTGTATGCGGAAGACCAAGATGCCGGGTTCCTGATGTAGCTGGAATGAGTTATCAGCCCAGCTATCATCGGCGCAGCCTGATTCATTCACGTGCATTGCTAGTCTTCCATGGATACGGCCTTCCTCAAATTTCAGCCAGTAGAGAGGCAGGTCAGCATGGCAAGGCTGAGGTCTAGACTAGCACCATATGCAACAACAAGGCTCTGGCGCAACAGCACGGCGGGACAGGGCATAGCCGCCATTCGCTTGCACCATACACATCCTGCAAACTTGATTGGACCTCGCCATCATGGGCAACTTCGATAGTAACATGTGCTTATCGTATTTAGAGCAGCACAGACTTGTAAGATAGTGGCATGATGTTTGGCATTTGCAGGTGTAGTGCCTTTGGCGAGMAGCTGTTGGGCGCTTATATATGCGATCCTGCGAGCGACGAGTGAGTAGCACGACATGGGCCGAGAGACTGTGGATGTTCCGCCAAGTGTCCTGGTGAGCTCCGAGCTTCATGATTTCTCGTCTGTAAAGCATTGCAAACGGAATCACATGCGTCTCGCGTTCGCGTTCATTGTTGGTTCTTTACTCTCTTGCCTGAGGTGTTCCAAGATAGATATCGAGTAGCTGCTGTCCATGGAGACAAGACGTTGCAAGTGTCATACGCGTATGCATCGACAAGGCTGAGTGGTGGATGTGGAGGTGGAAGCGAAGGAAGGGCGAGGTTGTTACGCTCGGAAGAGATCCGAAACCTTATTTGCCTTGACTGCGACCACGGACAGCTTTTTTGWATCTAGGACGCGAAGACGAAGACGTGACCCAACAAGTTACGCCAACACCACCCCACTCGTTTTACATCATGTCGAACATCTTCGAAGCAGGGAGCACAGAGGAGCGTGGCGAGAATGCCCGTTTGAGGTATGGAGACAATAGGGAACGTCTACCGCCAGTGTACTGACCTTGCAACAGCGCCTTCGTCGGAGCTATCGCCATTGGAGACTTGGTGAAGTCTACGCTGGGTCCCAAGGGACAGGACAAGGTGAGCTCCTTTCGCCTGGTCGGTCGCTAGATTTGTTCACCAACACATTCATCAGATCCTCCAGAGTGCATCAACCGGCGAGATTATGGTGACAAACGACGGTGCGACTATTCTCAAGAGCGTGGCACTAGACAATGCAGCGGCAAAGGTACTGGTCAACATCTCAAAAGTACAGGACGATGAAGTTGGAGACGGCACAACAAGTGTAGCAGTTTTGGCTGCAGAGTTGCTGCGCGAGGCAGAAATTCTGGTCAACCAGAAGATCCACCCACAGACCATCATTGAGGGCTACCGGATAGCAAGCGTTGCCGCGCTCAAGGCATTGGAGGAGAGCGCAGTGGACCACAGTCAGGATCTCGAGGCTTTCAGAAGAGACCTGATTGCTATTTCCCGGACAACGCTCAGCTCAAAGGTTCTGGCGCAGGACAGAGATCAGTTCTCGGAGCTCGCTGTGGACGCTGTCCTCCGTATGCGTGGCTCAACCGACCTCACACACATTCAGATCATCAAGAAGGCAGGTGGAAAGCTATCAGACTCCTACCTTGACTCTGGCTTCATCCTGGACAAGAAGTTTGGCACTGGTCAACCCAAGCGCATTGAGAATGCGAAGATTCTGGTCGCAAATACATCAATGGACACGGACAAGGTCAAGATTTTTGGTGCGAGAGTCAAGGTGGAGAGCACAGGAAAGCTGGCAGAGCTGGAGAAGGCCGAGCGTGAGAAGATGAAGGCCAAGGTCGAGAAGATCAAGTCGCATGGAATCAACTGTTTCGTCAACCGACAACTCATCTACAACTGGCCCGAGCAACTCTTCTCTGATGCTGGAATCTCCTCGATCGAGCACGCAGACTTCGATGGTGTGGAGAGATTGGCACTGGTCACCGGCGCGGAGATTACCAGCACGTTCGACCACCCCGAGCATGTTAAGCTTGGCCACTGTGATCTCATCGAGGAAGTCATCATTGGTGAGGACAACCTCATCCGATTCTCTGGCGTYGCGGCTGGACGTGCTTGCACCATCGTTCTTCGTGGCTCCTCAGAGCAGCTCCTTGATGAAGCCGAGCGTAGCTTGCACGACGCCCTCGCCGTTCTGTCACAGACCGTTAAGCAGCCCAAGACCACACTCGGCGGTGGCTGCGCAGAGATGCTGATGTCCAAGGCTGTCGATCAAGCTGCACAGAACGTGGCAGGCAAGAAAGCACTTGCGGTCGATAGCTTCGCCAAGGCTCTCCGCCAGCTTCCTACCATTCTTGCGGACAACGCAGGTCTCGATTCCGCGGATCTAGTTGCGCGGTTACGGAAGAGCCATTACTCCGGCATGTCATCAAGCGGGCTGGACTTGATGCGCCCAGGAGGTGGTATTGCGGACATGCGGCAGTTGGGTGTCATTGAGGCTCACAAGCTTAAGAAGGCAGTTGTTAGCAGTGCCAGCGAGGCGGCGGAGCTTTTGTTGCGGGTGGATAACATCATTCGCGCGGCTCCCAGAGCGCGGGAGAGGATGTGAGCAGCTGATGGATCAAGGACTTTGCATAGCGCAGGAGTCGTGATGGAAAACCCCTGTGCGATAGATTGAATGGCGGGACTAGTCCGCCGTTGCTTTCTGTAGATACCTCGCCAAGATGTTGGCACGATGTATGAACAAAAGTCAAAACGTGCTATGATGGCGTGTTCAATGTCAAATTACTATCCACTCCTTCCATGTACACCATGCCCCATCTGACAGTCGTCTTTGTGTCTTGAAATCCTCCGTCAATGGTTGCTCCTAGAACTACTACATCGCTTTCAAGGGTCAAGCAAGCTAGCGAGCCGAGCTCGCGTTCACTTCCACCTTCCACCACATCATATAGTTCCACCTTACAACTCAACATCGCCATCCAAACAACCCAGCACGCAATGTTCCGCCCTCTATTGAACCGCGCTCTTCCCAGAATCTCAACAACCTCGCGCCGCGCAAATTCAAGTCAAAGACCACCACCGCAACAACCACCATCATCAACCACACCCAATCCCCATCGAGAATTCTACCGCGGCGGTCTCGGACGTGCCGTTTTCTTCAACTTCCTAATCGCCACTGGTACATTCCAAGCGTTGTATTGGAGTTGGTTGAAGTTGGAGAGTATGGAGGTTAAGAGGGAGAAGGGAGAGGAGATCAAGGTTCTGGAAGGCGAGTTGAAAGGGTTGATTGGGAAGGGAACGTGAGGGACTTTTGTCAATTCCGGATTTACGAGATAAGTCTTGAGTTCCTCATCGTGGAGCTGCGGTTCAGAGGGTCGATGGCGAAGCGTTGTTGGCGGTTTGGGGTGACAGAGGGACGGGGACACGCTGCGATGAGATGAGATGCGGATTTGAACCAGATGATCACTTCTGAAGTGCTATACTTCTTATTGCGAATCATGATGATGGAATGAAGGCTCGGGCATCTGGGAGGCGCATTCATGGTGGACTAGGCAAGCAACGCCCATGGCAGATGATCGACGGCGTGTATGGCGCTGGTAACATGCGGCCAGAACGGACCAATGCGCGGAAGGCGACCAAGATGTGATGATGGGCGCCGAGCAGAAGCTGTACTGCAGAAAGGGCGATTCTATTCTACTCGTCGAGGCAGTCGGCAGCAATTTCACATAAGAGAAGACCACGAGCAATCGGACATGATAGTACATTTAGTCAATACAGTATCCCAGGGGTATCTTGTTCCGCCTTCGCTATGCCCTCGCTAAATGCTACATTCAAACCACAAGACCACTGTCTCAGCCAGGATCTTATCGCTGACCATTCCAAGTCCAGACCCTCCCATCATCCACATTCATCCATCTCCCAGCCTTCACAGCGTCCCAGCCCATGGCAACAGCAAGTAAACGGCAACCAGCACTGCTGCTAGCGCATACAACACCATCGCTCTCCCCAAGCACTGCGAGGTCCAGCACGTAGGCTCGACCGACAAGCCGACGCAACAGCATCGCTTGCTCGGGGACGTTGTTCTCGGATGCACCACCCAGTGAATAGAAAAGTGCGCTGTAGAAGCCCCCCTCCCATCCCGAGTTCTCCTCAACATGCTTGACGTACGCTGAACCTGATTTGCGTAATGACTGTACCGGAGAGGACTGATCGAGAACGTCCTTGGTAGCAAGCTGTATGCGCTCCTGCGCTCGGTGGATCGTGAAAGATTCAGAGTCCGCTTGCTGTAGCTCTGGCGAAGTGAGAATGTTGGGATCGTCTGAAGCGACAAGCAGTTGAGTCTTGGAGCCACTCAGAGCGCCTGGGCTGAGTTTTGAGCTTAGCAAGCGCGCACCATCCAGATATCGTTCCAATGGAAGATAGCTATATTGATATTGGAATTCCGAGGGATGATTATCGCCACGGCGAATCTGAGCAGCGAGCATGCGGCTGGTGCCAGCTTCGTCCTTCAGCTTTGCAACTCGCGATTGAGCATACAAAGCGTCCTCTCCCGTCAGAACGAACAGATCATTGTAACCGGAACGAATGAGGTCGAAAATCCGCGACTGTGATGCAAGGCCATGCTTGCGAGCGTCTCGAAATTCGCGATCAAAAGTTTCGCCGAACGTGAATGGAGCTGTAGCCGTTGACACGACAATGTGCCTTGCAGTGTGAGGACATGGCACGATGTGATGCGTTGGGGGCCGAACGCACTTCGGGCTTGGAGGCGGCGCGAAGTAAGAGATGTACTTTCCCCAAGCCCAGTGCGAATCGTCGTAAAAGAAGGCCCGGCCTTCCTTTTTGGCGAGTCCGTAGCTCATCCATAGAAGCAGTAATGATTTGCCGAAGCTCGCATCTTCTGCACCAAGCACAAAGGTGAGGCTCGTCTCACAAACGTTTTCCATGCTCCTGGACTTGGGCAATACCCCAGTCCTCTCAGCGTCAGTTATGTCGAGGAACGTTCGATCTTTGGCGTAGTAGCCCTGCTTTCGCCACCACGGCTGCTTCCCTGAAGACAGAGTGCTTGTCTCAATACTGCTTTTTAATTGGTTGCCCTGCTTGCACATATCCGCATAGATTTGACTAGAGAGTGGGAATGTCTGATTGTGAGGTATCCAGACCGTCCATTGGGACCTCGCAGCCGAGTCGACGACAACAAGGGCAGTTGGCTCGCCAGGAAGAGGATTGCCGGCCACAATGTCGATGCTTTTACCAAAATTCGCAGTGGCAGATGGCACCGGATACATGAGGCCTTGCAGTACATAAACATACAAACCAACCATTCCACATGCGACGATCAAGCCTTTGACAGCCATGCTGCGTCTGAGAGAGGCTTTGATCCTCCTGTCGCTAGTAACGGGAGCCGGCAGAAGTGGCGATGGTGGCGGCGAGCTGAACAGCTTCTTGTCATCTGGAATAACTCTGATGGAGGGCGGTGATGCTGGAGGGTCCGAACTTGCTGTTGATGATGCCGAAAGGATGGTGTTGCGTCGGTCCCTCATGGCTGCTGATCAACTCGAGAGATTCCCAAATGTATTTGCCTTTTCTCTTTTTGCACAAGCCGGCAGTCAGAACCCAGTAGTTCACAGGCGAGTATGCCCAGTAATCGCTGACGGTAACCTGATTAATTTTCCTCCACAAGCTCCTAGATCCGCTGTGAGGCCCGCATGCGGTAGGTGCGGAAATAGAATCACAAAGCACCGTGATCAGTCTTGCTGACAACCCCGTCCTCCTCGTCTGACGTTGATGGAATTTCGATGCTGTGACCCGCGGATATGGCAATGAGATATCGGAGAAGGAGCGATTGCAGACGACCGAGGCCAGCTCCGTGTCGTTCAATGTAACGGGTAAATGAGCAACAGCAGGATAAACGTCCCAATCGCACAGCGATAAAGCAGATGCAGATGCAAATGGAAAGATGGAAGTCGCACAGCAGAAAGACCTACAAAGTACCGCGGCCATGCAGCCTGACCCAGCCGATGGCTGTTCCGCAGCGGCCGCTACGATTGCGTGGGACGGATCTCCGTACGAAGATCCTACGTATGTCTGTCCTTGTTACTCCTTGCACCGACCACTAGGAAAGGCTGGGCTGGGATGGATATGTGCGGTGCAGGTGCGATAGCCACACGGGCTTCTCAACCTGAAACAAGCCGGGCGCGGCCATCTGTCCCCCTTGTTACAGGGTCTTTTGGGTGCAGGGTTTGGACTTGACCGTTATTGCAGTGCTGAGTCGGTGACGACATTTCATCCGCGGAGACATCGGGCTGCGGTCTTGATGGTGTTGAGGCCTGAAGGGGAGCACGATTCGCACAGGTGAGGTTCGCTCAGCAGATGAGGGTCGACGAAACCTGTCAAAGTTGATCTGCAATTATGCGGAGCTAAAGAAAACCGGACCGAGTCGGTTGATCGACGGGGCGTCACGTTCCAATGATGGTTCTGCGATGAGATTCACTTCAACGTCATCTCAAATTTATCATCATTATTGCCGACGGAGACAAACAAATCATTGTATAACGTGGTTCAGCACGTGAGGTACATTTCTCGTTGATGCACACCTTGTTGCGGACATGCATCATGATACATGTTGGATCAGCGCGGATCGTGTATACGAGAATCCTCTTGCGAGGCTTTCCAGCTTGAGAAGAATGAAGGTATGGCAGCGGGAACACATGCTCGGGAATGTTCGTCCTTTCTCAAATTCATTTCATTCGCCCCCACACGATAATAAGTAGGTATCTTACAAGAAACAGAGACCAGTCCAAAGTGGACAAGTCTTCGGGGGTATTTCGCACGACCGCCAGACCATAAGCACCCTAACAAAAGTGTGAGAAGGAAAAAAAGTGACAGAATGCGTGGCTCATCATCGTCTCAAAAAACAAGCAAAAGACCTCAGTCGGAACTCGTTCATCTTTGAGGCGTTCATCTCTGAGGCGTAACTCCGTCTCGCACAGCACATGTGACAATCAGCAGCCACGCCGAGCATGTCCGTTGTCCCAGAGGCTATCAAGGGCGAGCAGGTGTCGTAGTGGCCTCTTCAGTGTCTTTCTCGGCACCAGCATTGACGGCCACGACGTCCGCAATCTGCTGCAGAAGGATTGTGTCGTGTCTTACTCTCAGGCTTCCCCTCTCGCCTCTCAACAGACTGCCACTCTCGACTTTGTCCTGGATCATCTGGTCCAACAATTGAGTCATTTCATCGACACTCTTGCGGCGTATTCCGCTTCTGGTTACGGTTACTTCTTTGGCCATACGCTCGCCGTCGTGGGAATTAATGGACGAATGTCCCGATGAGAGGAGAGCCACTGGACTCAGGGGTGTTTTCGAAAAGTTCGCCATGCCGGAAGAGCTGGACCGACTGGCATTTGTGGCATTGGAAGGAGTGCTTCGGTGGCCACCGACAGTCACTGAGCGAGAGCTGCTCTGGCGAGATGTACTCCGTCTTGCGGACGACCGATTGCTGTTCCGGAAAGAAGCACTGTTCAGGTCGGGGACGCTGTCCGCAGCGCTAGATGTATTCGGTCGCGTGGTGTCTTCACTCGCCGAGGTCACATTGCTCTTCCTATCATYGAACATGTCGCGCTTTCTTGCGGCACTTCGAAGGGCCGTGACCATGCGGACCTGATCATCCAGTTTTGCTCTCAACTCGTCCAACTCGCGATCCTTATCATGCAGAAGGAGTTCCAAACTTTTATCCTCCGGGGCGCCAACGCGGGTGGCGAAGTGCATGCTGACACGGCTGTGACTAGTTCTCCGGGCCTGCAATAGTCGCTTCTCTAGCGTCGCGATATATCTGTTTTTGTCGGCGAGATCTGCTTGGAGCATACGGTTCTGTTGTATCATACTCGCAGTTCCATCGCCGTCGACACCGCCAGAGTCTTCACCGTCCTCATCCTCGTCTGCTGGCGGACTGTCGTCGGTTGTTATGCGTAAGGCATGTGCGGGCGGAAGGGTGCCCACCGTGAGAGAGGCACCGGACATGGTCCTATTAAGATTATCGCGTGGAAGCGGAACCTCGACGGTCGCTGTACTATCGCGATTCAAGCTACGCGAGCTGTCTCTGCTCCTTATACTGACCGGTCGGCCATATTCGGATTGTACATTGCTGTATGTGCTTGTCCGGGGATCGAATGGCAAACTTGCACTCGAGAATCGTCCGGAGTTGACTCCCAGCGATTTTGACGACAGAATGAGGCGGTTCAGGTGGCTAATACGCTCCTTCAGAGCTGTTCGGGCAAGCTGCATCTCCAGCATCTGCTCCTCATGCCTGGTGTGCTCCTGGCGCTCCAACTCTGCCTCCATCTTCCGATCCTGTTCAATCTCGTCAAGTTCCTCTGCGTCCTCCTTGCCTTTGTTCTGCTGTTCCAGCTGTGTTCGGAGCTCCTGGATTTCAATACGATATCGGTCAAGCAGCGCTCTACTCCCCGGGTCGCCACTGTTAGAGCTAGACTCRTTCTTCTTCGCATGGCTGACGATGTTGTTCTTCGCTCGACTCGCAAACTTCAATGTGTTAATCGTTTCACCTGTGTGAGAGCTTGTTTGCGCTGCGCTGGTGCCCGACGACGAGAGCTGAATAGTACACAAAATCGACACCAGGGAGTTCCCGGATAGCGCAGGCTGCAGCAAGCGTGTGAGTTTACTGTCTCGATATGGCAAGTGCTTCAAGCCCTTCTCAGAGCTCTTCGCCCCGTCTTTCTCGTCCTTTTCATCATCATGCGACAGCCTTCCGATGACAGTACCCAGGGTCAGGAGTGACTTGTTGATGTGCGAGCCCTCCGTGCGCCTCTCCTTGTTGTCGGCGGCCTTTTCAGATCCAGCGAGATCAATAAGCGATAGCGTGGATACCAGGACACCACCAGGCATGATCCGATCCGCCCTTCGAGACTCTTTGTCAGCGAGGGCGCCATGGTCTTGAGCGCGGGCTCTTGATTCCACGACGATTTGCACGACGGCGTGTGAACGAGAAGACCGGGCATTGAACTGCGTGCTGCCAGTCCTTCGTGCGAGATCGCCACGTGCAATGACTCGCAGAAGTTGATTCGGAGATTGCACGATCTCCTCCTTCAGAGGAGTGGCGTACACTCCACGTTTGCTGTCTTCACGCAGCTTGATCTCTTCTTGTTGTGCGCCAGGGGTAGACTGGTTTAGCAGATCGTAGATTTTCTCGTTGTATATTTCCAGATAGCTGACACGTAGGAGAAATTCGCGACTGGGATTCTCGCGAATGTAGGAGAAAATGTCGGTAATGGCAAGCGGGATCACACCAGGTGAGTTAGCAGTGCCTTGCATGGAGAACGTCTTTCCAGTTCCGGTCATGCCATAGGCGAAGACTGTCCCGTGATAACCCTCCATGACTCGCCGCACGAGTCGTTTGGCGGCGTTGTCGTAAACCCTAGCGTTTTGATCGTGGGGTGAGAACACATTATCATATCGATAGTCGCCGCCTTCTCTCCCTCTGTAGGAAATCAGAGAGCGCCGCCCATCCACCATCCATTCGCCTTCCGGCGCGACCTCTTCATTACCAGCATCTGGACGCACCCGAACGCTGACCAGAACATTGCCTTTGATGTCCTTATCATCCACGTCTTCCGTAGCATCCGCAGAAGCGTCGTTGTGCCTTGATCGACCTCTGTCGTCTCCACCATCCAAATGCGAGCCATGTGCAGATGAGCTTCGACTTCGCGGCGGAGAGGGCAGACTGAGCAGACTGTCCGTCATTCGGCCATTGCCACCGCTCGAGATCAAATTGCTGTCGCCAGTGCCGTTCAGCAGACTAGGCGATCCGGTCAAGTTGGTGCCGGACTGTCTTGGACGCACGCCATAGCCTGAACTTCGTGACTTGGGTTTCTTCAAGCCACTTTCCGCGCTCCTGTGCTTTGATGTGTCCCTTTTATTCTTGACAGCCGGCAGCTGAGCAGATGCACCTTCCGAAGCTGTAGAGGCAGACAGCGGACTCGGAGGAAGACTGGTCACACGAGAGTTGCTACCCTTTGGGGGTAGAGGGAAAGTGCCTATGCTAGGAGTCTTGCGAATCGTCTTGGGTATCGAGGTAGTGATTGATGGTACGTCGGGCGGATTGCTGCTGATTGTAGGAATCGACGGCGTGGAATTGGCCTTGTAAGGCCGAGGCGTAGGCAATCCAGAAGGAGTGACCGATCTGTTCGGGAGCGCGCTCTTCTTGGGAGTCGTAGTCGGGAGCTGCGAAGGGGTCGAACTTCGGCGCGAACCGACGCCAACGTCGAGGCTGCTATCGGTAGACATGCGGCGGGTTTTGGGAACGGGAAGCGCGGGCAAAGGCCCATTCGGCGGTGGTCGCGATGTGCGAGGGAGAAGCGAGGTGGAAGTAGAGGTCATGGTRGAGGTCATCGCTCAGGCTGCTCGGCGCCAATGTATGCAGCCGTCCGCTCACCACCGGCGACGTGCCGCACTCAAAGATACGACGGTGATGAAGCTGCGGTTCATGGAGAGCACACCATGCGACTGCAAAAGTGCTTGGGTGCTGTCCTCGCCGGCCCAAGAAAGCCCAGTCCAGACCATTAACAATATGTCTCCCGTCTCCAGTAAAAGGTATCTCAACGACGGCGGCGGCGGGAGCGATGCGTGATAAACTCCGGGTGCCGAGCGAGGGTCAGGGTCAGGGATGTTGGCTGCAGAAACGGGTGTTTGTGCGCGCGCGGGATCCCCAATCTTCGTCAATGGCAAATAAGATCCCAGTGGGCTCCGAAGCGTGCTCTGTCGACACGACCTCCAGGTCCGCCTCAAGAAAATACGTTTGCCCCCGAAGCCTTTGGTCCACTAATCCATCCCAAAGGTACGAAAGCGAGCCTGGAAGATTCAGGAGAGGTTCTGGTTCGAGTAGCTCTGACGATCACCAAGAACTAAACTAGTTGCCGTACCTACTAGGGGCAGGCCTGACGCCGTTGGCTGAGAGACAAGAGGGGACGGGAGGACGATATTGAGAGGGAAAGAGAGAGAGTAGGAGTACCTTAGACAGGATGTGGTGCAATCTATTAATTCTGATTAGGCGAAATTTGTTCTCGTCTCAGGGCCTATCAACAACTGACTCCTGCGCGTCCTTTCAAACAATTGTGTTTGGCATAGCAGACTGAAGAATGCCGCCCCTCCGCCCTGACGAGACGGGAATCGAAACGCCTCGAAGTTTGTCCGCTCGAGGGTCGACACCCTGCATGCGGTTGCAATTGCAACATTTTAGCCGCAGGACATGACTCGCACCAAGTCGAGTCCTCACGCTCCGCAGCGCCGCGGGGCCCGCCCGCACGCGAGCGACATCACACGGACGCGACAATCTCACACTCCCAGCTTCATAGATCACCTTCCATTCGGGGGACACTGCACTGCCCTCTTCAGTGCCACTCATTTGGTGCTTGCTTGAACCGGAGCATTCTGCTGTGCATTCCATGGTATTCCAACACCTGGCATGCCATCCAACGCTCCGAACCATAGATGTGGCGGCGGCACATGGTGCCGCAGCGGGGTGCAGCCCAAGGGAAAGGATCCGACAGATTGTATGATGCGTTTTGTTCAAGGAGACCGTTGAATGCGCCAGTGCAACGGTTGTGAAGACGCATTATTGACGCACCACGTGGATATGCAGCAAGATCTGTTTGCACGCATGCAGTCTTTCGCAATCCCAACRCATGCAATCTTTTGTAATGCCACACGAGTCCGCAAGTCTCACGTGTCCAGGACGATTGACTTTGGTGAGTAGGCGAATGATAAATGGTTCACGCGCCGCTTCTGCAATCGCGAGTCTGTTGCTGCGACTCCGTTCTCTCGGCAGCGACTCTTTTACTGCAGCATCATGTCCCTTGTCAGACGCACGCATTGAAGGACGTCTCATGTGCTCGATACCAAGTCAGACCAGACACTATAGCAACGTCTTTGGTGTTACCCCAGACAATCCATGACACATGGCAATTCGATGTAACGTGTCGCTGATGTGTGGTGAGTATAACAAATGAATTTGGGACGATCAAAATCGATTGATATGATCATGAACGAGGCAGGCTGTAGTTAGATACCTTGGATAGTTTGTTACCTTCGATAGGTACCTGCAAAAAAAATGCTTGGCAAAGTCCTCCAGCCGACCCTTCCAAGTAGTGTAGCTGCAACTTTTGCCATCAACAAACATAGGCGACATGAGCGGCATGAGTAATGTTCCCGAAGCCAGACTGTCCTTGGACCAGGAACGGCACATCAGATACTGGACGAGATGCCTGAAAACTCTACTGCCACATCATTACACTGGCAACGAAAGCAATCGAATGTACCTGGCGTTCTTCATCATATCCGCTCTTGACCTTCTCGGTGCCTGGAACACCATCACCAAAGAGTCTGAAAGACAAGGATACATAGACTGGATCTATCACTGCCAGCATCCCGCGGGTGGCTTTCGCATGTGGCCTGGGACGAACTTTGGCGAGCGGGCGAATGAAGCAAACTCAAAATGGGATCCTGCCAATATACCGGCGACGTATTTTGCCTTGTCAGCACTCTTGATCCTCAAAGATGACATGAAGCGCGTGCGTCGGAAGCAGACTCTCCAGTGGCTTGTGCAAATGCAGCGTCCTGACGGATCATTTGGCGAAACTTTAGTTGGCGGGCACATTGAAGGCGGGAGAGACCCACGATTCGGTTATTGTGCCACTGGCATTCGACACATCCTGCGTGGCGACAGCGAAGGCTCACTCACGTTGGAAGGGTCCGTTGTCGAGGACATTGAAGTAGACGATCTCGTTCGTTGCATCGAGGCTGCAGAGGTGAAACTCGACACGTTCTATCGCTTCTCCTGAAAGACACTCCGCTAACAAGATCGAAGTCATACGAGGGTGGTTTGGCTGACCAGAGATACCACGAACCACATGCGGGCTACACTTTTTGTGCATTGGGGTGCTTAGATTTCATCCACCGCATCAAAGACAAACACATGCAGGTCGAGCATCGTCCGCAGGGTCCGGCTGACGTTCCGTCGATGCTTGCCTGGCTTGTCGCACGTCAGACGGATCTTGATGATCCAGACATGGACGTGGGATCAGACACCGAGACTGCTGAACCAACTACCCACCCGGCGGAAGCAGAAAGTTCAGAGCCTGTACCACTACACCAATCTCCAGAGAAGTCGACCATGAATCTATCGTTCGGTCTCGACCCTCTCGATGCTGGTATGAATGGTCGTACAAACAAAGTGGCAGACACTTGCTATGCCTGGTGGGTATGTGGATCTTTCCACATGTTAGGCTACCCTGATCTGTACAACAAAACAGCTGTCCAGCGTTACTTGTTGCAGAAGACGCAACATGCTGTGTTGGGTGGATTTGGCAAGTTCCCGGGCGACTTACCGGATCTGTACCACAGTTACATGGGGCTCGCCGCCCTTGGTCTTTCGGGCGCTGAAGGTTTGAAGGCGGTAGATGGAACGATGTGCATAAGTGAGGAGGCTGTCTCAGGGTTGCCCGACCTGTGGAACGCCTGGCGCAACAGCCCGAACACGCCATCGCTATAACGAAAAGGTAGGATTACGGTTACGGAAAATGGGGCGTCATGACTGTATGGAGGGAAGGAACGCGATAAAGATCAAGAGAGATGGTACATATGCCAATCCGACGAATATCGCTAATCACATAATGTGCCCTCCCTGATGATATAACAGATTTAAGCGGCCTTCTTGAGGGCGCCGTGCAGCCRGTCCTCCTTAATAATATCCGCAGCCTTCTCAGCAGCCGCGTAGACCGAGCTAACAATGTTGCCCGAAACGTGGTTGGGGAAGATAGATGCGTCAACACAACGCACATTCTGCAAGCCCTTGATGACAAGTCTCGAGTCTGTGGCATCACCCATGKCGACAGAGCCGCAGGCATGGTACTCAGACATGCAAATATCTCTGACGCACTCCCGCATCGCCTCAGTGTCACTCATATCAACGCCGGCTGGTGGGAACAGACGCTTCTCAATCTTGTCTGAAAGATGCTTGCTCTGTTCGACTTTGCCCAACATCTTAAGACCAGCGGCGAGGACATCAACATCTGCGGGATGCGAAAGGAAGCCTGGGTCGACGGCCGGGTGATCATTGGCGTCTGAGGTCTTGATGTGCACGCTCCCTCGCGAGAGAGGGTATTGTAGGCACATGGCAGCTGATATGGCCTGGGGATCCTCGTGGGATTCGGGAGCTGGGAACACTTTGCTCTGGTTCTCAATTCCGCCCTCCATGCCAAAGTGCGATGGCACGAGCACCAGCTGCAGATTGGCGGACTTGTCATCACGGAGATGCGCAAGGGTGCGTTCTGGAGTAAGTCATTAGCCGTGTCCGAGTAGTCTGGAAGTATGACTTACCATATTGTGCTCTTTGGAATGGTCTCAAGCTCGGCAAGTCCTTCTCCACCGACTTGATGACCCTATCTTGTTCCTCTGGTGTGGCGAACAGCTTGTATGGGAAGAAACCTTGCCTAAATGGAAATGCAAGAATGATTAGCAATGTCTTATCTCAAGTCTGGCTTCCGGTGTCTTTTGCCCTTCACTGTAACTTACATGGTGCAGACGCTCGTCAATGGGCCGCCACCTGTCTCAGCAAGCGCTTTCTGTGCCTGCTCCATGACGGCGGGGTTGTGAATAGCCTCCAGCGTCATGTTACCGGGCTTGACCTCCCAGCAACCAATAGTGAGAACATGGTCCTGGAAGTTCTGTCGAAGGCCTCGTTAGTGACAAAGTACGGAAATTTTGAAAAATTGGACATACCTCTCCAATGGCCTTGTTCTCGATCTTTGGCTCAACGCCAGCACGTCTGAGGATCTCTGGATCTCCAATGCCGGACAATTCAAGGAGCTGCGGAGATTGAATGGCGCCTGCAGCCATGAGAATCTCCTTGTTGGTCTTCACAGTGTGGGTCTCGCCGTTGTGGACAAAAGTCACGCCAGTGGCCTTGTCGCCACTGAGCTCGATCCTTTGTACCATGGCTTCCGTGAGCACGTGTAGGTTCGGACGATGGGCATTTTGCTGGAGATATCCCCGTGCTGCGTAGCTCCGCATGCCCTTGTTGGGACCAGACCGGGCCACCAGCCTGTGTGAAAGATCGTTGGTCAGCCAAGCTCTTTTACGAATGGATTCAGTTGCGTTTTTTATTGACATACCCTAGAGTGTTGTAGAAACCAATGTGATCTCCACTCCATGGATCGACAGGTTTCTTGCTCATTCCGGTGGCTTCATCGCAAGCCTTGATGAAGTCGTCCTCGATTGGCAAACGCCAATCGTTGAACGATGTCCTAGCTGGGCCAGATGTGCCGTGGTGCTCGCCGACGAAAGGCATAGTGCTCCGGTCTGTGACATGATCGGCAATGGGCTCGAGAGTCTGATGCTTTCTCATGTATGTCATCATGTTCGCTGCATTCCAGCTATCGTCGCCAGCAATGATTGCCCAGTCATCGTAGTCTTGAAGCGATCCACGGACATACCTGGTCGAAGAGATGATTGTCAGCATGTCATCTCGTGGCGCTATTCCTTCAACCAAAGCTCTCTTGTAGCACCTCCTTTTTCGTACGCCCCTCTCGAATACAGCTTGGAGCGGTAACATTGGTACTCACATCATATAGTTGATCGCAGATGAGCCTCCAAGAGCCTTTCCTCGTGGAATATGGTGGCGACGGCCCTTGTTGAATTTCTATTGTACTGATTTAGCTTGCTGGTACAGTGGTATGCTAAGGTCTCAAAAACCCACCTGCGGTTCTGTCATGTGGCACCAGTCGTACTCTGGGTTCATGAACATCTGCATGAACATGGCAGGGGAGTCGACCAAGAAATCCCCAAGACGACTTTTGCCAGCCTCCAACACTCCAACCTTGATGTCCTCGTTTTCCGTCAAGCGAGCGGCGACTACAAGCCCAGCGGTGCCACCACCGACCACGATAAAGTCGTAGTCATTCTTGAGGAACGTCTCTGCAGAAGTGTGTAGAGCAGGGAGGCTTTGGGGGTTGTTCGCTGCTGCTGAGCTGCTACTTTCGCCGTTGGAAGACATCTTGCTGGGTAAGAGTCTGTAGGATTCCCGAGGAGTAAGCAGACGTGCAAGTGAACTACTGCAAGCCGTCAAGGGCCACAGCTTTATATTGCAGGCACCTGGGAGGAGTCGAGCTAAACCGTGCAAGGCTGAACGTACCAGATTGGACCCTCCTAAATCAACAAGCGAGAACCTTTCCCCACCTTGGTGGAGAGGTAGGAATAAATCCGTCCAGCCGCATGCCGATGATCACTGCTATAATTCGAGCAAGTCGCGCCTTCGTGGTTGAGCTACCTCGAACTGACAACGTACAGTCTGACGCTTCCAGCAGCAACTAGAAGTCCTGGCGGTCCACTTCCTCATTCATTGATCATGCCGATTGCACCTATGAGCCATGACAACAAATATATGTGCGAGTCTCGGCCGCAAGCCGCAGGATGGACTCGTGGCGGCTCGAATGGAGACATCGCACACAGGTTGTCGAGGCGCGTCGTTCACATTAGGCCCAAACTCAGTCCCCATACCCCGCAGCGACCACGGTCAAGTTCCGCTCATGTACACATCATGTGTTTGCTGTACGCATGTCACTTGCCGGAATATGCCTTCTCAATAAGATGCTGCGAAGACGGCACTCCGTGGCGGGGGGCCATCGGTCTCGAGAAAGTGCAGTCATACCTTGGGACCACACATCTCATCCGTTCTGGCGCATATTGACGTATCCTCATAACGAGCCTTCCAACGAGTACGCATCCGCTTGCTTGAGAGGTGTAGTGGAGCAGGTTGAAACGGGGGGTAAAGGAAAAAGGATATCCCATGCTGCTAATATGTACAACCCAACGCTCAACTTTTGAGTTCAAACATGCTCGCCGCTCTTGCTATCGAGTCATGAGCTGGCTCGTTGCATGGCTGCTGCGCCATAATGTGTCTCATACTCTCTCACGCCGAGGCGACCGGTCTGCCTTTCGACTCCAGAAACTCCATGATACAACGGCCATCTAGGACACAACTTGCGTCTTGCTCTTCTTAGCTGCTGGAACGTCGGCCTGAGCATCGACAGTCTCGTCGAGTTCTCTCTTCTCTGGTTCCTTGCGCAGCTCAGCCTCCGCCTTGGCGAACTTCATCTGCTCCTCCTTCGACAACGCAATCAAAGGCTGCTCCTTCTCCGCGCTAAGGTTGAAGTGGAATGCCTTGATAATGCTGTCGGCATCGTCGATGGCCAATGGCCTGACGTCTGCCAGGGCCTTGATCTTCAAAGTGACGGCCTTGATTTGGGCTTCGGTCATGTCCAGGCCAAGCTGTTCAGCACGCGACTTGATCGCGTTCCAGCCCGTAAGACGAGAGGCAAAGTGCACGTATCTGCTCATGCCAAAGTCAAGTGGGTTGATAATCTCGTAGGTGGATGGGTTGTTGAGGATGGCCTTGGCGTGAATGCCAGCCTTGTGGGTGAAGGCGCAGAACCCGGTGATTGGGTTGTTGAATGGTACGTTGACCTCAACAGCCTCTGCAACCAAATCCTCGATTTCCTTGATCTTCTCGAGCTTGTACTTGGACTTGRCGTAGTCGCGGTCTGCGACAATCATGCGAGCCATGAGTCCACCGAGGGGAGTGATTCCATTCCGCTCACCAATTCCAAGGACCGAGGTATCAATGTGGGTGGCTCCAGCTTCAAGCGCAGTGTAGGCGTTTGCGATGGCGCATCCGGTATCGTCGTGGAAATGGGTCTCAATGTCGCAGCTGACAACACCGCGGAGGGTTCTGACGAGGTCGAACACCTGGCGTGGAGAGGCACAACTTTCATCATGTTAGCGAATGGCYCGATCTTGTTGATCGCAAGCTTCGACTTACCCAACAGTATCCGCGATTCCAACTCTGTTCACGCCGATCTGGTCAACAGCCTTGTAGATGGTGAGGAGGTCGACCAGATCACTTCGGAAAGAGTCCTCGGAGCTGAACCGGATCTCCTTTCCTTGTGACTTGACGTATTCGATGACTTCAATCGCGGTGTTCTTGATGTAGGTCATGTCCTTGCCGTGACTGTGCTCCATCAAATGGCTGCTGGTACCAATGACCACGTCCACACCATCGACACCTGTAGAAACTGCAAGCTTGGCATCGCTCATGTTACACCGAACGTGAGTGAGGATCTTGGCCTTCAGTCCAAGCTTGCAAATTGCCTCACAGTCCAGGCGAGATTGCTCGCTTGCAGCGGGCGATGTGAGCTCGATGTAATCCACACCGAAATCATCGAGTGCCCTGGCAATCTTGATCTTGGTCTCGGTGTTGAAGAAGGCGTTGGCAAACTGCTCACCCTCTCGCAGCGTTGATTCAATGATCTTGAAGTTCGACACATTGCTGAGGAAGTCGGGCACGGGCGCGTATGGGTTGCTTGATTGAGGGCGAGAGTTCTGGTCTGTGGGAATGGCTCTACGCACGATGTGTCAATAGCCGTCGCTGTACAACAAGTAGCATGTTCCGTAGCCTCACCTGTAGCCACTGTGGCCATTGGCACCATTGGTGCCGTTGGCGCCATTGCTGGCAGGCGCCTCGTCTGCTGTAGGACACATGGCCGAGATCGGCTCTCAATAGCGACTGGGAAGACAGGTGTGGTGGATTGGAGGAGCAGGTCAGTTGATGTGCAGAGAGATGGCGGGATTCTGAGGATTGGCGGGTTCAAGTAGTCAACAGCAGTCAAGTTGTGAGTCAACAAAGTGATGGTGAGCGAGGTGGAAGAGTCAAAGCAAAGAATGTCAGTGCCCCGGCCGAGTATGACGACCAAAATATTTGCTCGCATTGGCGGAGGATATCCACCGTGGCTCTGACCTCACTCCCTCCACATCTGTCCAAACATCTCGCGCCAGCACCGCGGGAACGAAGCCTCGGTCGAGGGTGTTGACATGCAATTCAATGGTTGATCACATCCTGTTGGGGACGGAGGACTATATGCCTCACTCATCTCTCTCTCGCAATCAACTCTCTTGAAGATTTCTCTGCTCTCTTTTGAGCAACGAATGAAGAGCTTTGGATATCCGACCGTCCATCTTACCACCGCTCATTTCTTATGGACTACTAGGAGTTGTTGAATGCTCGCATACGTCAATACATTCCCACACACGGTATCCATTGTTATTCACGAGAACATACTACCTACCTAGGTACCTTATATGCAGTGTCTCGCTCTTTCCCTGGGTATGTTTATATACACGTCAGTCCACGGCAAACCCATAATCCATCAACTCCCACATCGCTTGGCGTATGGGCTCTCGACCGACAACGGCCCCCCGGATAAACTGGTCGACCGCACGTATGGTACGAAGTAATGCATCTCCACCTTCTAGCCCTTCCGGGACAGCAGCACGTGAAGGGCCAGAGCGGTGTAGTCAGCATTTGCCAAGACGCCCCGTGTTGAGCTGCTGCTGCTGCTGCTGCCGTTGCTGCTCTTGTCATATGAATTCCTTCATGGGTTTCTTGAACGTATTATGAGATTCCTGCAATGATTACTTGCCTTACGGCAGAAAACGGTTCCAGGAAGCTTCCATGACCTCCGCTTTGGCAGAGCACGGAGATTCATCACGAGTTTGCAGCAAGTGTGGATTTCTCATCTGATTCAGCTCTCTCCAAACTAATGGTGATGCTTCTGGCGGGCTCTCGCGTTCTCATACTTGTGAGGTGACCATTCGTTTGGGGGAAACATTGCGAGATCTCGAAGATCGACTTTGAGTCACTGCCGTGGCCGCTGCCCCGGGCCGCAACAAACAACTTCACCTCAATTCTGCAGCATGAATACAATGATCCCAAACAGTGCACTTCAAGCGTGCTCGATGTCCTGGAACATTGGAGCATCAAATATACAACCCCAACCCCAACCCTAAATCTCGGCTTGTCAATACCCTTTGCCCTTGTTCTACGCAAATTTGCCCTACTCTACGGAATTCAGTCCCCAGTCTTGACCAACGAATGGRTACTGCTGGCTAGATAGCCAAGCATTGCTTGCGATGATCCAGGTACGCCTCACATGGTACAAAGCTCCAACAGGCCACCTGTCAGCCCTCCGCCTCATCCATCCGGACGGGTAGTCGCACGATTCAAACAAGCCTCACGTTTGGGGGGAGCTACATGGTTGGTATCCAACAGCTATCCACACATGCATCCAGAGATTTGACTTGCCGGGGCAAAATACAGATCCTGAACGTGAACAACGCATACTGAGATCAGCATTCCATGCAGACGCTCCACTTCCTTCAGCCCGGAGCGACATTGCAATGCTTGAACATGCTTGGACACCCGAACCAAGACCATTCCGTGAGACCTTAGGAATGTCTCATGCTATTTCAGGCAGTCTTCAAAGGGTTGGCGCGGCTGCGCGATGAACTTCTCATGCTACAAAGATACACGTAGCTTGTACAAATGCCCGATCCAGATAGTCCAAATGGCCTAGCATCAAGGGTACCTGACAAGCACCTCGAGCTTTGGATTGAGAACCTTGACCAAGCCGAAAGCCCACAGGAACTTGCCGACAATCAACGATACCACCCAGACACGGATGTGGAGAGGGGCATGCCGCATGCCAATGATTGAGCTCACCGATGAGTGATCATACTGCAGTGCATCCCCGATCCCCCGAGTCCTGGCATGGTTCGCGTTGCAGGAGTTCGGCGGAGTCGGGAGCAGTTGCCAGAGAGGATGCCAACAAGAGTCATGTCCATCCTGGTCTGATGTTTCCCTGATGATGTGAGCGATGAGAGAGCGATCGTTTATTGATTCCCACCCAACCAGATGCCAGCCGCAAACCTACGCACGGATTTCCCGCTGGAAATGGTAGAAACTGATGAGGCAYATGTCAAAAGTAAGAAAGCCTTTGTATGCATGCATGTAGCTGTACTCGAATACCGGTCCTCGATCGCTGTTCGCTGTCACTTTTGCTCTGTTCATTTCCCTGCCAACTAATGCGCTGTTCTTGACGATTGCCTTCTAAACCTTAAAGACTGTACGAAAATCTCCCCACCAGACCCCGACCGCCGTCCATCCACACCACCAAAGCCGTTGTGAGAAATGAGAGCTGAGATTCTTGTGGGCACTGTGCCTCGCGGCTGTGGAGTTGGAATAAGTCCATTCTTGAGAACCATTCCCGCTCCGTTTTCTCGGCTCCCTGCCAACACCTGAACTCATATCCTAGAGCATCGACGCATGGCGTCTTTTCAATAACAAGTCAAATAAACATTACAGAAGCTGGGATGCCAATTCATCGAGGAGTGAGCCTTGTCTTCCTGTGCTTGACGCTATCTCCGTGGCCCGTCGATGGCATGCCCAGCATACTTGCGCCTTCTGCGTGCATTCAGATCGACTGGTGATGATTGTACGACGACGCAGAAGGAGTAGGACCTCTGCGACTCTGAATGAGTCTTTCGGTTTGAATGTACAGGCTGTCCAGTGTTTGCATGGCCGGCGCGTCCTTGAGGATCTTCGCGACCTGGAGACCTGAGCTGATGAGCTGGAGAATGTTCCTGTCGTCCTTGAGGGGCCGAGACTGATGCTTGGCCGCATGCCTCATCTCCAGGCTGTTCTCTAGGATTGTAATGAGTTGCTTGATCTGGCCATTGTAAAGCACGCGCGCTGGGATGCGGCGCTTCGTTGCTAATCGCTTGAGCAGATATACCCACTCCGACCATTCTCGGTCACCGGGTACACGGACGGGTCGCTTGTCTGGTTCGATGGGGATAGGAAACTGGTATTTGGCGACAAAGTCGAAAGAACACTGGGAGAGCCTGTCGTTGACTTTTGACAGGATGTCATCTTGCTCCTGGGCGTACAAAGTGATTGGCAATTGAGGAAGATCTTCTTCCTTGGGCTCGAAGCCTTGATCGTCTGGCTTGTCGAGGAGCTGCGAAGGGCCATCGAACTCGTCTCTGTTGGACGGTCGCCTTTGCGGAAAAGCCTTTGCTTGTAGGCTCGCCGTACTGGAGTTGGCGTCGCCTGGGAAATACCCACCACCAAGACCCATTCGCGCCTCTTCCGAGGAAGTACGCCGGATCTGCTGTCCTGACCAGTTGCCCTGAAATGGGGCATAGCCAGAGCGAGGACTGCGGTTGCCTTCCTGAGGCATGGGAGTGTGCGAGGTGGCGAATTGCCCCGAAAGTGGGGACGTTGCCCAGCCGGCGAGCAGGGGAATGTCCTGGTATGGTGCAGCAGGTCGACTGGACCACTCTTCGCGTGCCCAGCGCTGTGCTTGCGTGTTAGAGAATGGTGGATATGTCGCCGTACCACGAYTGTTCGTCGTCGACAGGCCCGGCGGTGCTGTGAAGTTCGACATGGGCTGGGAGACGGTCGGGACTGAGCCTGGATAGGTGTGCGCGTAGGTAGGATTTGGAGGTGGACGTGAGGCCGCCCATGGATCTCGTTCCTGTAGTCGTTGCCTGCACGCTGTCAAAAAAAAAACGTCCAAGTTGACCTTCTTACAAGGTGAGATGTGTGAGCATACTGTCTGGCGAAAGGCTCGTCCATGCGAGAAGGCAATGCAGCTGCTCTTCGCGACTCGTTGGGAGCGTAGCCCGTGGTGGTAGCCTCAGTAGAGGCGCCTGTGGTCATCGTGCGCTGTTCTGCCGCAATCTGGGCCGCAACTGCTGCAAAGTGCAACAGAATGCAAGAAAAAAGAAGAGAGGGACTAGAAATCGCGATTGGGACGGGGTACAGAGATAGTAGTCAAGTAAAGAAAGGGCCTTTGTTACGTGAGGCATCCACGTCCGCCAACCAGCGTATGACCATTTCGGCTTGGGTCGTGCTACCATCGAACCATCGAGTTAGAAGGATACAGGGCTTCGGCCAGCACGCGGGGATATTCGCTGCGCAGGATCTGACGCGGTCTGTCCGTGCCTGCCTGAGTCTTCCTCGACGGCGAGCGACGCCCAGGATGCCCCGGCTTTCGCAACGTGTGCAGCTAGGAGTTCGAAATCGAGCTTCCCGAAGACAGTCCAGCAGGCCAGTAGGAGCCATGAGACTAGCAAAGCTGCCGGGAGCGCTTGGCCAGGATACTGGATACCCCCTTGTATCTTGCGGGCAAGGATGTTTGATAGCCGGGAGTGAAACCTCATGTGGGCGTAGACCAGCAGCAGCAGTGGACGCAGAACCTGACATCATCTCAAACTTGACAGTCGACCGACTTGCAAGTGCCGAAAGTGAAAAAAGATATTTTGTCTGTTTTTGGTGCTCTCGTCCGACGCAGGTCGAAACGTGCCGGAGGACAGGCATCATGACACGTGCTTGCGTGCACATCTTCACCGGCATGTCGCCTGCGTGCTGCGGCAATAGTGTGTGAGAGCCACGACCATGGCACCGCCCGCGGTGGGTGGGGACGTCGGTCGGAAGCTCGCCACGCTCAGCACGCGTGATGTCGTCGCCGGCGGGCCTGTGGCTCTGGGACTGGCAGGCAAATGCACGCTTCGGCAGACTGATCTCCGTCAAGCAAGGCCATGCGGTTCGGTCGCTTTTTTGCCTGCGGGCAATTCGAGATACTTTCCTGGGGAGGCCCCTTGAGGATCATGGGTGTACCCTAGCATTGCACGCGCAACAACGGTGATCTGTGCGTCTGTTTTAAGTGGGCATCACTTTCCCCGAATCTCGCTGCCATTTCACGTCTCGATCTTCATCAACCGCTGCTGCCCAACGTGCGGAGCGGATCGCGGAGCCTTGCTCTCGACTGCACGAGAAAATCGGCGTGGGGGTCCAGAGCAGAAGGCTGACGCCGCAGCAGAGGGACAGAAGAACGATTGCTTGAATAAAAGTAATAATAATCGTGATGGATGTTGTTCCGCGCCTTCCCTGAATCCGTTAAGATTGGCCCGCCTCGTCCTTGGCATTTGCGGCTCTTCACGCTGCGCGGCAGAAGCTTTGTGTCATCATTATTATTACATACATCGAATTGATCTGGAAGCCAGGCACGTGAGCTTGCGCTCTTAGGGCGTTTAATTGATGTTCGTCAGGCTAAAGCACTCAATCCCTGCGCGGTTCCTCGCGGCTGGACACACACGCAGACGTCACTCCCAAAAACAGATGAAGGTCTCAGATCTGGAATCGGTGTCCTGATTGCACGAGAACGGCAACGTGAGATGAATTGTGGGTTCGGTAATTGGTATCGTAAGAGTCCTGCTCGCATGAGTGCCCATGCCGAATGAGCTAACGTGGGCTATTTCCCATGGTCTCGTACATTTGAGCGACTTGAATGATATAGTCCGTATTGCTCACTCCGTTTGCTGCCACCTCATGCGCACCGAGCGCTACGCATGCTTTCGGGGTCGTAGTATTCGTCTGCTGCGCCACTGGAGTGCTGATAAGCAGATGGTGCGACATGGCTTCGAGCACATTAGCATTCTGCAGGGTCTGACTTGGGGCAAGAACAAGACGAACCGTAAGGCAGTGTCGTGCGCATTGTACGCGGTGTGAGGTCCGCTTGGTGACGAGTCGAGTCCGGACTCCACTGCTGCAGCTGCCGAAGTATATGCGCCTTTTCGGTGGGTAAACCGCTTACGGGAACGATGCAGAATGACGGAACCATATGCAAGCTTGCCTGTGCTAGCGGCACTGCGATCTCTACGTTAGCAAGTCCAGACTCACGACTGCGCCATGAGCAGTGCTGATCGCCATCATCCGAGGGGTTCGCGTAGCTGCATGGGACGGCCGGGTGATTTTGAATGTACTCACAAAGCAACGATGATAACGATCCAAGTAAATACTGGCGCCGCCCCACCGACAGCTGCGAGGGCAAGAAGCACTACCATCCCGAGCCATAAGGCTGTGGTGACCGAGTTGAATACGACTACCGATACCGCGCTTAATCGTTTCCGAGCAAACAGAATGATCTCGATCCCGTTCATCGCAATAGTCAGGGCGGAGATTCCGATGAAAACACCGGAAACCACACTAGGAGGGTCTGGTTAGCTACGACCATCTACCAACGCACTCATCCGAAGACACTCACTTGACRGCGCTGTCCAATCTTTGCGGGTGCTTGGTAAGTTCCGTGTCGATCCCATAATCGTAGTCGTCACCGGAACTTCTCCAGATCCCCAGAGATACTGCCGATATTGCCAAAAATATGCTTGCCGAGACCAGTTGAAGGGTCCAAAAGGGTATCCAAAAAGCCTTCGACCACATGTTTTCGGCGTACATGGCCGCGATGTGCTTGATCGAGAATGGAAAGACGGCTTTGCAGAGCGAGCAACTCCACGTCTTGGGTATAACGTGGCGTAGACGGCGTGTCCTTGCGACCCAAGCAGTCGTCTGGAGTGATGGCTAGGCTCTGACACGCGCAAGCTCAAGTTACTTTGAGAGTGCGTTGCGAAGTCTTGTAAGACGTAACGGGAGCGAGTATGGGTGCGTGTTCGAAATATCTTTCAATGTCAAAGGAAATGATGTGGTGGTGAAGTACGGACTGTAGTGTGCACATGGGCTGATATGGCTCTTCATAAGTTGCGCTTACCTCTTGCTTTGTGCTAGACGAGTACCCGCGCGCGTAGCATTGCCTGAAGGATCTCAAAGAGCAAGAGGCGCAGCGAGGATGAAGTTGTGAGGCTTGGCATGAAGCTGGAGCAGGTGGAAAGTATATCTTGGATCTGCCGCTTCTAGATTGGCTAGATATGCGGGAAGGATCAAATTCAAGCTGGAATTAGCACAGCACCAGTTGAYTAGGCGCCACACTGGCCGCTTATCCACTGCATATAACAACTTCATGGAGGCTGCGGTGCTTGTGGTTGTAGATCCAAGGAGGCTTTACCAATCTGCGCCCTGTTGACCCCTTGGTAGTTCCCGCTGCTATGTGTGTTGTATGCTTGGACCGTTTTCACAGCAAGGCGCACGCCTGGATATGCCTGGCCACGTTGCAGCAATTTGGAGACCAAATGCTGTGTCCTGGGGCGTGACTCCGCAGCAAACTGTCTTGAAATGATAAGTTCATTCAGACATGTTAGCCACGCCAGCAGCATGAGTGGAGCTCTGGCGCAGGGGTGCAGGATATGGCCACAACTGCCTGATACTGTCGTGATTCTATAGCCTGTCCTCCTTGGCTTTCATTTCCTCAAAATGCTTACGGGCCAGAGTGTCTCGCTCCTCGCGCAGGTTGGTGAAAATCTTTCGATTGTTAGCCGCGTACATCTCAAGAGGCAGAAGTACACTCACCCAGAACCACAATGCAATCTCGAAGAATCCAAATGCAAAAACCATGCTGTTCTGCAGCGGCTCTCCAAGACTAGCTGTAACCCGCGAAGCAGGGCCAAACATGCCGCYCTCCTTGAATAGGTAAACGTATCCAGTGAGGCCAAACAAGAAAGTCAAACGCACTGGTACGTTTGAAAGCCAGTACTCCAACGCCACAAGTTCGCTCAAAGACGCGGCCGTAAGATCTGCAATCCCTAGGAAGGCCAGCAAGACACCGGCAAAAGCCGACGCCTCGCTGGGTTTGTCCAGAGTAGTCGCATGAGACTACATCACATCCGTCAGCCATCGATGAGGGTCTCAAAAGTGACAAACGTACCATTCTCATGCTTTCTCCAAGGATGAACACCACATTCTGATCGGCAATGACTCTCGGGGATGCCAAGAARAAGTATGCCGCGGTGATGTGGAACAGCGAGACTGTCCGTATGAGGGTGAAGGCTGATATGAGTCCCATCCTTGTGGCTTCTAATGGGGAAGCGATTGGCTTCGTTTGGAATGTTCTTCGTTGTTGTTTCGGTGGAATAAGGAGTTGAGGGCGGAAGGTTTGATGGTGGTGCAGTTCCGGCGCTAAGCCTCTTTCAAAAGGCGCTGTACGACGACTTATCGCTTGGTCACTCTTTCGAAGCACACTCGGACGACGCTCTCTCCGCCGCGTTAGTCTGTACATCAAATCCGAACCTGACTCCTGCTTACCCTGGCCTTGTCGAAAGCTCGTCATGGAGAAAACTTATCAGAGCTGCGACGGTCGTGATGACTTCATCCATCCTCCAAATAAAGTGCAGTCGCAGAGGCGACCCTGGAGGCATCGATACAAGAACATTGTACAAGCAATGCTGCTCTCCTGCGTTGCAGTCTTACTGTACACGTCGGGCGTGCTCTCCACCTTGACAGAACCATCATTGTCGGGCGCAGACAAGATCCTGGCCAAGCATCCTCTTGTCGACGGCCACAATGATCTCTTGATCTTGATTCGAGCAATATACGGGAATAAGATCTACGACAAGAACTTCACTGAGCCTTTTGAACATGGGAACATGACCGCCCAATTCGACTTGCCGCGCGCAGTTGCAGGCCGTATGGGAGGCTCTTTCTGGTCTGCTTTCGTGAATTGTCCAGCTGATGGTCTGGACTTCTCCAACAAGATTTACGCTCCTTACGTCCGAGCTACCCTTGAGCAGATTGATTTGTTCCACCGTTTATCATCCAAATATCCCAAATTCTTCACTTTACCGAAGGATGCTGCGGAGGCAGAGCAGAATTTTGCCAAAGGTAAACTCATCTCGCCCCTGGCCATCGAAGGGTTGCATCAAATCGGGAACTCAATCTCTACTCTGAGACTGTATCACCGGCTTGGAGTGCGCTACGCCACTCTCAACTGGAATTGTCACACCATCTATTCTGACGCTGCTGTTGTCACGGTCGATGGCGAGAGTCAAGCATCTAAGCCTTACTGGGGAGGCGTGAGCAAGGCAGGACACGACCTTGTAGCCGAGATGAATAGGCTCGGTATGCTCGTAGATCTCTCGCACGTCAGCGTGGACACCATGAGGGACGTGCTAGGTGGCTCGCCTGAAAAAGGTTGGAATGGCAGCATTGCCCCGCCAATCTTCTCGCACTCGAGTGCGCATGCACTCTGCCCTCACCCACGAAATGTACCAGACGATATCCTCCGGCTCGTAAAGAAGCGCAATTCCGTGGTCATGGTCAACTTCTCGCCCGATTTCATAAGCTGCAAAGCGRGCAACGCTTCGACCGGGCTACCAGACTTTGTAGAGGAGAACAACACGATTGAGCATGTCGTGGAACACATTATGCATATCGGCGAGCTGATCGGGTATGATCACGTTGGAATCGGCAGCGACTTTGATGGCATTGCAGGCACACCTCGTGGCCTTGAAGATGTGTCAAAGTACCCAGATTTGATCAACCTGCTGCTCGACAATGGCGTTAGTGCCAAAGACTGTGCAAAGATTGCCGGAGGAAATGTGCTCCGTGTGTGGCGAGAGGCCGACAAAGTTGCAGCACGCCTGCAGAAGGAGATGGAACCATTGGAAGATCAAGATGTTACCTTTTGAATGGACGGGCAAACATTACAAAGGTGAATATTTTTGCGTCCAGGAAGTGCCAAGAGCATGTGAAAGAAAAGCTAGGGCAGTTGAATCGTCATTCAGTACATGACCGCCATATCCTTGGAGCCGCCTCGTTTGAGGCCTCTAGGGCTAGTCGCAGTTTCCGACCTGCCTGATCACAGTATGTGATAACCGTAAGCATTGCGATTCCACCGATCTTGCGAGATTGTATCATGTAGCACTTCCAGCTTCACTTTCGCGGACGTGAAATAGATCAGGTGCTTGATTGTACTCCGTCCACGGATCAAAACAATCTCCCGCGCTCTTTCTTTCATCACTCATCAACACCGCTTGACCCTCCCCTCAACAACAATCTCCAACAAACCGTCTACCACACATTACTCCAGCCACATCATCCATCTTCGGGACAAACACTCCTCCTCTTCCTCGTCTGACTCGTCAGCTGCGGCTGCGCCCAGTGCTGGTTGCATCCCCTCCAAGATCAGGTCTCTTTCCGACCGCGACCAGCAAACGGCTCTCCCTTGTCAAAGATCTTCGATTGAAGTCGTTGACATGTGCTACGCCTTTCGAGCAACCACATCGACTGAAGACCAAGACCGAGACGATATCATCGCCATGGCCAAGAACACGACCGCCACAAATGCGCGCCGTCAGACCCCACCATCAGCAGCTTCTTCAACGCCAAGCCCATCAGCATCCGATGACTGTGTCGAGGTGGCCGCTCCAACTAGGACCTTCTCACCAGCTTCAAAGGCTAGAAGTGTGACTCAACGTCCGAGCGTAGTCAGGAGCGTAGAGAGCAAGGAGATCGAGGAAATCGAGGACGACGAGGACGACGAGGATGAAGTAATGGAARAGTCAACCACGAATGCTAGCGTCAGCAGAAAGCGTGCAGGCTCGAGCTTGGTGAAGGGTAGCGCGAAGAAGACAAAGAGTGCTGTGAGTTTTGAAAAGCAGAAGCCGTCTGGAAAAGGAGAGGCGTACGATGATCTCGTATATCGAGCGAATACGATGGCAAGGGGGCTGAAGGAGGAAATCAAACAGCAGAAGTCGGACTTGAGCGTCTTGGAAGATGAGCGAGACGAAGCACTCGTGCAAGTGTCGTCTTTGCGAAAGAAACTCAAGGCCGAGCAGGAACTCCGAGAAACGCAGGATGCAAAGCAGGCCGCCGACATCAAAACCTCCGTGAAGGAAATGAAAGTCCAGTTGAGAGCTGAGTGGGACAAGAAGAACAAAGTCGCCAGCGACACCAAGGATCGGAAGCACAAGGAAGAAATAGCCCGATTCAAGCTCAAGACGAACGAGGCTCAAGCGGCAATGAAGGTCGCAAAGGCCGATGCAAAGGAATCCAAGCCGGAGCATTCCAAAGCTMTACAGGCAAAGGACAAGAAGATCGAAGGCCTGATGGAGAAGGAGATAACACTATCAGGCGTCTCGGACAAGCTGAAGGACGACAAGGCAAAGCTGCAGGCTGACAAGGAACGTCTTGCAAAGGCCCTTGAGGATCTGTCCGACGAGATTTTGAAGCTCGAGTACGATGTGGCGAAGTTGAAAAGGGAAGTGAAGAAGGAGCAAGGTGTGAGCGCGTCTCACATCGACAACATTATCGGGATGAAGAAAAGCTTCAGCGAGGAGAAGAAGGTGCTCAATGAGAAGTGGCAGATCCAATACAACAACTCACAGGACAACGCACGCCGTGCCAGCGACATCCAACGCTCGATATCGACGACCACGCGTGCGCTCAATGAGTCCATCTTGAAGCGTGATGAGCTGGACACCAAGCTGAAGAAGGCGAATGCCGATATCAGCATGCTTCGGAAGAATGGTCCGAAGGAGGACAAGTCTGGCCAGCTCAAGGAGAAACAGAGCGGCGCTTCCAAGGTCATTCTCTGATTGGAGCCTCAAGGAGAGTAATTTGGACATGATGAGGTGAGGGGAGACTTGAATTATGAGAGATGAATTTTTGTGCTATTGGGTCTTTGGAATTTCGGCAAGGACAATTGTATATTACTTCAGGAGGTACGTCTTTCTAGAAGCCTCACATTCAAGCAATTGTCACGCTGAAGCGATGAAGTACCTTGTTGTACTGCTTCAACCAAATATCATAGATTGAAACTTGAGCGCGATTGCTCAGACCCACCACTCAACAATGTTAAACAATGCATGTGTAACCATTTTGCTACGTCCCCGATATCAACCCCTGTCAGCACTATCAAACGGATGAGAAGCGCGGGGATCGTTCTCAACATCTGTTAGATTGGTGTCACGACGTCCATTCAATTCATTCACATGCCAAATTCCGAAAGTGGCAGAATTAGCTTGATGCGGCTAGCCAGTAACACGGCATGTTGATCGAGCGCGTGGCTTGTCACGACTTCATTCAAACCCCAATTCACCATTCATTCGTTCGTTCATCCACACCTTCTCAACATCACATTCTCCAATTCTGTCATAATGAATCGTCAACGTGACCATGGGAGCAACGGACAATTGGCCCTGATGCAAGCCAACCGCGAGAAGAAGAAGCTGCGAGACGACAACACTGAACTCGAGCGACGATTGAAAGAAAAAGACCGGGCAATCACTCATCTAGAAGACGACCTTCGCACCGCGAAGGAGGAAAGCGCGAAGCAAATCCAAGCAATCCGCATTGAAGCCCAAGAGTCCGACGAGCTAAAAGATCAACTCCTCGCCGCTGGTACAAAAGCTGTACAGGAAGTGCGAATCAAGATCGAGGCTGTGCAAGCCGAGAAGGCGACGATCACGACTCTTCTCCAGGCCCGCGAGAAGAATCTGATGGAGTTGCAGGATGCTTGGGTTGAAAATGCTCCCGATCATACACGCGCGGCGCTTGAGCGCTTCAGTGAGCGGAGTTTGGGATTTGTCAAGAGCCTCAAAGCGGATGTGAAGATGGAGAGGGCGACGGGACTGGCGACGAGTCAGAAGTTATTGGCGAAACAGGCTGTGGTTGATGATCTGTACGATCAAAATGCCGCATTGCATGCGAAGAGCGAGCGGGACAGTAAGGCGCTGCAAGAGCTGAGGCGGGCTCGAGAGGAGGATCAGCGGACGGTGAGAATGATGGAGGGAGGGAAGCGGGCTGCTGATTTGCGCGCCGAGGAGGCGAAGGGGATTGCTGAGCAGCAGGAGGTGATTATCAAACGCCTCTTGCAGGAAAACGAGCGGCACTTCAGCGACTTTCCTTATGGAAACGGCTGTTAGTCCAAGGTCAAGCTCACAGGATGGAAGACTTACTTGGTTGAGGAATGTTATGTATATGTACATACATGTTGGGTGGAGGAATGTGCATATTCAATCCTCTGCGCCGACGGTGACAAAATGGACATGATAGCTGTACAATACCTTTCTTACAGACTCCGCCTTTCTACACAGTTAGACTGCTCACGGTACCTTCTCTGCCTCTTCCAGGAGGTCTTCCACCTTGAAGCTCGCATCTCCACCACTGAACTGCTGCATCAGCTGGCTCCTCTTCGCTGCACTTTCTCTCGCAATGCCACTCAGAGCTTCGAATCCATAAAACTTCTGCAGCGTCATGAGCAAGAACTTGCCCTCGTCGACACTGACACCGCGGTTCTCCTGCACGCGTCCCTCCATCAAGACGATGCCCTTGTTGAGCAGATCGAGGTGATGCGTGACGACGGTATGCGGTTGCRCATACTCCCCACGCAGCTTAAACTCGGCCAAATGGGTGAAGAGGACGGTTGTCGTCGTTTCTGTAGGGAATGTCCACTGCAAGAAATGTATCTCTGCACCTTGGCCTTCTCGAGGGATCGGCAGGATGAATTGTGGATGTTTCCGAGCGTTCGAAGCGATGCGGTTCCAAGTATCCGACTGCATAACAGCACACAAGCTCTGAGCATCCCGCACGTGTCTCAGCCGCCATATGGTCTCGATTTCTTTGTGCGGCAATTCTGCCGTCTTTTCCACATCGATAAAGCTGGAAAGAGTCTTGACAGGCGCATCACCTTTGGGGATACTGGATGCTGACTTTTGCGGCTGAGGGGGAGGTGGCGGTTGGTAAGGCACGCTTTGCGATGCGTTCTCCGGGGCTGGCGGTGCTGCTTGTGTCTGTCCGTTGATGGGAGCATTCATACCAGGGACCACGGCCTCCTTCCGCAACGCTGTGATGCGGTCTGCATATGCCCGTCTCAGCTCTTCTGCGTCCTTGAGGCCCTTCTCTTTCGCCTTCCTCTCCAATGCTTCACGGTACTTTTCCGTTGGATCCTGTTGTGCTGCGTAGAATCGCACATCGGATACCTGAGCCCATCGTTTTTGTCGAAAGGGCGCCTGTACCCTGCCGGTACAGCGCCGGAAAAGCAGTCCGGATGGATTCATGGTCGATGGCGCAAAGCAGACGAAGCTTGGTGAGTGATGATGTTGCCCTCATCGCACCTTCCAATAGAGTAGCGTCCACGCGTATCAATGCAGCTCAGCAATTAGTGCCGTCTTTAATCAATTGTGATCCTCATCGCGATATGTATTTGATGCCTGGCAAGGATGAAGACATTATCACGTCTGGCTTTCAATGCCTGCTCGTTCCCAACCACGCACCAAACTTTAGTCTGCTGTCTTCCATCATCATCGTCGTTCCCAGGTCGGAGACATTCAATTCAATCCGCGCGCAGATAAGGTAGGACGATAACGCCGAACAGCAGACCTCGGCCAGATCTTAAGCCGGACATTCCTTCGACCAACCAACCCACCGCAATCATGTCTACCTCTTCTGTTGCACAATACACAATTGTGTCCGAATCCCACCCGCGACTGAGACATTGCGAACATGCCGTCCCAATCGAATTGTAAGACATATCTCTCCCCCATCGCCACCCTACCAAGCTAACAACATTTCCTTCAGACCCACCGATTGAGCTCCCCGCCGCGAATGTCGGGCTTTATGACTTTTTGTTCGAACGCAAGAACCGCGACTTTCCAGACGACAAGGTCATTTACGTTGACGGAGAGACCAAGAGATCATACACCTTTGGCCAGGTGAAAGCAACCGCAATAGACTTTGGCAAAGGATTGAAAGGGCTGTGGGACTGGCAGAAGGGCGATGTGCTGGCTCTTTACACCCCCAACTGCATCGATACACCGGMCGTTACATGGGGAACCCACTGGGCCGGCGGTGTCGTCTCGCCAGCAAATCCTGGCTATACACTCGAAGAACTGGTCTACCAGCTGAAAGACAGCGGCGCGAGAGCTATCGTCACCCAACTCCCTCAATTGGACATTGCCCTACAGGCTGCCAAGCAGGTCGGGATTCCAGATGAGAGGATTGCACTCATCGGTGATGCGAAGCATCCCGAAGGCAGGATCAAGCACTTTACAAGCGTGAGGAATATCAGTGGAACCCAACGTTTCCGCCGTGCGAAGATCGATGCCGACAAGGACCTTGCCTTTTTGGTGTACTCGAGTGGAACCACTGGATTGCCAAAGGGAGTGATGCTCWCGCACCGAAACCTCATTGCCAACACGATGCAGGTCACAGCTGGCGAAGCGGAGCTCAGCTGCAAACCCACCCAGGACAATCCGGATGGAGACGCGATTCTTGCATTTTTGCCCTTCTTCCACATCTACGGTCTGACTTGTCTCATCCATCAATCCTTTTACCGGGGATTGAAGTGTGTTGTGATGTCCAAGTTTGAGATYGAGGCCTTTTGCCGTATCGTGCAAGATCACAGGATTACCATGGCTTACGTTGTACCCCCTGTCGTACTGCATTTAGCCAAGCATCCTGTCGTGGACAAGTATAATCTCAAAAGTCTTCGCATGATGAATAGCGGCGCTGCACCCTTGACAAAAGAGTTGGTCGAGGCCAGCTACGCGCGTATTGGAGTTCCTCTCAAGCAAGGCTACGGTCTATCCGAGACAAGTCCAACCACACACACACAGCCTTGGGATAAATGGTAAGTCTCAAACATCCCTCAATTTGGAATCCGCATGCTAATCGTCCAGGCAAACCACCATCGGCAGCGTCGGTACACTTCTTCCGGGAATGACGGCCAAATACATGTCGGATGATGACAAGGAACTCCCACAAGGCGAAGTCGGCGAGCTTTGGCTCAGTGGACCAAACGTCTTCAAGGGATACCTCAACAACCCCGACGGTACCGCAAACGCACTCACCTCTGACGGCTTTTTCAAGACTGGCGATGTGGGATATCAAGACAAGGAAGGCAACTTCTTCATTACAGATCGTCGGAAAGAATTAATCAAGTATAAAGGCTTCCAGGTGCCTCCAGCTGAGCTCGAGGGCCTACTGATTGCTCACCAGAGCATCGACGACGTCGCCGTGCTGGGTGTACATCGCGAGGACCTAGCCACCGAGGTTCCAATGGCGTTTGTGGTTGTCAAGAAGGGCACTGACGCGAGCCCGTCGCTCGAGAGAGAGATCGTGGATTGGCTCGGCGCGAAGGTTGCGAATCACAAAAAGTTGAGAGGTGGTGTCAAGTTCGTGGACGAAATCCCAAAGAGCGTTTCGGGCAAGATTCTCAGGAGAGTCCTCAAGGCGCAATTTGCCGAGGAGCAGAAGAAGCAGTCTGGAAAGGCGAAGTTGTAGAACGATGTCGTACGAGAAATGTCATGAAAGCAATCTATCATGCCGGTCATTGGCCGCTGCTGTTGGTCCTGTTCTATCGATATTCAAATACGCGAGCAATTGCTCAGCTCTCTTCGCCAACACATCTCGTGATCTCAACTCCGTCCTGTCGAAAGTCAGTGGGCACTCACTAGCTACGAAGATTCCCCGACTTACCGGCACGCCAGTAGGCTCGAAGCTGTTCACCAGCTGGCTCTCATAGACCAAATTTGGGTTCCCCAAAGTGGCACCCAGCTTCTCCTCTGCCACGCGGTTGGCATACTGCTTGCCCGTTCTCTCCGCGAACCTCTCATCAACTTTCGTCTCTCCCTCCTGCTTGCTCGCCCTCTCCCTCTTCTCCGCGACCGAACTCCTCACATACTCCAGATAAGGAGGATTACCCGGCTTGATAACATTATCCGCSGCCAACACAGATCCCTTACCCACCATTCCCAATTCCTCGCAAAGTTTCAAATCCGTGGTGTAAGCTGGTTTGTAATGGTCCAAGAACATGAGATCAATCTTTTTCAGCAATCCGGCTTTGTGCAATCGTGCGAGAGATGCATCGCTGGAACCGATTTCTACGTGCACGATATCGGATAGTCCGGCGAGGTGAACGAGCGAGGCGATCACGGCGCCGAATTCGGGGTTGCGTTCGAGAGAGTAGTAGCGTTTTCCTCCTGCGGCTTTGAGAGCTGCGCCGAAGAGGAGACAGGAGTAGCCGATGTAGCCACCTAGTTCCACCTACACGAGCACATGAGTAAAAGAAATAGAAGATGGCAGTGACAAAGGTTGTGTGATAATTTACCATCGTCTCCGGCTTCACTTCCGCGATCAAATCCGTTACTATTTTACCCTTGTCCTCTCCAACATTCATGAGATATTTCTGCGAACGTCCATATTCGTCAATCGCTTGCAGGACTTTGGTTGGGTTATTGCGGAGCTCTTCAATGTCTTCGCGGTTGTAGACGTAATGCAGAAGCTCAATTTCGCGACCATCGTCGAAGAAGACTTCTTCTTGAGCGGCATAGGCTTTTGTTTCGTCGAAGTGTGGCATTTTTGGGGATTGATGGAATTTAGAGAAGCTGATGATGGAATTGAAAGAAACTGGGGCAAAGAGGTGGAAATGGACGACTTACCGGAACTCCATTGGGGTTTGTTGGAGCTGTGGAGCTCTTGGGACTTGGAACCGTGAATCGACGACGCGTATATGACGCGATGGAGAGATTGGAAAATGGTTGAAGCTGGTGGGGTGGTCGGGAATGGGCGGCGATCGAGTGGTGTGCCCCTCACTTCCATTCTGCTTCCCCCGCATCAACCTTCTACTTACCTCACGTCGAGATGACAATGATTATTTGTGGGCTTCTGTCGTGTTAGAGATCGTATCGTGATTCAAGGTCGGTGAAATCTGATGCTTCAACAAGCTTCTCGTTTGCTGCAACGACTTGCTTGGCCGGCTTCCTGGAGAGACTCATCCAACAACTGACAGAGATCTTGCTGCTGGAGCTCAAGGAGCATTCTCATGCAGGATATCTAACCCTTCGCTAGACTGAAATCGCTTTCAACATCCGACTTGTCGGCTCAAGATCCGACATGGACACGCAGAATGCGTCTCAACGGATCATGCCCGCCTTCTTGAACATTTCGAATGTTTCCCACCAGCCYTCTTCTGGTCTGCTCTCCTCATGGAAACCTGCCGCCCTTAATCGATCGAGACACAAGTGGCGATCGAACGTCAACCAGTATCCATAGGAATCCAGCTGCTTTGAGTTCCAGATTTCGACCCCCTTCACGCCCTGAGCATCTAGCTTCTCCCGATGTTGCTTGATGAACTCGCTTGGCTTCATATCAGATGCGCTCGCGTTCTCGGGCGGCGGTACACCCTTCAAGCCGAACCAGCTCGCAATTTGTGGCCAGCGCTCTCGCATCGACCCAGGCTGGGCGTTGTCTGCCACGTTGAAGATTCTCTCTCGAAAATCCTCGGGATGGAGCGAGGCGAAAATTGCTACCTTCGCCAACGTTTTGGCCGAAGTCTCCGTGTACAATGAGTCGTAGCCCGCAGCTACACCGGGAAATGGAACGTTTGCTCCTTCACCGTAGACAAGCTTGTATGCGTAGAGATATACCGCCCAGTGTCCTGCCAGAGAGAAGCCACTGCCGTTGGGAGTGAATCCAATGATGGCATCAGGGCAGAGCTCACACCAGGTCCAACTTGAGTTCTGGCTCTCTTCGGTAAGTAACGCTCGATAATAGGGATATGCAACTGTCTTCTTGTAYGATTCTGGTAGGTTATCTGCCATCTCTTCAGAGAGTGGTGCGCTGAAGATGCCACCTGGAAGATAAATACCGTACCTAAAGACGAAGGCAACAGGGTCAGCGATATCCCAGACAGTTAGAATGTACACAAGGGTTGCGAGCTTGCTCTCTCCCAGACCTCAGCAATCCACAGCTGCGTAGAGGTCTTGTCATTGGTGATGTGCCTGGACTGTTGGGGATAAATTACCCTCGAGTGCCGCCTGGATATACGAAGGCCTGAAGCTTCGAAGAGATGCTGTTTACGCCTCGCACAACTCGACGCATCATGCTGACGTTTAGGCGCGCTTCTGTCTCATCGTTCGGGTCCTCTTTGAAGGCTTTCAGAGGTTATTAGTCAGCTGGGACGGTGCTATGATGCCAGAAATGGAGGATCTACCGAAATAAAAGACGTGGCTTATGGTGTCTCCGTTGGTGACCTTCTCTTGCAGAAGGCTTAGAAACTCGGCGTCAGAGCAGAGCAGATTCACACCAGATACCAGTGAAAGCGTCGGATATCCAGTAGCGTGTGAGGGCCAGAACGAATCTTGTATCGATAGCGGCCTGTTCACGAGGGCTGTAACATGGCCGAATGCTGGATGCTGGAGCAATTGCTCGACCACAGCCCAACCGATAAGGCCCGATGCACCGATGACGAGGGCGTGATTGCTTGATGCCATAAGTTAAATGCTCAAGCTGTACTGATTTGTGGTAAGGTCTTGAAAAAGGCGTCAGTCTTGAGGAGAGCGCTGCTGGATCGCGTTTTGAGCAATGCTATAAGCCAGAGTGCAGGCTTCCGATGAGTCAAGGCATATCGGTTCATCTGGGAGTTCAAGCGCTATTGCGTTTACGACACCGCCGCGTTCGTCGGTGTCGTATTCAGTGTGCGACTCCGGAGTCCGGAATAATGGGCTGCGCAGCGAGCACATGTCAGGGCAGGCACATCATGCACGATTTGCTAGCGTATATTCAAAGTTCGAATTTAGGCAGTCAACTGCAGATCATCCGCTTATCGATAACAGCTTCACTCCTAAATCCGAGCTTCGGTTCCAGCTTCACCCAACTTCAACATCGAAACCGCGACGTACTTGCAACACACAAGATACGCCACTACACAAATGCGCGATGGCGCCCCGCGCTGAGCGTGCCGCGGTGATGGTGCTCTCCGCTCAAGTAAAGTCTCATGACGAGAAGACGATACTTGTGGAAGCTGGCGGATTTACCCCAGTTCGCTGGTTCCTCGAGCGTGGCGTCCAACCGCAAGGCAACGAAGAGCGACCATGGAAACGCCAGAAACTGGATCACAGCAAGCAGGAGATCAATCTTCCGCGTTCAGAAGAAATCCCACTCTATTCACTTCAGCTCGACTTTGTTTTCCCAGAAACACTACAATCCCCAGCCGAAGAGGCGATCGCGCAAGATGTGGATTTCTCGGATTCCATTGGAATACCAGTGGTTCCATACGGCATTGTCAACGATGAGGACAGCGCGACAATTCGCCTGGCTCTTCCACAAACCAAGGGACATGTACTGCTGCTCGAATCGGCGGCTCTTCCCAAGGATATACAGTCCATGCTACGCATCCTCATCCATTCGATGACCGCCAAGACCAATGCCAAACAAATCCGAGCATGCAATTCGTCGTGCAAGTTAACACGCTCTGCGGGCAAGCTCTTCACTGTTGTTCGGCTGCAGGCTGCATTGTCCTGGCGCTCGGGTGAGACTGCTTTCTTGAGCAATGCTTCTGCTGTAAATCCAAGTCCTGACTACAGCACTTTCCTTGAAGCATATCCAGCGTCGGATCCCGACCACAGCAGTAAGCCTTGGACCCCAAAGGACTTTTACGACAGCGTTCATGCTACCTCTGGCGACGATAAGATGCAAGACTCCTACAACGATGTGTTAGTGAGCGATCTCTTTCCGTTTCAAAAGAGAGCTGTGAAGTGGATGCTGGGTCGCGAGGGAACTGGAAATGACAGCAGAGCGGTGCCTAACTTCTATGAGCCTGTAAAGGATCTGGAAGGCCAACCTTGCTTTGTGAACCGCCTCCAGGGTGTGATATCACGCGAGCCATTGAAGTTTGGGGATATATCCGGGGGTGGTCTATTCGATGAAATGGGCCTTGGGAAGACTGTGGAGCTCATTTCGCTGATCACCCTGAACGGCCGTCCTTCTGGGTCCGCTCTTCAATCGTCGGACGAATCCTCGCCTGATGCGCTGTCAGCGGATGGAGCAGGAAAGAATGTCAAAGACGAACACTCTGGAGATGTAGTCACATCATCGAAAGCGACCTTGATTATAACTCCGTCGTCCATCATAGCGCAGTGGCAGGCAGAACTGGCGAAGCATGCACCGGCGCTGCGTGTCTTCACCTACCAGGGGATTCCCGGCAACAAGTCTAAAGCGTCATCTGAGGAGGAAGTCATAAGAGATCTCACAACCAAGTATGACGTCGTGCTGGCAACATATACGACTCTCGGCCGTGAAATTCACTTCGCGGAAGATCCCCCTGAGCGTAATATGCGGCACCAACCCAAATTTGAGCGCAAACGAAGCCCTTTGGTTCAGATACAGTGGTGGCGATTATGTCTGGACGAAGCACAGATGGTCGAGAGCGGTGTGACTGCCGCCGCTAAAGTCGCTTGCCGTCTACCGCGGGTGCATTCGTGGGCAGTGTCTGGGACGCCGCTTAAGAAGAACATTCAGGATCTTCACGGCCTTCTGATATTCCTGCGATACAACCCCTTTGATGGACCAAATGGGGGCAAGAGCTGGAAGCGCCTCGTTTTCCACAAGTCGCTATTTCGCAGCATCTTCAATTGTATGGCGCTGCGACATACTAAATGGCACGTACGGGACGAACTACGCCTGCCATCCCAAAAGCGTGTCGTCGTCACAGTGCCGTTCACCATCGTCGAGCAGCAGCATTACTCCACCCTCTTCACGGAGATGTGTGAGGAGGTTGGGGTAAATTCTGTGGGAGCGCCGCAAAGAGATGGATGGAATCCAGAGGACCCCGAGACGATTGACGCAATGCGAACATTTCTCACACGCCTGAGACAGACATGTCTGCATCCTCAAGTCGGTGGCAGGAATCGAAGAGCACTGGGTAGAGGTGCTGGAGCCGGTCCTCTTCGAACGGTTGGCGAGGTGCTCGAGGTGATGATTGAGCAAAACGAGGGCGCATTGCGGGTTGACGAGCGGGCAGTGATTGCAGCATCTTTGCAAAGAGCCCACATTCTCGCGAACAACCGAGACGACGAGCAACGAAGTGAAAAGGCACTCAATATTTACGAGGAGGCGCGACAGACCGTCATGCAAATTGTCAAAGATGCCAGAAAGCGATTAGCCATCGCAGAGTCTGCCCGTCAATCTCAAGCCGGGTCAGATAGCGAGGATGGCGACGATTCAACACAACTGTTGGGGAAGTTTCGGACTGGTCTGCGAACCGCGCTTCAACTCGAACATGTCTGCACGTTTTTCGTTGCCACTTCCTACTATCAGATCAAGACCAGCAAGGAGGAAGACTCCGACGAATTCAAGCGAATGGAAGAGTTGGAGACGACCTACTATGAGATGGCAAAACAGTTGCGAAAGGAGATTCTTTCTGAGACCTCTCGAAAAGCCGAGGCGCTAATGGACAAGATCAAGTCTGGTACCTCGATCAAACTCTCACCAGTGAAGGATTTACCGAGCCTGGGCGGTATTGAGAGCCGGCGCATTGTTGAGAGAGCTGACGAGCTGTTTGACATTATCAACAAGCAGCAGGAAATACTTGAGGAGTGGCGTGCAGTCATAGCAGCCTTCTTGCTCAAGCCACTGGTTGATGATGACAAACAAGACAGCGATGCTGCTGCGATCACTGGAGAGGAGTACGGAGATTCCACGAAGCAGCAAGACGAACTCTTTGTCTACTTTGATGCTTTCAAAGCCGTACACGCTGATCTCACCACGTTCATCACTGGCGAAGCTGCTCCTCTTATCGACTGGGAGGTCAAAGAGTACGTCCGGAATTGCAAGCGCTTTTTCGATGATAAGGTGATGGAAGTACACAAGCTGATGGTGCACGCACCCAAACTGGGCTTGAAGCTCTTCAAGATCCGTCAAAAGTTCCGGGATGAGAGAGATTCTGCGGGGTCAGTTCGCGGGCTCATTCAGGAAGCTCGTAATCTGGATGTCTCCATGGACTGGAACAAGACGAGGACTGCTGCCGAGCGTGCTATTGTTAAGCAACACATTGCGGCACTTCAGTCCGTATTCACCTCCAGCACCAAAGTTCTTGCAGGACTGGAGAAAGAGGTTGAGCTTTTTAGGCAGACTCAGAACCAGCGTGTGGCCTTTTATCGTCAACTACAGGAAGTCTCCGAWGATGTCGCGGCTTACAAGGATGATCTCGATGATACTCTGGATCTGGCAGCCCTCGACGTCGTTATAACAAAAGAGGAACGTGCCAAGAAGTCACTGGCCGAAGCACAAAAGAAGAATCGCTTCCTCCTCCATCTGAGGGAGGAAAGTGGTGCTCAAGCCGGTCCTCGTGTGTGCATCATCTGCACCTCTAATTTCGAGAGCGGCGTCTTGACAGTCTGTGGTCATCAATTCTGCAAAGATTGCACTCAGCACTGGTTCAAGCAATCACGGAGCTGTCCGATGTGCAAGCGAGTCTTGAACACCACTGCCGACCTTCACGATATCACTTTCAAGCCCCAAGCACTCCGCGCTCAGGAGGAGACATCTGTTGAGGAACCCTCTCAGTCCGAGGAGCAGCAGCCTTCACCCTCCTCTCCCGGCAGTGGTGGGCCCCCAGTATCAATATACACCGACATGTCCCCCGACCTTCTCTCAGAAATCCAATCCATCGACCTCCCCAACTCCTACGGCACCAAAATTGACACTCTAGGCCGCCACCTACACTGGATCCGCGAACATGACCCGGGAGCGAAGTCAATCGTCTTCTCTCAGTTCCGCGAATTCCTTGACGTTCTCGGCGTAGCTCTCAAAGAATTCAAACTCGGCTCCACACGTCTCGGCCGTTCTGGAGCGGCTGAGAAATTCAAAGCCGATCCGAGTATTGATTGTTTACTTCTGGATGCCAAGACCGATTCCTCGGGTCTGACATTGGTGAATGCGACGCATGTATTCATTTGTGAGCCGTTGGTGAATACGGCTGTGGAATTGCAGGCTATTGCGAGAGTTCATCGGATCGGACAGACGAGATCTACGACTGTGTGGATGTACTTGATTGAGGGCACGGTTGAGGAGGGGATATATGAGATTTCTGTGAGGAGGCGGTTGGAACATGTGCAATCTAGGCGAAAGGCCAAGGAGAGTGTGAATGGAGGGAAGGCGGAGCAGGAAACGGCTATTGAGGACGCTAACTCGGAGGAGTTGCAGGCTGCTCCGTTGACGAAGTTGTTGGTTGGAGGAAAGAGTGGTGGGGAGTTGGTCGAGAAGGGGGATTTGTGGCAGTGTCTTTTTGGGAAGGCGAAGATTGAAAGCGGTGAGTTTGGCGAAGAAGTGCAGACGGAAGTTGGGAGGCATTTGAGAGGGGAGGCTGCTGAGGAGAGGCGGTTGGTTGAGGGGTGAAGAGAAGTGGGAACGATCATGATGATTATGGTGATGATGAAAGATGGCTCGTTTTGACACCAGTAGCTTATCTAACGCAAACACTCCGGTATACACAGCATCGGATTAGCGTTGAGAGAATCATGAAGCATTTTGCCGCAGTTTTCTCGGCTGCATTTACAATCTCGCTTTGTCTTCCACTTCACCATCATACAGTCAATCAACCATAATCTTTGGCTCCAGCTCTCCGAAGTTCTCAAAGAATCCATCAAACAAATTCACACCGTGCTCTGCGTCATACGCACCACAAGTCTCCCGAATGGAGTGCATCGCAAGTTGTGGGTTTCCAACGTCGATTGTCCTGGCACCTAGTGCTGCTGAGAGCATAGGACCGATGGTGCTTCCACATCTCGAGTCGTTCCTCACGACGAACAGTTGGAGAGGTACGCCGCCTTGACTTGTCTTTGCGCCAGGAAGCTGATAGGCGGAGGCTTTCGCTCTTCTGGCACACTCCTGTAGGAGAACGATTCCGGGCGAGTTGGTCGCGTATCGAACGTTTGCGTTGATCTTGATGACAGTTCCTTCGTTCATGTGAGGTCTGTGCTCGCTCTCGTACTTGGCGCCGTAGTTGGGATTGACCGAGTGCGCCATGTCTGCAGAGATGAGGAAGGAAGTGGAGAGAGTCTGCTCGTAGGCCGTGCTGTTGTCGACGTCGGCGTTGGAGACTTTGTCGTAGCTCTTCTCGCTATCAGTCGCGGAAGATGGGAGTACGGAAAGACGACGAATGACAGCAGGCAGCATGTTTGAATCGGCCCCCTGAGCGGACTGCGAGCCAATCTCCTCGTGGTCAAAGCAGGCGATGAGTCGGATGGTAGGATCGTTTTGAAGGGCAGATGGGGAGGCCACAGACTGAATCAAACCTTCAACAGCACAGTAGGTCATGCCCAGGTTGTCCAAGCGTGCGGAGAAGATGAGCTCGTCGTTGATGCCGCCGATGCATGATGGTTGGGTGTCGAAGAGGACGAGCTCAAAGTCGATGATGTCCTCTGCCTTGACGCCTGCATCCTCGGCGATGAGAGAGATGAGATAAGGGTGATGTCTCTGGGTCGGGGTTTTGAGAGGGTTGAATGCACCATCCTTATCTTGCCTGCTCTCCTCCCTCGCCGTCTCCTCGGCGGACTTGCCAGTCCTGTTCAGCTCGGCAGACACGAGCCCTGTGATGGGGAACAGCTGGTTCTCCTTGTTGAATTCGAATGGTTCGGAGCCGCCAAAGTGTACGGCCAGGTTGGGAATGCGGCAGATGGGCTTGTTGATGCGCACCAGCTTCATCTCCACGGAGCTGTCCTCGCCCTTGACCATCACGCGACCTGCAACGCCCAGGTCGCGGTCAAACCAGGTGTGCCATAATCCACCGCCATACGTTTCCACACCAAGCTGCAAGAATCCGTCGGCGGAGCGCTTGCTCACAGGCTTGATCCGCAAGCACGGCGAGTCTGTGTGAGCACCAACCATTCCCACGGGATTGCCGGGCTTCCACTTGCTGCCGATGGCAAACGCCACAATCGTCGAGGCATTTCGGGTCAGGTAGTACTTGCCGCCGGGTGAGAGGGTTGAGTTCCAGTTGTCTCGTTCCTAATACCACGTCTGTTAATGAGAGGTTCGCTATGAAGTGCTTGTTGGAGATGAGCACCTTGATGGCCTTGAACCCCGCCGCCTCGAGCCGCAGCTTTGCGGATCGCACAGCGTGAAAAGCTGCACTTCAGTCAGATTTCACGAGTCAACATGGTTCGTTGTTTCACAAGCGAGGGCGTACGAGTCGGGGAGGCATTCAGGAAGTCGACAAAGTCCTGCGGCCGCTTCAACGCTGCTTTGCTGGCCATTTTGCTGGATCGAGTGTGGTATGTCACTATCTGAAAGCTTCTTTGCGGGTGTAGACGAGCGGTATTGGTGTGTTGAAGGGCAGTAAAGAGAGCTCTGTTCGACATGGGAAGCGATATGAGCCGACGATGATGATCTGGGGAACAAGAGCTTCGGTCCGGATACGCTAAGGTTGGACCCTGCACACGCCACGTGCAGCTCCCGTTCCGTCCCATCAAACAATCATTCTTCAACATCGTCTGCGATGTACTCGACCCCTGCTTGCCAATGCTACGGTGAGGGAATTTGGAAAGGCTGGTCTTCCATTCGACCAAGGCGGTCATTACACCACAGTGCTCCTCTGCCAGCAGATACGGCCTACTCCGGGAATTGACGAGGAAGAGAGGCGGACGATGCACATACACGACCGGCCACGATCAAGGGGTCCATCGCCCGTCATTCCTCCCATCATCACAAGTAGAACCGAACATCCACGAGAATGAGAGTCAACGACCGTCGTTGCCCCAGCCAAATTAWATGAATTATCGACCGGTATTCCTCGCCCAGCCATTGAAGACGGACGCCAACACGGGCAAGCATGCACAAGCCAGGGCTGTCAACAGCGTTGAGGAATTTGAACAGCTCGTCAAGCAAGGCAAAGCGGACATTTCCACTGCTCGTCTCTTCCTCGAGAACTCGCAAAAGAGATTGGAAGTTTTGCCTTTCGAGGAGCGGCGTAATGCAGCCGCCAAGGTGGGAGCTGGCAGAGTGCTGAGCTGGCTATGGACTTCCAGGGGAGAGAACACCCGTCAGGACGATCTGGATCGCCAATTTTCGCGTGCGCTGTGCTGGCATCTGACCGCTGAAGGCAAAGAAAACTTCATTTGGGACTGGTTGCGCATCGAGACTGCAAATTTCGGGAGAAGAAGTGCAGACACTTACTGGCATGGGCGGCTCCTCGAAGGTCTGGTCAATGCCAGGCTATGTTGGGATCGTTCTGCAGATGGAGCCATCGCATTGTTCCTCTCTGCCGTCAAAGAGTTTGACCAGACCATGCACGYGGTTCAAGCAACAGAACTCATCGTGAAAGCTCTAAGGTCCATCGAAGGAGTAGTACAGTGCAATGATACGAGCTTTGAAGCCTTTTGCGAGGCGATGAAGTTCGCCCATAATGGTTTACACCTGGAGAGAATCCGGGCATCGCTGAAAATGTTCCATCCCACACAAGTCGATGCGGGAGAAGCGCTGCGACTCTTCCAGCGACAGTACCAGTATCCTGATCAGTATCCAAAGCCGATCCGAGTGCAACCGCAGAGGTCTCAGGCTGTTGACATGTCGCGAGCAGCATTTATCCTACGACTGAAGTAAGCATTCGGCCCGCGAGAATTCCTCAAGATGGCTACAGTATACTGACTACTCCATTTCAGAGGTCAGCGACAGGACGCAGAATGGCTCGATGCGCGTGTATACGCATTGTACGCCAGCGTTGTATCGCCGGGTTTCGTCAACCAGATGTATAGGACGCACCATGCCGATCCGCGTCTCAAGATGCTCATCGACAACAGTCCTTACGCTGAAGAGGTTCTGGAAGTCATGAAGCAACGAACTGTTGCGGGGTCCTCTCGGAGCGTGGAAGAAAAGTCTTCTCTGACTTCGCCCGAACCCGTATCGCTCACAGCCAAGAAGTTGCCCTGTGATCCGCAAGCAAGTCATAGGCTCTAGAGAATCCATGATCCGCAAGCATGCCATCAACACACTGTAAGCTCTAGCAAATCCATGATCCGGGAGGTTCTACCTGGAGGCCCTGTTGTAAAATCCTCCCGGAATTCGTCTTAACCCGTATCGCTCACACCAAATCAACGCCCTTGGATCCGCAACCTCATCCCGCACTCTAGCGACTTGATCCGCAAGCGACTGGTCAGAAATCTTTCTGCGCCATACTCGTCGATCCATACCACCTCATCTATGTCGAGAGAATTCCCTCCAGTGATTCGCTCAAGCTTCGCTCATACGCCAGGTCAGCAATTAAGATCTTGCTTCCGAGGAGATCATCCGGGGCCCCGGCAATTCAGCGCAGTGGCAGCAGCATGTGTTAGACGGGAAGGCTAACCGAGCAGAGAGACAGCTGACTTCCATCATCATATTCATCCATGCATACAATTCTCTATATGCACGCCTCAAAGCTCCAAAACTCATGTTCTCCAACGATCATCATCATTCATCCGACCATCCATCCAAAGAAGAATATTTCCGCTATGCCAATCACTCCCATCCAACCATCTCCCATCTCCCATTACCCACTACCTGCCATACTCCAAACTGGGAATAACAACAGGCCCATACTTCATCGGCTGTCCAAAACTCCCCTCATTCTGGACCATGAAATCTGCCGCAAGACTCAACCTTCCCCCACCACCTCCCTGTTGCTGTCCGTTACTTCCTCCGAAAGCCCCTTGAACAGTCTCAGGATCGTAGGCCACACAAGCCAAATAATTCCTCCTACCCATCAATCTTCGCATTTCTCTCGGCCGCCCATCAACATCAGCGGCGAAGATTTCCATCATGTCTTCTTTCGTATCGCTTTGTGCATTGGGATTTGAGCGGTGGCCGTTTTGTGGGATATACAGTGTTTTGTTGTTGTGCAGGAGTTTGATGACATAGCCCGGTGAAGGAGCGTTGACGATTGCGGAGGTGATGAGTTGATACATAGTTTTGTGGTCCGAGGGATGGGAAGGGTCATGCACGAGACCGGCGCCACAGACATTGACGGAGCCGGAGAGGAAAGTCATTCGGAGGGACTTGTTGTGGGAGATGCCTTGAAGGGTGCGGATGAGATAGGTGCGCTCGAGGTCCTACAAACCTTGTCAGTGGATCACACAGCAACAGATGGTTATCAACATAACATACCTTGGAATCATGCGTCCAGAGATCTCGCAACTCATCCAGCATGTCGATGTCTCCAAACGGACTCAGCACACCCTGCATCAAACCAGATTTCCCTACTGCCTTTTTGACTCCATCGAATCCAGAATGAACGACACCTTTGGCGCCGACAATACCAGCTACGCCTCCTGCGACCTTGCCAAGCATGTTGAAGCCCCCAGTGACCGCTTTCTTGCCCGTTGCAACTGTACTCGCAACTTGCTCGATCCCTTCGAGTCGAGGGTAAACGATGGGAACCGGCAGGAGCCAGATACAATGCTGCACACTAGGCGGCAACGTAGCCACCTTCGGGAATAGACCCTGATATGTAGGTCCAGCCATGACTTGTCTCTCGCCACGTTCGCTCCGCGTGTCAGGTCCTACGATAACAACGCTCGGCCCAAGGTACTTGACAAAGTGCCATCCTTTACCAGTAATGGTGAAGAGATCAATATCATTCGAGACATTCCGCAAGATCTCATGCGTGGTGTGATGCTGGAATAGCAAGTACATCTCAATTCCAATCCGGCCGAGGTTTTTGAAAATATGGCTTTCCTGCATGTATTCCGGATAGGAACCGTACCCATCAAAGATGTCGTGATCATCCAGACAGCAGACGTGCGGGATCTGTGCAAAAGCCTCCTTCACCGCAGGCTGGTCGAAATGCGAAGTGTAGTAGTGAAAGTATGCGTGTGTGACATCTTCCTCCATCTTCGCGGTCCATGGCGCCGTCTTTCGGTTCTCCTTGCCATGGATCTGTGTCCACTGCTTAAGCGCAGGAATGTCCTTCCACAGACGATCTGCGTATATTTGTCCACCAAGACCAATCTGTGCGTGGAACCCGCCACATTCTTGGTGTTTCACCAGAACATCCTTCCACATCACAGACGGTCCGCCAAGTTTCGATCTATCATTGGCAGAGACATTGATGGCAAAGTCATTCCCCGAGTGAGCAATGAATCGCCAGCTAGTTTCCTGGCTGCCTGCGATGAGGAACTCATACCGAGTGCATCCGAGATGAGATGTGATGGCATACGTCCATTTGGCGGCGGCCTTGTCATCCATTCGCAGATCTACGTCGTAGCGGTAGAAGATCCACCGTTGGTGAGAGTGAATGGGATGAGCTTTCAGTTGACGAGGATTCGGGCTGAGATCTTGCGACTGGTGGATGTGGATCGTGGGTGGCGCCGTGGCCGCATCTGTGATTAACAAAATACTTCCAAGCCACAGCCCTCGCTCGAGATCCATATTGGTATAACGCAAGTACGGACCAAAGTAGACGGCATTCGAGGGCGAGATCTTGTACATGTCAATCCCAGCACTTGGCGGAGGACCTGTGAATCCAGAAGCGGTTGGACTAGCAATCGAGTTCATCGCAAACATGCTGTTTCGATGATCGTAATTTGCCATTTGCTGTACTGGAAATCCAGGCGACGCCAGCGGTTGCTTAAACACCGACCCAACAGGGCTTGCAATACCAGGAGCAGGACTTTGAGGTTCGAGATTCAATGGTGTAGGACCTTTAGGAAACTCCCATTGTGTCGACTGAGTCGGCAAATGGATGTAGTAGTACTGACCCGAGTTGTTATCAAGGTGTGCAATCCATCCCTCGGGAAGTGGTGGTGGACTCGCCGGACCTGACGGACCAGGCTGAGGAGAGGCAGATTGATTTGCAATTCCAATGTTGATCGGCGACATTCCATGCGGAGCGCCATTTGACTGTGAGGAACCTGGTTGTGGGGAGCTTGAAGATCCTGGTGGATCGTTCGCAAATGCAGGATGTCCTCGGAGGGAAGGATCGGTCGGCCGTCGTTGTCCTCCAGCAGAGCCTGCTGGACTGGCGTTGTTACCATATCGACCTTTCTCGTTGGGWTAGGGAGAGTTTACAGAACCAGCCGTGGGAGGTGAATATGCTGGAGGCGGCTCTTCATGAAGGTTCAAGCTGTTCATGCCGCCCTCGAGATTAGGACTACCAGACGGCTGGGGGGGTCTTGGATATGTTGACTGCGACTGACCATTCGCAGACTCCACCTCCTCGTTTCCCTGGAATGCAATCGGCGGTCCATGAGGTTCAGAGCCAGGCTGCTCGGTCGGACTCCACCTTCCACTCGAGACGGACTGTGGCATTGACGGCTGTCTTTGTGCATTCAACGTTCCTTGTCTCGGTTGAGGTGCAGCATACTGGGCTCTACGGGCTGCTGCTGCCGCACTTTGAGCTTGCATCTCAGTAAGAGTGCCTGTACCCGGAATTCCAGACGCAGCATACCGTGCTTCGATCCCACTCAACCCCGAAGGTGGCGCGTCTCCCCCGATTGGAGTTTCTGGTGGAGGCGGTGAACCTCGTGACGCTCTTGTGGTTGATGTAGAGGCCGTGCTGCTCAAGCGATTGATTCCTGCTGGGTCAGGGATATGCATGTGGCCCTGTCCCGGAAGCTGAAGGCTTGTATTTGAACTTGCTGGCGGTGCAGCACCGAGTGGAGGTGGATAAAACTGTTGCGAATACTCCTCGCTTGGTGTACTAGGCTTTCGACTCGGCTTGACTTGAAACAGGCCATCATCGTCGTCACTCTTCAATGGAGGCTCAGGGCCGCCTGGAGAGTCGGGAGGAAATATGTTCTTCGCGGCTGTCCCCCTTCGCTCTGCCAATTTCGAAGAAGAGCCCAATGTTGGAGAATTGGCATATCCTCCAATCGTCGGTCTATTGGGATCGTTTGCGTCGAATCTGGCTCGCCTTCCAGCGCTGTTGTTGCTATTCTCAGATGACATGCTGCCTTTCCGCCCGCCACTCCCTTCTGCCAACTCTTGCGCGGAAGTAGTCAAACTCGGTGGCTTTCTATAGTCCTGYTGAGAGCCGGGTGTTCCCTGTCGTCGGGCTCTCTCATCGGGGTATGGTAGGGGTAGGGGACCGGTAGGTGGAGGGGACTGCGGGGCTCCGAAACTAGAATGAGGCACGCGATATTGCGCCCACTGCTGCTGTTGTGGCAGTTCGTCGCCTTGCGAGTGTTTGTGAATTCGCAGTGGCTGAGGTGTCTGCTCCTCGCTCACAGCAGGCGATTCTGGCTTGAAGAACAGCTCTTCAGGCCTGTTGCCGGCCATGGTTGGTCGCACTCGTCGCTATGTTATTGTCTCAAGAACTCGATCGCCGAGTGGTGGAGCTGCAAAGTACGGCCTGCTGCGGCCAATATGCACTTCCGTCGATCTGCTGCGCGCGGCAGAGTTGATCAGAGTGGTGGCACTGCGCACGTCACCGTCGCCGAAGATGGACAAGACGGAGGAGGGGAGGGGAGTCAAAAGCGGGAAAGAATGACAGAACACTGAGCTGAGAAGAAAGATCAACAAGAAATACCTCTGTCGACGCTACATGCACAGATCCGAGCACAAGCTGCCGCCCACATCGCGCCTGTGCAGGAAAGAGGAGCCCAGTCAGCTCACATGTGCTTCACGAAGCATGAGACCTGACGTGGGTCTGCATTTGGGCTGCGGGAATTGATTGGCTCGTGCGTGGCGTCGGCGCTTGCAGAGGCTGGGCGGGGAAGTAACGGCCACGTCTTTGCGGCCTCGCCTGGTCACCATCTCATGCTTCATCTCCTTTGGGGATCCTGTCGTTGTCGATGCACGCGGGTACGTACATGACGGTGATGGTCATGGATGATGGGAAAGGAGAGAGCAACAAAACGACCGTCACGGCATCTCAACATGTCGTTTCATTCATCATACTTTCGATCACCAAAATCGGTGCACCTTTTTTTTAGTATGCACAACTAATTGTATAGCGCAGGCTGCTCGCCCTGCTCGACCTGAGTAGCATTGCCCAGCACGATTCCCTCGTCATTCGCCTGTGGCGCCCAGGTGTCCTTCAATGCCCAAACTCCCACCGACGAAGATGCCGTTTCCGGAAGTGCACCAACATCAATCTTCAGGGTATCCAATTTGCTGGTTGGGAAGAACGTGACAGTCGCAGCAGCCTCGTGCGCGCCGTTCAAGAAGACTTCCAGAATCGAGTTGTCATACAACACGCTCATGCCCCAGATTCCATTGTTGGCATCACTAAAGAAGCCTTCATCGGAGAATTTATCCGTAAAGTATGGGTTGTCGAAGCCATTGACATTGCCGCGGTCGATCCAGATGCCAGGGCTGTTGGCTGGGTTGATGCCTCCCCGGAGATATTCTCCAGTCGTTGAGGAGCTGATGGTGWAGTTCGCGTTGCCGCTGAGCGTGCTGGGTGTCAGGCCGGTAATTTTGGCTTCGAAGTAAAACGCGCCGGACGCGACATCCGCCAGAGATGTCGTGATCGATCCAACTCCGAGATTGTCGTTGAATGCTAGCTCGGACTCGAAAACCGCGCTGATGTTGTGCAGTTCGGAGACGAGATCATAACCACTGCCAACTGTCAGATATCGCCACAACACACACTTCCAGGATTTCATGACTCACCTCAGGGAGTTGTTGGCAATGGTGTACGCTCTAGGAGCAGTCATGGCGCTACGAAACTGGCCATGCTGCTCCAGTCCGGTGGGAACTTGCTGAGAGTATTGCCAGTTCGATGCCCATCCGAGAGCGATCTGAGGCTCGTTGGCGGGGATGCCGCTGAAGAACTGCGCGGCGTAGTTGTCCTTTCCGAAGTCGGTGAAGCGAGTTGCATCGTCATAAGGTTCGAAGCGCGTGCCGTCGAAGTCTCCGACAAAGTACTGGGTGATGGAACCTCCAAGAGGACCGCCAGGGTTGATTGAAAGGAACAGGACCCAGACAGGCTCATCTTGGCCACGCATTGGCATTTGGACAAGGCTCGGGCATTCGTACTGGCTTCCGAGCTAGAAAGATGAATGTCAATTGATTGTCCGCATCGACATGCACTGCATTTCTTACCCATCCATGCTTGGTGAAGTTGGAGGCGGGCTCCCAGTCCTTGAGATTAGAGGAAGTCTGCTCTTGTCAGCCCCGATCTCGAAGATCTCAGCGCGGACAAACYCACGAAGATCCCGAGGACAAACTCGGTCGAATACGCAACTGTCATGACCCATTTCTGAGTCGGCTCGTGCCAAAGAACCCAAGGATCCCGGAACTGATTGCTGTTGGCGTCAAGCACGGGGTTGCCCTCGTATGCCGTGAAAGTGTAGCCATCATCGCGGCTGTACGCAATACCCTGGCTCTGTTTACCTGAGCCGCCAGGGCCAGCTTCGGCCAAAGTGTAGATGGCTACAACGCCGTTGTCCTGGTCTGGAAAGAAGCCGGACGTGTTCTCTGGGTCGAGAACAGCATTTCCGCTGTAAATATACTGAGTGGGTGGTCAGCTTTGTGTGTTTGTAAAGGGGTTCTGGCTCGACCGACGGTAAAGTTGTTTGGCGGAAAGATGGCAATCTTCTGGTTCTCCCAGGTGTACAGATCTTGCGAAGTGGCGTGGCCCCAGTGCTGGTTACCGGCCACGGGTGTCAATGGGTTGTATTGGTAGTACAGATGCCACAACCCTGAAGCATCTCGGTGCATGCCATTCGGGTCTAACTCATGTTAGACTCGACAGACGCCATCACTCCGGATTTTTTCATTACCAACCGTTCATGAACATTATCGGAGGAGAGAAGTGCACTCTCGGACGAAGGTAGTCTGAGTAGTTTCCGGGAACTGGAGTATCTGCTGAGACGCCCGGTGCAACGTATTGAGCCGCAACCTGCTGGACGAGCCCAGCGGCTGGCAACCATAGCAGATTCTGTAGCAGCATTTTGGAGTGAAGGATGAGAAGGAAAGGTAACCTCACAGGATGCTCCAAGCTACTTATATCAATCCCCAGTCAACACGAACTCCGCGATCTGGCCCAGGCATGTCAGCATTTTCGGTGAGTGTTAAGTAGAAGGCCCGAATGAATCAACGCTACTGTACGACTATACAGAGCAGTGCCGGCTCTGATGGCGCGATGGACGCGAGACGTCAGAGGTCTTGGTATCGGCCTTTTGCTTATGCAGCTTCAAAAGCGGGGAATTCCACTCGTGGGGAGAGACTTTTGGCTGGGGAGACGACCCACGTTGTTCTAATCCTTGCATCGTGTCTCGGTCCTTTCCCGTTGCTTTCGCTGAGCCAAGACCCTGGGACTAGAACCTTCCTTTTCTAGCTCTACCTCCTAGCTCTACTGCATCGCTTAACATCACTCCATACCTAGGTTCATCTCACCTCACCGTCCTCTCCATCTTGTGACAGTGTCTGCATTTCGTCGGGCATTGTATCTTCCGCGGTCGAGCTGTAACACCTCCCGTGCAAATCCACTAAACTGCATGCAATGCAATGCAACTACCCGGGTGACGTATCGTTGTCGGGCAGTCGAGCGACGTGCAGATGGTAAGCGAATGTATGGCAGTGGATATCGATCAGGTACCAGGGGCAGCCATATGCAGGCAAGTAGAGTGGTTGCGTTTATTGTGTCACCTTTTTCCMTGCCCTTCCAGTCTCTGGGCTCTCTTTCACGCTCATTGTTCGCCTCTTTGCCTTGAAGACAATCATGTACGACCATACTTTGGCCTCGGTGAATCAACGCTACAAGACTGTATTGCCAAGGCTGGGCGTCAGAGACACGATCTGTTGGAGCTGGAGTGCTCTCTGGGCGCCAAACCCGAGAGAACTCCATCCTTGGACCTGATCGAGCTCGCCCACGAGCTACAGACAGGGTATGGTCCGACACTGCCACCATAGCATCGATTTAGTGTTCCTAGTTTTCGTCAAAATCACAATGAGAAGACCGAGCAGGGTAAAGCGGATGAGAGCTAGAACTTTGAAAGCGGAACTAGAGCGAGAGTAAGCGCGGGCTGAGAAGAACGGGAATTTGTGCTGTAGGGAGTGTGGTCGATGGGTTTCTAGTGGTGATCCCCGAGACTTGACGTTACAGCATCGATGGATCTGAAACCTGGCGGAAGTTCCACTGGATGGAGCTTATGGCGAAGTGATGGGTCAGTGCTGTAGAGGCGATAGAGGGAAGTTGACGAAGAGACTGGCTTTCATTCACTTAAATTGCGCTAGCGAACTGCTTCAACCCAGTTCCAGATTCATCCCATTTCAAGATTCAACGGACGTCTGACGTAATGTTATCGATGAGATTTCGATGAACATGACAGTGTTATGCTGGCGAAACGAATTTAGGGTTAGGGTTGGGGTAGGTACAAAATTGTTTCTGCTCGGGTATCGGCCTTTACGAGACATGGACTGTTTGCCAAAATTGTCATAGACTGTCTGTAGTGACCACTTTTATTCCGGCAACAGGTTGGAGAAGATGCGTCGACGTTCCGAAAACTGGGTGACAACTTTCGATGCACAGCTCTTCACCTAGCAGACGTCACGAAAAAGTATGAGCATGGAGTCCTGCTACCATGATGACGGGCTGATGGAGCACCACTACAGCACTCGTTGGCACCTCACATTTATGAAACGACAGAGAGTATTCCACCAAATCGGAAATTGATTCATGGAAGAACTAATCCCTCTCAGAACAGGTAGAACCCAAAAGGTACACACACAACTAGCACACAACATCACATCACCACCCCCCTCCACGATACAAACCTTCCCTTCCTCTCCCACAACGTGGAAGGAAACTAGGTTTCGCCCCTCACAGCCTGTCGTCACATCTGTTTAGACTCAAGCAGAACACCCTCATCCGCCCTCGAAGCGCCCAGCGCCATGCGAAAAGAAAGGCAAATGGCCTGCTCTCACCGCGTTCGTTCGCTCGCTCTTCCGCATCGTCTCGTCTCAAAAATTCAGTAACAGAAGCGCATCATTGGGTATCCCGGGGAGTAGAAGTATGAGCAAGGTAAGCGCAGCCAGTCTTGGCTAGAATCGTTGTTCGGGAGGCAAGCGGAGGAGAAGCGGTCCTTCCAAGATGCGGAAGGGCAATGTCATGTTTGAACGAGGGTATGGGCTGAAGATTCGTCGACTTCACGATACTCGAATTCCAATCAGCTGCGGGTGTTGAAGAAACCAAAATCGCCACCATCACTGCCCTGGACTGGTGTTGCAGGCACATCGCTGCGACTGCGGCCATGACCCACGCGAGGTGTCGTACTGTCAGCTCGAGGTTTGACGCTGCCAGCTGTGGTGCCTTTGACGGCGCCGTTCTCAGGAGCGCCCCGCTGCTCTGCGGTTGACGGACGCTTTGTTTCGGGCTCTACGCCAAGGCCGTAGTTGTCATTGGAGTAGCCGACAGGAGTATAAGTCAATGGCTGATAGTTCTCGACTCTGCTGCGGCTTCGGGAGGTGGACCTCGCATCACTATTTCCACTGCTCATCGCACGTGAATCGTGTGTTGATGCAGTGTCAGAATTGCCACCAGTGGTGGTGGCCCACTCGCTGCGACTGGTTGACCGGTCATCGCTCAGATTGGTCGTTCGGAGACTCTGACTGAGAGACTTTTCATCGCTCAAATCCCCAGTAGTAAGCTGATCTGCGTCGATGGAGGCGGGATCAACGCCCGCCTCGACCATCTCTTCAACTTTCAAGTAGTCCTTTTCGGTATAACATCCCTGCCAGCAGTGTCGCCAGTCGCCAACAAGGTAGTTGAACAGCCATCGATCCAAGTTCAAGCAAGRACCAACGCAGACTGCCAGATTATTGAGATCCATTTTGTTGATGTCCTTATTCGTGAGCAGTAATGAGAGWTGGCAGGTGATGGCGAACAAGAGGTAATAGTTGTAGGGTGGAAGATCGGACAAGCAGTCACGCAACAGCTGCGATGCCGGCTGGCCAACGTTCTTGTAGTTGGGATTCTCCTTTTCAAGCTGAGTAGCCAGCGACTTTTGTAGACTGGCAGGCATCATCTCCGAAGGCAGCTCGCGAAGCCAAGCCTTGAGCATGCTGGCGATCTCATTGGTGTCGGTCACTTCCTCTGATAGCAGGTCAATATCGAGCTCGCTGTCGAAACGCCGTTGCCAGTGTTTCACTTTAGGCCCGCTCCCTGGGATGCGGTAGAGCCCTTCCTCTTCGGCGTTGGTGTTTAAGAAACTGCCATTATCAGCATCAACTTCATTCGATACGCTCTCCGCAATCAACTCACTCAATACATCTCCAAGGAAGACTTGGCATCCAATACTCGGTCTTATCCCGACATCCAGAAAGCTGCTTGCTTATGCGAGTGAGGCGAGTCTGCTCGACGAGTGGCAAATTGATCACCTTCATGGTGTATTCGTTATCCGGCACGTCCTTTTCATGGCTGCTGGTGCTCCGACCAATCTTGCCGAGCCGATTGAGAAAGCTGCCGCCGCCAGACTTGGCTTTGGACATGACGTTTTTGCTACCCGCCTTGAAGCCTCCCTTGGCCTCCTTGCTGGATTTGGGGTAGGATGTCGACAAGTTCTCCTCACTCTCGTAGTGTGATGGCGCTCGCTCAGCCGACTTTCCACGCCTGTCCTGCTCTTTGCCTTTGCCAATTGTCCGTGCATTAGATCCGGGCCAGTCCGATTGTATTGGCGCCGTTGCCGGTGAACCCTCGAAGGAGTCCTTGCCCGCCATTGACTCTTTGCCGTTTGTTGGCCTGGACTTGGAATGCGAGTCTCTTCGTATTGACTTGGACCGCGTGATTCCAAGGCGAAATGATTTGTTGTCCTTTCGCCTGGCGGCGGTGCTCTCCTCACTTGGCTGATGATTCGGCGTCGGTCTTCCAGAAGGTACCGCTGATTTTTCGCCTGTAAAGATGCAAGTGTCAGCCAACCCGTCTTCAAGAGGATTCGGGTGCAAGGTGTGTCGCGCTGCCAATTCTCTCAGTCTTCCGCCTCCAGGGGCGAGGATGATGTGGTGAGAATGATGCCAGTATTTCGAACCCGTAGCTGAGACACCGCAACTCACGCGGCCGCCAAATCAGGCGGCAGCTTCACCCTGCCACTGCCATAGACGCATTGGATCGTACATTGCCAGCATCAAGTACGTATGTGTCACAAACCACCACTGAGGAGGACTTACTTTCGAGCGAGTCCTTGCGCATGTTCTCGTTACTTCCCACCAGACTCAGTTCCGGTGTGCTCCCGGGATTGTTGCGCAGGTGATAGATCTTTGACACGCTGCTGGTGTTGGGTCTGTACTCGTCCTCCCTGTYCTTTGCCTGCCGTGAATCCTTCCTGACCTCCTGTTCCGATCCAACTCGACTCTTCAGGCTGCTCAGGAAGCCCTTGCTCGGTTCTCTGCCGCTGCTGTGCGTGGCTCGTGGCGACAAGGGCGATTGCGGTAGGTCTTTGGGCAATGGAGTCAGGCCGGCTGCTATGTCGTGCTCGAAGCTGCCGCCAAAGGAGCCCAGGTCGACACCTTCGAGGTTTATCGAGCTGCTGTTGGCAGCATTGTGAGCGCCATTCTTCGCTTGCAGTGTGAGTTCGGCGGGCTTGGATTGTCGAGGCATCGCGGAGGAGACCTTTTGACGGGTGCGCTACCGCAGCAATYCGGCGGAACGGGACCAAAGAGACAAACGCAGGGAATTCGCTGGCAACTACAAGCGGTGACACGCTCGGAAAAGTTGCTGCGACAGGCAATCTGGGCACTACACGAACTGCAGAACAAAGCGAGCTTGCGGCGCTGCACGCACAAAGACTGCTTCACGCCCGCTTCGATGCAGATGGGTACGCGCCGGGGCGGCACGACGGTCGTCGCTGGAGAGTATTGGTGGTGGGGTCCGGTGGTAACTGTCGGCAGCTGGCCGAGAGTGGAAGACCCGTACCAGGCCACAGGGCGCTGTCTGTTGCGCGCGGGCGGTTGCAAGTGTCGTCTCGTTCGATCGTTTCCGTCAACCGTCCGCCAACCCCTCGTTTCAAATCGGTACCTGAGTGCTCCTGGATCCTCGCGATGCCGCTGTCGTGTTCCTGGAGCCGCGGGCTGCAAACTACTGCAAACACGTCCTTGGAGCCTCAGCACAGCGCAGCGGCTGCAATATAAGCAGTTGCCGGGCGGGTGTGCAGTCGTTGGCGCCGTAGCCAGGCACCGCGGATTCGCGATATGCTCGTCTCCTTGTCAAGCCGCCGGTTGAATCCGAACCTTAACTATTCATGGACTCCAAAATTCCCAGGGTCGCGAGCAGTTGCATCTCATCTGCATCTGCATCCTGCATTTTCGTTTCGCAGAGTCCTCGTGCGTGAAGAAAGGTGCCGGGTTCACGTTGCGATCCAGCCGATTGCATCGCCTTCTTGTAACTTCATTTCCCTCCTACCTGTACACGTCAACCGGTCTCTCCACCAGCTATTCTTGTCATCGGACTTCGGCCTCATTTGCGCATGTGACAATGTCTCTTGCGGCGGGCCCAGGACGTGGCGGCGGCTCTGCGCAGCTGCCAGACGAGCTCAAGCTGGTGACGGAGAAACATGTGGCATACATTCAGAGCCTGGACACCGTATGTCCCTGGAAACGCGATCCRCAATCCGCAATCTGAAGCTGACACTGACGGCACAGTAGCGTAAAGATGAGCTCGAGTACCATCTCACCGAACATCTCCGCATCAGCGGTATTTACTGGGGTCTCGTGTCTCTCCATCTCCTGGGACATCCAAATGCGCTGCCACGAGAAGGCCTGCTGGAATTTGTCTTCAGCTGTTTGCACGAGAATGGTGGCTTTGGTGCAGCACCCGGACACGATCCTCATCTTCTCTACACCGTATCCTCGGTGCAGATTCTCGCCATGTTGGACGCGTTCGAAGAGCTTGAGACGAGAATGGCGGACGGGAAGATGAAGATCGCAAAGTATCTCGCAGGCTTACAACAGCCAAACGGCACATTCGCGGGCGATGAGTGGGGAGAGACAGACACCCGCTTCCTATACGCAGCTTTGAACGCCCTGTCGTTGCTCAATATGCTGCCAAAGCAAAGACCAGCCGAAGATCCCCTGGTTGATGTAGCAGCAGCCGCGAGTTACATCAAATCGTGCCAGAATTCAGATGGTGGGTTTGGTGTTGCACCCGGCGCAGAATCCCATTCCGGCCAGGTATTCACTTGCGTCAGTGCTTTGTACATTGCGGGCGAGCTGGACTCCTATCTTGGAGAGGAAGGCAAGGATAGACTCGCGGGCTGGCTGAGCGAACGTCAGCTGCCCAGCGGAGGCCTGAATGGTCGACCGGAGAAACTTGTTGACGTTTGCTATAGCTGGTGGGTGCTGACGGGTCTGGCATTGATTGATAGGTTGCATTGGATCGACAAGGAGAAGCTCACCGCCTTCATCCTGCAGTGTCAAGACCCTGATCACGGCGGAATAGCAGACAGACCTGGGGATATGGTAGACGTCTTTCACACGTGCTTCGGCACTGCTGGGCTGAGTCTGCTCAGCTATCCTGGACTGCTGGAAGTTGATCCTGCTTAGTGAGTGTCTCAATGGATGTGATGGCTGAGGTCTTTACGTGCTGACTTGAGCTGTAGCTGTATGCCGAAGCACATCACAGACCGCGTGCTTGGGCGGTAACGTGGGCGTTACAGGCGTCGCTCAAATATGGGGTCTCTTAACGATGTCTGCCTTTACTCGGTAGGAAGTGCCTCGCCATTCCCCAGGCTTCATCGGAGCTGGTGGAGAGGACGGATTCTCAATAGGTAGGCCCACTTCACCTTGACCTCAATGCTTGCGCGAATCGAGACACGCCTCTCATCTCGTCTATCGTAAGTAAATCTCATTGTGAGCTGCGTTTCCGAACTCTTGCAATCTAATAACCCGTGTTGAGCATCTCAATGAGGCCGGGCTACAATGTGAGAGGAGAGTGAAATATTTTGAGCCATAGATAATTGCCTCCCCCGTTTCTTTGAACTGCGGTGGGGGGTACATGATGCTCATAACATGACCACGATGGCAACATTGCACGCGTTGTGTTGTCGGCGGCGGGGAATGGAAACTTCTTACAACCCAATCAATCCATCTCGTCGCGTGATTGAMGAAAGATTACGGACGAGAGTGAGTACGTGTAGTGAGTGCGGTAGGTGCCTTCACTTTTGCCCTCCCGACAGTCCGGTTCGGCGGCCTTTCCTTCTTAAGACTGTTTGTTTGTTGCTCTCCTTCCTCATCACAACAACCACCTTCCTCAACGGCAAGCGAGCTCCGTACTGCTCTCCAGAGAAGCAGTGATCACGAGCCACAACTCGCCTGCCTGTCGGTCGATGTTGTTCGCCCATCCCAACCCACCCACCATACCGTCTCACTCAGTCGCTCTTGTTGGGTTGCTTGCATTCCACTTGGAACGCACTCATACAGGCCGCTCACCGCTTCTGAGCACTACACGCGAGCGACATGAGCTTGCCAGCGTCGGCAACCATACCTCTATCATGTAAAGTGTGCACCAGGTAAGTTCAATGCATCCCGAACATCTTCGAGGCAGTCGAGGCTAACGTTCATCCCATCGACAGACGCAGCGACTACTCTGATGTGAGGACTTTCCAGCTTCATTCCGCCGTCCGAATGCTTTGCTGACTTGATACAGCTTTCGCATCTACTCACCCACATTGCCAGCAAAGCTCACCTTAGCAACTACTACAATTTGAAGCTCAAAAGCGGTCACGATGCCGAAGCCCAGCGGACCATTGATGAGTACGACGACTGGTATGACGAGTGGGGCTTTCAGGATATGATGCAGGAGAGAATGGCCCAGAAGGAGATCAAGAAGGAATCGAACAAGGAAACGAACGGTGGTGGCGGTGGAAGTGGTGCGTCGGTGCGGAGAGGGTCGACTCCTGGCCGTAAGTACCTTTGAGACCATGCTGCTCATTGTCCAATGCTAACATTCGCAGTTGCAATGGCGTCCGTCCGCGGTACACCAGCACCAGCAAGCGGAAGCCGAAGACAGAGTCGTCTGCGTAGTAGAACGATGCAGCACGTGGACCCGTCTCTCCGCCCCAATACCCGGCTGGCTCAGCATCCTCGGTCTCGTCCCCAGTCTCGTCCCGATACGCCCGTGGACACCTTCTCCCAAGACACCGACTATAGTCGGGCCAACAGCGCTGCACTCCCACCAGTACAGAACTTCTCGTTTTCTGGCTCCCGCTCGCCCATCAAGCAGGAGAGTATATCGAGCGAGTACTCCGATGGGTCTTATGAGGTCCCTCAGGTGAAGACACGTCGTCGTCGTCGCGCCCAAGCCCACCTGATGAGCGGTTCTAATGCGTCGATCAATGACGACAACGCCATTGAAGAGCTCGTCAACGACAACACGAAGCTGAAAGGCATTGTCTGGCCAGGCATGGATCTGTTCGACTCGGCTACGCCTGACATGAAGCGGAAGCGCAACCAGAAGAAGCACGGGTCTGTCCTGCTGCTGTTGCAAGCAACCAGTGAGGAGACCGACCCGTTGGAGATGGTCTTCCGAGGCGGGAGCCTCCAGGTGCAACGCACCATAACCGGCAACCCAGAGTCGGATGACAATTTGATCTCGGGCGAGTCTGAACCGGAACCCGACGCGACAGAGAAGAAGCCGGCTCGCCGTCGTGCTCGGGCTCCCCTCGCCGACAAGAACACCAACAACGGACGCGTTCTGCGCAAAAGTGAGCGTGGAGGTACTCGCACACGTCAATCGGGTCGTCCCATCAAGGTCCAACAGCGTGATCCGGAGGAAGACGAAGATGATGCGGTGACATATCGTCAAGAGAAGAAGCGTCGCACGGGGTTGAGCATTCATCGCGATAACAGTGGTCCGGATATCACCTTTGGCCCGCAGTCATCCTCGATGAATGTCCTCACCTCTGCATTTGACAATCCAAGTAGGTCGAATTCGCTCCGCCGATCGACACCAGTTCCAATAGATTTTGGCCCGAATAGCCCACTGAATGTCCCACTGAATGTCGACACCTACACCCCTCGGACCCACTATCGTCAGCAGTCGAATTCTTGGGGTCAACTCAACGCTGGCTTTCGTCCGATTGGGTTCGGCGGACACAACATGCCGTCGATAAGCACAAACAACTTCGGACAGTACAACAGCCATGTGGCGACAGCGCCCCAGCACCACTCGACGTTGGCATCCCAGCAACATTTTGGCCAGAGCTATGCCGTATCTCACAACGACAATCCTCTTTTCCAGCCGCACCCAAGCAACAACGACTTGTTGGAGTACAGCATGTTTGGATTCGATGCTCCTGATCTCGGCATCCCGGACATGACCTTTCAAGGCGCCGGCGAGATCCCCAATCCGCTGTTCCTCGGCGGCAAGAGCGATGATGAGGAAACTGTCTCTGCTGCGAACAGCGAGCACTGATATCACCACCGGCAGAATGGACATCTTACGCCACCCATGTCAATATTTAACGACCCTTTATGATCATACGATATACCTTCACGACAGCCAGAGCATAACGACACTCGGCACAACGACATATTATGAGACGCGTGCACGCATATGGGAATGCGTAATGGTGAAGCAGTGTGTGGAGGTGTGTCCACACGAGGAGCTTCGTGACGAAGCATCACTTGCAATTGTCCAGCCCCGTGTCTGAGAGCAACGGACCCTTTGGAGTGTGGGATGCATGCATGCATGAGCTGCTTCTCTTTTCCCTTCCTATTCTGGTCTTTTATCTGGCTGATCTATGGCCGAGAAAGTTTGATACTCACCATCTTATCGTATGTAAAAATATCTACGTGGCTTTGATGCACACAACCTTTTCCCATGTTGTTGATTCCTCACTCTACGACTACATGTATGTTGACGTTTGATGTGCCCTGGTATTCGGCACATGCGTCATCATGGTGATCCTTCGGCTGGGCAGATCAACGCCGTGCCCCCTCGCTCCAACCAAATACAGCCTCAACTGCGAGAACAGCAACCCAAAGTATACAACATTCTGCATAAACCGCTTACGGCATGCCTATCAAATCGACAGGCTGTGCAACTTGTCGAAAACGCAAGATTCGCTGCGATGAGACCCGWCCTGGCTGCACACGATGCAAAACGCACGGCGTATCATGTCCCGGGTACAGAACGCCAGCGCCTGGCCAGGTCAAATTCATGGACGAAACGAATGAAGTTCTTATGCAATATGGGGGAAGCGGAAAGAAATCTCGAAAGCCCATGGTCCAAGAGATAACCTGGAATTCCACGCCTTCACCATCCTCATCGGATGCGTCTATATTGACGACCACAGGTTCCACGGAACTGGACGCCTTTTATCTGGATTCTCACAATGACAGTTTTCTGGATTTTGGACGTGCGATGGAAATGTACAATCCTGCTCCACAGCATTTTTCTTCCCCGGCCATGGAGAAATCGATGATTTACAGTACTTTTATGGACATGTATCTCCCCCAACGAATGGGACAACAAGATGCGCATTTCAGTTTCCTCCAACAACTGCTCACAACACCAAATCTCCGACCCGAAGTCTCTGCTAGTTTGGATGCTTTGAGTATGGTACAAGTGGGCTCCATTTACAAAGATCCCGGACTTTTGAAGTCCGCGGTTAAGAGTTATAGTCAAGCGCTCTCGGCACTCTCACGGACGATTGGGAATGGGAATGCTTTGTGTGATGATTATGTGCTGGCTACGGTGACGATGTTGGCGACTTGTGAGTTTTTCGATGAGATTTCGATGATGGGGACCGGGTGGACGAAACATATGGAAGGGTCGCAGCATTTGTTACGCGCGAGGGGACCGGATTCTGTGCAGTCGCAATTGGCTTTGTTGTTGTTTATGAATATGCGGCATGGTGCGCTCAGTCATTCGTTGATTTCGAGAAAGGCCATTTTCTTGGGGACGCCAGAGTGGAGGGCTGTGGCGTYTCGAGTACCGGTTGTGGATAATTCCACGCTATTCTATGATACTGCGCTGCAGGTGCCGAGTGTTTTGGAGAGGTACGACAATCTGGACCTGCACAGTGATACTCTGATACAGGACATTGATGCCATCTTGGTCGAGGCGAAACGACTGGAGGTGGAAATGAGAGAATGGTTCGCAAGCTACCAGGCTGCTTTGGAGCAGAGCGGGAAGGTACCATGGCGGCTCGTGGATGTGGAACAATTCTCGACATTTGCTGGTCTTTGCTCTGATCGGACGATAGATCAAGCGTTCATGTTCCCCAATTTCATGGTCGCCTACTTGGTAGGCGTGTACTGGAACGTGATGCACTTCATGCGAGCGACGATGCAGAAGTTGCATACAGCCCGGCACATTGCTGACAAGCATTGGTACCCGGAGCCTGAAGAAGTAGTGTCCGAGGAGGAGTTGCTGGAATATGTCATGAACCTGTGTAGGTCCATCCCATATTATTGCGAGCCTTTTAGCTCTTCTACCGGCCAGATTGGGATATTCTTGCCACTGCGTACAGCTGCGGTGTACTTTACGGAGCATGGCCATTGGAAATTCCTCAAGTGGTGCGGTGCTCTAAAGCACAGTGTCTTCACACGTGGAATGCATCCTCCTAGCTTGCCAGAACGATTTCTTGTGGCACCGAAAATGGACAAACTTGGTGCGCGTATCAAGTCTGGATCGCCTGGAGTGGACTGAGATGTAATTCAAAAGGGAGCACTTCATTCTCCATCAGGACCCAACAGCACCTCGCGTTGATCAAGGTCATCCGCATAGCGCTGCTGGTCGTCCAATTCTGCGATCTCAGGATCAACTTTATCGCCAAGATGATCTGGTCCGAGAAGTTTACGTCCTTCCAGCTTCTCCGGGAGATAGTCTTGTACGACTCTACCATCGACGAAGTCTGGATTGTATTTGTACTCCTTGCCATATCCAAGCTCCTTCATGAGCTTCGTCGGGGCATTTCGCAGCTGTATTGGAATTGGTAATCCTGCCATGCCGGGTTCTTTCAACGAAGCATACGCGGCATTCAAACCACGATAGCTTCTGACAGATTTTGGAGCTTCGCAGAGAGCGACGGTGCAATGTGCCAAGTTGATGCGACATTCCGGCATTCCAATCACTTGAGCGGCAGTGTACGTCGCTGTGGCGAGCGATAACATTGTGTTGTCTGCCAGTCCGATGTCTTCACTCGCCATCACTATCATCCGCCGAGCAATGTACAGGGGGTCTTCCCCAGACTGGAGCATCCTGGCGAGATAATACAACGCAGCATCGGCATTGCTTCCTCGAACGGATTTGTGGAAAGCGGAGATGGTGTCGTAATGCTGATCTCCGGCTCTGTCGTAAACCAAAGTCTGCGTCAAGCTCTTTTTGATGTCTTCGATTGTTACGTTGGGTCGTTTGCACAAATCCAGAGCCAGTTCCAAAAGATTGAGACCTGTTCGAGCATCGCCATCTGCGAAGCTGGCTAGATAGCGGATTAGCGCATAGTTGTCGTCTGTAAGAATATGGTAGCTTTCGTCGTCAGAGGCTGGCTCGTTTTCTGGATGTTCGATTTGGTCCTCGGAGGATGGACTTGGGGAGGGTGTCGGTAGACCAGGTATTTCACGTATCAGTGCCCTGCGCAAGATTCCGAAGATGCYATCATCAGTCAGCTTCGCCAACGTAAAGGTTCTGCATCTACTCATAAGAGCATTCGCAACTTTGAATGATGGATTCTCAGTAGTAGCTCCAATGAGGGTGACTTGTCCAGCTTCCACAGGTCCGAGGAAGACATCTTGCTGAGATTTGCTGAAGCGATGTATCTCATCACCTGGTTTGTATTAGTCGTTGCCAAAGTTTGTATTGTAGACACGAGAGAACTTGCAGAATATGATCGTTTTCCTCCCAGTCAAGCCTTTCTCATTTTGTGCCTCTGCGAAAAGCTTCTTGCACTCCGCCACTCCGCTTGATGTACTGTTGATCTCGACAAAACGTGTTCCTGCAGTCTGTGCTATCAAACGTGCGATCGTTGTTTTGCCTGATCAATCGCAAATGTCAGCAAAGATGTTGTCACTCCTCAATCTGAGCATTTGCGATCTACTCACCAGTCCCAGGCCCTCCCCACAATATCATCGACGGCACGCGGTCTGTAACGATGAGATTTCTCAACACTCCATTCGGCCCAACCAGCTCTTGACCCGCGACGTCGTCCAGACTTTGCGGCCGCATACGCTCTGCTAGTGGAGCGTGGGAATTCTTTGCTTTCTTCAACGCCGGTCCTGAAGCTTCGGCTTTCTCCTGCCCGGCTTGTGCATGCACGTCGTCCTCCCATGATCGCTTCGTTGATGGGACATCTCYTGCTGCGACGAGAGCCGGTTTGGCTATGGGCTTTTGAGTGCTCAAAATATCGACAGCAGGCGAGGAAGCTTCATCCGCTCTGAAGCTGACATTCCTTCTCGGAGCGGGTGTGAAGAAGCCGGCGGCCTTGGACGAGTTCTTCGTTTGGGTTGGAGGAGGCAGTAGACTTGGATCGTCAATATATGTCTTGCATTCCGAATCGATATGGCGGTTGATGTCTGCCTCCTTCACAGGCTTCTGGCAGATCGGACATGCCACCATTGGGTTGAGAGCAATCTAGCACGTTCAATGTTCATCATCTCGACGACGCGTGCAATGGAAGTGGTATGGGAAGACGCGAATTCTTAACTCCGCCGCTAGCAAGGGTGGTATGACGCGGTATCTCGAACGACATCTCCTCCTCTACTCCTCGGCTGCAACAAGGCCATCAACTACGCTCCCTTCAATATCATATCATTGGCACAGAAACATCAAAGATATCATGGAGTCTGCTCCCGATCGAGCCTGCCCGTCGAGAGATCGCCGCCGGTCTTGTGCCTCCCACCCCAGACACCACGGGAGCTGACAACTCCAAGAACACCTGATTGGCAGGGCAATCACAAGTCGAAGACGCACTACAGCTGAGGTATTGCTCGCTGCGAACTGCTTATGAAGAAGTCGCGCAAAAGACAAGTGTTTTTCTGCCTTTCCGTGGCTGCTCAACAATTCAGATCTGCATCTCCTTCGATTTCTCCCTTTCTCCAATTGCTGGCTTCMTCGCGCAAATATTGAAGCATGAATCTGCTTGCTAAAAGCGATCGCAGAAATGATCAAAGATGTTCTCGAAGAAAGACCGGTCGTGCGATGTGGTTTGCTGTGACTTGTAATAATGGTCCGATGATTCTCTACTCACGCCTGCTACCCAGCACGCGGAGTGTACACGAGCTTCGCAGTTATATGCTCTTCATACAGATCCCGTGAGTGGTCTCTCAATATCCCTCAAACAATGCGCAGCCTTACGCATTTCCACCGTCAAACAACCAGGAACAGTAAGATGGCAATTCACAAGCCAGCTCAACCACTGCCGAATGACTTCTTCGGAGTCAAGAACGGCTATAAGACATCGACCCGTGGGAATGAGCAGACCAAAGAGTATTCACCAAGACGATCCCAAAGGCTAGCCAAGCAGCACAGAACGCGAACACAGCTCATGCATACCATGGAGTCGAGCAGCAGCAGCAGTGCGAATTCTCTTCTGCCTGCGAGACCCAAGATCATTACGCTCAAGTTCAAGCAAACGAAAGCAGCCATCAGACCGCAAACGACTCAGCCACCGCCAGCGCAGAAGCCGAATCCAGAACCACCAGACCACACACAGCCCTCGTTTCTTGAGAAGCTGACCGATCAAGAGTTAAATCGTGCACTTTCTTACTACTACGATTTTCCCCAGAATCTTCCCTGTCGTGAGAGTGGGGCCTCTATGAGGGCTGATGGTCCAATACCGGACATTATGATCAAGTTTGATGAAGGCGTCTTCTCGCGAATAACGTGCCTTCGGCCGTTGTCTGAAGATGATCTGGAAAGTGTGGATCCTTTTACCGTTTGATACCACCGAGTGAATTGGATGCTGGAGAGCTTTGATTACCTGCTTGACGATCCATGTGTTGCGATTACGATTACGATGTGCACGATTCTACGATGTTATTGGAATTGACGGCCACTGCGAGTATTGAACGGATGCTGTTGACACAAATGGAGAGTTGAGGGTTTTGTTATCGCAACATTGACAACAATTTCTGGTATGGCTGGGAGGCAGCGGGAAATGGCGCTTCTTCACRGAGAACTTTCGACTATTGCGTTCAATGCGACAGATCGCACCGACTGTATCTCAACGAGATCGCAACAAGATGCACGATTGGGTGACAATTCATGAGGCGCATTTGGGAGGAAGCAAGAGATATCTTCCATTGCTCGCTGTCAGCCGAAGAGGGCCTCGGAGTGTCTGTCCTTGACTGTGACAGGATCGATCGGCAAGGAATGGAGGTGGTGGAGTAAAACGAGCTTGCCTTCCGCTTCTCCAATGGATACTAGACGGCGTCCCTACATGTATAAAAATACCTTCTATTGTTGAAAACACATTGGTGGCCCTTCTGTTCATTCCCATCTCATTGTCCCCTCAATCTGCTAAACTCCAGCAAAGAGCCTTGTGTAAAGTGAGAACGATGAAAAGTGTAACCGTCTTTGTCAAACCGTATATTAATCGAACCAGCTCCTAAACCCCAGCTCAATCTCAACACTCATGCACTACAAGCCTCTGAAATATCATTGCTGCCTTATACTCCTCAGTCCCATCAAATCTCACAAGTGACGTAAACCCGAAGAAAAAGCGGGTTCCTATCAGCAGCCAGTCCCCAAAATCCTTGGCAGAATCCCACTAACACTCAGCTTTCCCGGAGCTCGTCCCGGTACATCTATATATTTAGTGTCAAAGTCCAACACTATATCAATTATATGTATCAAAGTACACAACTCAGGACAGATGGCCGAGCGGTCTAAGGCGCCAGCTTAAGGTGTTGTAGGTGTTGTATCACTCACTCGCTTCGAGTGTTGGAAACACATGTTAATTCGCTGGTCCGAAAGGGCATGGGTTCGAATCCCATTCTGTTCAACATTACATTCTTTTTTTGCACTTTTTCGGGCCTGTGGGAGGGAGGCTTAGTATTGATTCTGTATGCCGTTTTTTTTGTCTTCAAGGGACTTCAAGGGAAGTACCCTTAGATGTGGTTGGGGTCGATAGAGTAGGTGAATTTTGAGGGCTCGCCTTTTTCGCAGAGCACGGTACCGGGAACGATGTGTTTGTGACTGAATTGCACAGGCATTCCTAGAATGACGAGAATACCGAAACTGGTCTTTTCTCACTCACTTGAGCAGCCATGACCCATTCGGCTAGCACATTTGGGTGAGGAATGCTTCTACCCTATCAAGCGGTGTCAGAAGCTCTGTTGGGATATCAGTACGAACCTACAATGGATCTGATGGACAGAAATGCGGCCAGCAACAAGAAAGAGATACTGAGTAGCAATCATCACTTCGCAGAGAAGATGGTAATCATGAAGATGGACTTGACGGCTCGAGGCTTACATTCATTCAAATCAGAATACGAGCTTATGAATTCATTTGATAAGCCTATCAAGCCATCTAGTAAAAGCAGAGCTGCAAAAAGCGGCATGCCATGTATCTAGTATGATGAAGCTTTTCAACTCATGCTATTCCCCCCATCATCATGTCATGTTCGCCTTACATCATTAGACATTGGAGAGCCCTATGCTTTCTTGCCGTTGATGCCCTTGAGCTCGACGTCGCTATCATTTGGTTAGCATGATATGCCTAGTTGGAGGTTGAGAGAAACGCACAAGATGAGAGTAGCATTTGGTGGGATGAGGCCTGGGAATCCGCGGTCACCGTAGGCGTAGTCACTATTGCAATTGATCAGCTTTGCCTGTGATGGTGTAGGAGTACACGGAGGGAGAAACGAACCCAGTAATGGTCAACTTGGCCTTCTCGCCAAGAGTCATGCCGCCGTCGACGCTCAGGACGCCCTCGTCCCAGCCTGTATGCACGCACACATTGATCAGTACAACCAAATCACGCCATCACAAGGTAAAATCTGTCCTCACCCTTGATGACACGACCAGTTCCAATGGAAGTCTCAAAGTCACCACGGCCGACCGAAGAGTCGAATCTTTGAACACAATCAGCCCCTCATTCCCACTTGGCACGGTGATGCAAAGCTTACTGAGTGCCATTCTCGAGCTTGCCAGTGTACTCCATGAGAATGGTATCACCGGCCTTTGCACGGGTCTGGCCATCGCCTGCCTTGATCAATTCCTTGGTGACACCCATATTTGCTTATGGTAACGTTCGATGTGTTGTTGTGTGATGAGGATGGAGTAGGAATTATAATAGCAGGTGGAATGGACAGCTTTTGATCTCTGCCGGCGCGGGAAGCAACGCTAACGAACCGCCGCCGCCCTGCTGCACAGCTGTTCCCGTCCATTCGTTTGAGCCCTTGAACTTTAGACCCTTGTGGGTAGGTATCCACCCTTTTCGCTCACGTTTATGTCACCGGAGTAGCTCTCCACAATCATCACATCCAATGCGACATCTGCCGGCGCCTGCACCGATGAACGTGCAATGCATTGACGATCGCCCATGTACCTAAGCATCACAAGCGAGCGGGGATTCTTGCGCTTTCTCTTTCGCGATAGCCGCGCCAGACGCATTTGATAAAACAACTTGTGCAACCCCACTTTGAAACTTCAGGTCTGCATGACGATGCCGTGATCGGGGGATACGGTGCGCTTTTAGCGACAACTCTGCAACAATCTTTTTTTAGTAGAACTAAGGTATACTACTTACGCTACCTCGGAATATAACCGTTCTAAGAGGTTAGCGGTGATTTTAAGTTATTGTACGGGCGCTTCTAATATAGCCTCTTTATCTAGTATGTAGATATAGTCCTAATCGATAGATTAATCGTAGAAGTAAAGTTGTCTAAAGCCTATATCTATAACTATATATTAGGCACTCCCTTTATATAGTAGACAGATCGAGAAGTAGATATACGCCCGTATAATGCGTTTACGACTATTAAAGTAGTATTATATAGATATCTATTAAAGGAACGAACGAAACTATTAAAAACAACTCCTCTCTAAACTTACGAAGTACCTACTATCTTTATTCTTATCGCAACCTTTTAGATTAACGACGCTTCGACCGATTACGCGTATAATTTACGGGTAGTTTACTCGTATTCTTAGATAATTACGAAACCTTCGAGATCGTCCGCTTATAGCTTAAACCTCCTAGGGTAGGATATTATTACTCTACTTCCTCGGTTCCTAGCTCTC